CAGGCGGGAGTGTCTCGGTGGCTGTCAGCATTCTCTCCATCCCTTGGAAACCATCTGAGAGTGCTGGCTGCTTCGCTCCTCTGCAATGTCCCACGAGGCTTCAATCCCTTCCGGGCCGTGAGCTCCTGGCCTCCGAGAAACTCACCCCTGGCCCAGCCCTTGATCAATACTTGCCTCAGCTGCCAGCACTGGTGGAGCTTGGTTTTGCCCTTGGGGATGAACCGGGGAGATCAGACGAGCTTGCCCCCTGCCACCAGGAGGCGCTGTTGAGGCTGCAGCGCACCTGACCCCACTGGGCAGCCAGAGGGTCCCAGTGGAGAAGTGAAGCAATGGATGCCCGGTACCCCCGAATCCACCCACTGCCCCCGCCTAGCAACCCGTGGACAACGGCATCACTGCCAGAGCAAACGCTGCCTTACGGGGCCACCCGCTCCTGACTCCCTTGGGCCCGGTCCCTGGGTCCCTTCTCTGGCCAGACCCCTCTGCCTCTCAGCTGTGCCTTCTTAGCTGAGCCCCTCAGAGTCCTCATGTACCCCAGAGTGGCCCCCAACACAGCATGGTAGCAGCTGCAGAGACACGAACCTGCAGGCCTCAGGGGAGATGATTCGGGGGTGCGAGAGACCTGGGGGCCAACTGCCGGGAGTAGGGGAGTGGGCGAGGTTTTGGGGGGAGCCAGGGGCCGCGGGGCTGCTTGTGGGAGTGGGGCGAGTTTTCAGGATCCGGAGTCCAAGGCCGGGAGGTCCCATGGAGAAGCTGCCACGGGAGAGCAGACTTGGGTCCCAGCCCAGACTCTGCTCGGTCACTGCGTGCCTCTTGTCTGTTACTTCCCCCTCTCTGAACTTCAGCTTTGAAAACTGAGGCCCAAGTCAGGGAAGGGAGCTCAGTGGTAGGGTTCACCCGTAAGAACTCGGGTTCAACCCCTGGCACTCCAGATGCTCAGATTGTATTTTGTTTTGTTTCGGTTTGGCCTTGGGGCCACCGCCAGCAGTGCTCAGGGGTTGCTCCCAGCTCTGTGCTCAGGAATCACTCCTGGAGGGTCTCAGGGGACCCTCTGGGGTGCTGGGGATTGGACCCAGGTCAGCTGCTTGCCTGGCAGATGCCCTCCCCTCTCTTCCACCACACTGGCCCCTGGATTGAATTTATAATAGGCTGTGCTGCAGCTTTCCTGGAGGAGAGGGTCCACTCCGAGGTCAGGGCCCGATGCTGGAGCAGGGGGTGGGGGGATGGGGGCAGGAGCCTGGACCTCTCCTGACAGTCCATGCCCCACACTGACCCTTATTCCCTTCTGGATGCCAGGAGTGACCTGTGGTTTAGGGGACCCCCCATCTCTCCCCAGTATACCTGCTCTGTACCCCACTCCCTCTTACCTGAGCAAGGATCTCTGCAGACACCCCCATCCCCCTGTCCCAGGGCAATGACTGGTGGGCGGGTCAGGGCGGTGCCTTAGCCTCCAGGGGGCTCCCCAGGAATGGAGGGAATCTCCAGGGCTGTGCCCTCACCTCTCCTTCAGGGATGGGGTGTAGGGTGGGGAGCACCAGCTCTTCCCTCCACAGGGCAGCTCCCTCTGCAAACACCCCCCCCTCCAGCCTGGGCCAGAGAGGGCTGGCACTGAAACTCTGCATGGGGGAGGCTGGGAGCCAACCCCTCACTCTGCTGGAAGCCCCCCAAAACTCTGCTGGAAATGACCCCATTGTCGGTGTGGCCCCCAAACCAGAGAAATGACAGAAACTATCCTGACGCGGGAACTATGAGAACGTGGCGCAAGGCAGAGAGGCTTTACCTTGTGCTCCGGAGGCCTGGGTTCGACTCCTGACACCGCCTGATCCCTCGGGCACTACCCCACAGATGACTAGCTGGGTCCCCTGGGCGCTATGCCCACAGGCGCTGAGGTGCTGGGCCAAAGAATCATTTAGGGGAGCTCTGAGCCAAACCCAGCCCTTCCAGGAGTGAGCTGCTGCCCTCCCAAGTACTCGGGGAGAATGTTCTGGAACAGAAAGCAGCTGCCAGCCTGAGTGCCAGGGACTGTTTCCACCCACAAAGGAAGCAGCTGGGATCCCGGGACCTCCTGCTGCATCTCCACGTCCCTCTGTTCAGTGATGCCCTCCCTGACCGCTCGCCCATCCGTGCCAGGGCTGGGGGGGGGGGTGCACTGGAGGGTGGATGTCCTTTCAGACCCCAGGCCCAGCCCTCTGCTGAGTACCACCCTTCCATCACCGAGAGAGGACAAGTGCCCAACCCCATCCCTGCCCGGAATTGGCAGTGAACAGGCTCACCAGGAAGAGTGGTTTGGGGTCCCCAACCAAGTCCTGGCCAACCTCACATCCCCGTTCTGTACCCCAGAAAAAAAAGTCGCACTCCAGGGAGATCCGGGGAGACAATCTGTTTATTGTCGCCAGTACACCTAAGTGATAGAGGACGAGAGACTTCATCTGCGCCAGCAGGCACGGCACAGCGCGGGGGGGGGGGGCCCGGAGGACCCCGACCTTGGTCCCCTCCACCCCTGCCAGCCACCACATGGCACCTGAGACCTAGGAAACGCCTGAGATTTGGCTCCACCCCGCCCCCATGTGCCCGAAGAGCAAGAACATTCTATAATTTTTGCCTTTGGTGAATCAACTCAAAACATTGAGGAATGATTGTCCCTCCCTGCCCCCCGTGTAACTTTAGGGGTGGGTGGAGATGTTGTATACTTATATATATAATCTCTCTCTACCTATATATAGTCTATGTACAAGTGCATCAGCAAGTTCCAATAAAGGCAGACACCACCGAGGGGCTCAGGGGCGTGGGCCGCCCGCCCTTAGGACGGTCGGAACCCCGGAACCCGGAGTTGCTCCTGCCCCAGGCCGCCCTCTCGGACTCAGCCTCCCATTGTCCATCCGCTGAACCTGACCCTGTCGGTAGCCCCCAGCCCAGACTTCCCGAGGGGCCTCGCAGGGAGAAAGATGAACCCCACTGGGATGTTTCCCGTTTTATGAAACCGGGAACAACTGTCCCTGGGCCCTAACTGGGCTATTTCCAAAGTCCGTTCCAAGGCACCTCACGGCTTCTCAGTCCTGAAATTGTCTTGGTACTCTAGTCTGAGCAGCAAAACCTCATGCGCTGGCCAGCCTGGCCTCTTTCCCGCAGGCCCTTCCTGAGGAGGAGCAGACACGGGGAGGAGAGGGTGGGAATGGGGGGTGGGGGGGCACCCCAGCAGACTGGACTCATCAGAGAACAGTGAGCGTGCAGTCATCGACGGGGCTCGAATCCCGCCGTGTGGGAGGGTGGCTGGCTGACAGATGGTAGAAAGCAGGCTGCGGGGGCAACATCTGCTGACTCCCCACCCCTGCATGGTGATGTCCCCGTGTCATCCCCCACCTCCCGGCCCCTGGAGAGCTGCCGGAGGGCTCCCAGGAGTCTGGAGAAGGTCACACCAGGGTCGCATCTCTGCTCCTGGAGGGGCTCTCTCTTCACTGACCTCTCCTGCAGGCCCACTAGGGCAGGGCAGAGCTGGGACTGGAAATCTCGGCAGCTTGCAAGTAAGTCCCCTAAATGTTAGGAGTGGGGGCGGGGGCAAGCCCCCAGTATCAGCCCGGTTCCTATCCCCCTGGGAGAGAGGAGGGAGCACTTCCGAGGGTGCCCATGAAGGAGACCTGCTGGCAGTTGCAGAAGTGGGCACTGCCCTACGCCCCCCCCCCCCCCGCAGCAGTGTGGCTGGAAGCGCAGGCAGTGTCCGGTGGCCTGGACAGCCTGGTGGGTTTAACCCACCCCCAATGGCAGTGTGTTGATTGGCAGTTAGGTACTGAGTCCCGCCCCGGAAGTTTCCAGATGGACACCCCACCTGGGGGCTGGCTAGCTGGCTGCCCACAGACACCCTGGCTTCTCCCCTTCCCTGGCCACTTCGTCCTCCCCTCCCTGTCTCCTTCCCAGACCCCAGACCTGAAATGTCCTTCCTCCCCACCTGCAGACCCCAAAGCAGTAGCAGGAATTCAATGCACAGACATCCTGGGCAGTTCCCCCTCTCCCAGTATGGCTTTGTGTGTGTCCCTGCCAGGGACTTGGATGGATGGATGGATGGATGGATGGATGGATGGATGGATGGATGGGGTGGTAAAGGAGCCCAGGCCCCCGGGCAGCGCTCATGCCCCCCAAATGGACTGGCTGGGAGGGAGCAGTGACACCCCCACCTCCCTCCCCACAGACTCCCTCCCATGTCACAGGGCCTTTCACTGGGAAGATTTTGACTCCAGAGTCCCATGAGGGTGGGGAGCCTGAGCAGAAGCAGGGTCACCCCCAGTCCACCTTTCTGCCTTTGAACCTCGTTCCTGCCTGTCATCTGAGGCGAACTTGGAGGGTCTTCCCAGGAATGTTCTAGAAAATTCTCGGTGGCCCTCCCTCTGTGGAGGCTTTGTTTCCTCTGAATGGGAGTTAGAATGGCAGTGAAGGTTGGTGCCCCCGAGTCCCACTTTCTTCCCCAGAGGGGTTTGGGCAGGGCTGGGGTCCTGGTTCCAGAGGTGACATGAGCCCATATGGGGGCTCAGAGTGACCTTCCTGTGACAGACATGGGCCCCGCCCAGCACCCGCTCCAGCCTGCCGAGGAGAGCCAACTCCATGATGACGGTGGAAAGTGACCTCGGCCTAGGACTCCCAATCCCTCCACCTGCGTTCCCAGTAAAGGGTCCCCCAAATCCCAGGGGACACCCGGTCACCACAAAGCCAGCAGGTAGGATCAGCGATGAGGGAATTCGGGGTGAGTGGGGTGCCCTGGGCCAGGTCTTGTCCCCTGTTTGCTGCATCCAGGCCCTTCCATGCCAGGAGAAATCCCCTTAGCAGCCCCTCCCCCCAGTCCCAGGGCCCCTGCAGGCCAGAGATGCCCACACTGTCTCCTCCCTGAGGTGGCCACCGGCCTATCCATCAGCATGCTGGCCAGGCAGGCACCAGAAGTCAGCCCCCCACTGCCCTCCTCCCTCGGGGCACCCCCACAAGTAGTTTTGAGCCTACGGTCCCCCTCATCCCAGACCCCAGGCAGGTTTCCCAAATGAGAGAGAGGTGGGTCGCCCTGGGCGCAGGGCGGGGGTCATGACGGGAGAGGTCAGGAGAGGCCCTGGTGGGGGTCCCGGGGTGGGTGGAGAGACACACACTGAGAGGGCGGGCAGGGGCGCTTGGTGCGGGCCGGGGTGCGAGGTGGGCGCTACTTGGCGCCCTCCTCCGCGTTGGCCTCCCCGTCGGTCTTGCCCTCCTCCTCCGTCTTCAGGTCGTCCGTGCTCAGCTTCTGCTCCTTTTTTCTCCGCACACACTTCACCACCATCAGCACCAGGATGACCACGGCCAGGAAGCCCCCCACGGACGCGCCCACTATCACGGCCACCGTGGAGTCGCGCTCCGGGGGCTCTGTTGGGGGAGGAGAAGCAACGGAGCTGTGGGACCGAGGGGGGCCCCATCCCCCCCTGAGGAGGCACTGGCCTTGCGGGTGGCCAACCTGGGCAGATCCCAGAGCCGTGTATGGTCCCCCAAACCCCACCTGGAGGGAGCCCCGAGCAGCCCTGGGTGTGGCCCCAAAGAAGCAAAACCCAGCCAGGAGGAGGGAGACGGTACCAGGCGAGGCCGCATGCGCATGCGCAGCGCACTGCCCCGGAGCATCACCCGGTGTGGTCCAGCAGGCCCCCACAGGGGAGGAGAGGCGGGTGATCCCCATCCCCGGCTCTTGAACCCTGGCACTGAGCCATTCGCCAGTTGGCCGAGGGTTGTCCAGAGGGGCTTCCTGAGCCCAGCTGGGCATCTCTGACCCCAAGAGAAGCCTCATGTTAACCACTGACCTCTAACCCCAAGCACCCTAAAAAAACCTCAGGGGATCCCGGGCTGGGGGGTGGCTCACGCAGCACCGCTCACCCATCGGGGGTCAAGACCTAGCACGCCGTGATTAGGGGTTTGTCGCGGGGGGTGGGGGGAGGGTCACGTGGACGGCAGTGGGGAGGGGGCTCCCCACGCCCCTCACCTTCCAGGAGGACCTTGAGCGTGATCCTGCCGTGGCCGCGGTGGCGGTCGGGCGGGTTCATGACGTAGCAGCTGTAGACGCCCTCGTCCTCCAACTGCACGTTCCTCAGCATCACCGACACGTCGTACTTGCTGGGGTTCCCCGAGAACTCCACGCGGTCCCGGAAGCGCTCCAGCTTGGGGTTGATGATCTTCATGCGGAACTGGAGGAACTGGGGTGCGGGAGGCGCCCCCCACGGTGGGGTGTCAAGGCTGGGGCGCCCCCCTGCTGGTGGGAGCCCGCGGACAGGCGCTGCCCTCCCACGCACCCCCCGGGTCCCCACATACCATCTCCTCCGAGCAGTTGCTACACTCCTGGTAGGTCCAGTTGAGCGAGAACTGCTTGTGGTTCACGGTGTAGCAGGAGTTGAAGGTGCAGGCCAGGCGCGCGTCGGAGCCGTTGAGGACATTGAGGGCGGTGGGGACGGTGACTTCCATGCTGCGCCCCAAGGGCACTGCAGACAAGAGCAGGAGCGGGTGAGAGCCAGGGCCCAGGGCGCCTGGTGCAGGTAGTCAATGAGTCAGGGGAAAGAGGGCGGGAACCGGATGCCAGAGCCCCTTGATGGTGCAGAGTCAGGGAGAGACCTCAGGTCATCCGCCCCTGGCCACCCACCCCATGTTGGCCATTACCACCGGCTGCCTTCACCGGCTTCCTCTGCAGAGCTGCCCTCAGTTTCACCCTTCCTCTCCACCTCTGCAACCTCCCTGTGTCCACAAAGGCCTCCCTGCCAGAGTCGCAGGGCCCCTGGTGGGCAGGCAGCCCTCGGGACAGGCGGGGATTGGGAAATCATCACTCTCCAGAGCCCCAGCGCTGGGCACCCCTCCAGGCTCTGGCAGTATGACAGAGGGCAGATGCGCTGGGCAGGTGAGAGGTGGCGAGGAAGGGTGTTCTCCCGGGGGCTGGCCCCGATGGGACAGGAAGTTCCTCTGGAGACAGGAGGCTGAGGGATGTCCTGGCTAAGAGCCAGGAGAGGGCAAAGGGGTATTGTATTGGGGGTGAGCGCTGCAGGTGCCTGTAGGGTCCTCAGGGTGCACGCCTGAGCAGGAGGCCGCAGGGGTACTGGCTGAGGAAGGCCTGGGCCATTCAGACATTCTCAGCCACGCCCCCCAGGGCGCAGATGTGAAGGTCCCCCCATCCCCGTCCCCAGGCCTGCAAATTCCTCTGTAACTGTGGCACCGCAAGATGTCCTCCATTCTTTGGGGCTCCCCCAATGTGACCCAGATCTCAAGGTGGAGGATTTGTCTCTCTCAGAGCGACAGGCAGTAAGGAGAGGTACAGACCAGCTCCTCATTACTGAGTTGTGTTTTTTTTTTCTCTTTGGGTCACACCCAGCAATGCACAGGGGTTACTCCTGGCTCATGCACTCAGGAATTACTCCTGGCAGTGCTCGGGGGACCATAGGGAATGCTGGAAATCAAACCCGGGTTGACTCCATGCAAGACAAACACCCTACCCGCTGTGCTGTGCTGTCGCTCCAGTCCTGGTGAATATTCTAAATCCCAACTCAGGCTCCAACATTGACCTGGGCAGGGACATGCGGGGGCAGCAGTCAACCCCCCCACCCCAGCCTCTTCCAGGACAGGCACCAGCAGCCAATCAGGCCGGGCAGTGCCACTGGCTGCAAGAAAGGGGGCAGAGGGGCAGGAGTGATCGGGCAGAGGGAGGGAGGGGCGCCTGCCTTGCATGTGGCTGACCTGGGTTCCATCCCTGAGCATGGTAGGAGGGATCCCTGAACATAGCTGCGTGTGACCCAAAATTAAAATAAAAATTTTAAAAGCCCGATAACAGAGCAGAGGGACGTTATTATAGAGCAGGGGTTCTGAGGGGGGCGCTCTGAGGGGGCTTGGTTGAGTCTAGTTTTGTTTGCTTTTCGGCCCTTGCCCAGTGATGCTCTGAGGCTGCTCTCCATGGTGCCAGGGATGGAGACTGGGCCCCTAGTCCACTGAGCCCTTTCCCCCAGTCCCGGGGATTTCCAGGCATCGAGACATCAAGGAACTCACAGGAGCCAACACAAGATGAAGGCGGGGGGGGGGAGGTGGGGGTCCACATGGGGAGACTCAGGTTGGTCATAGGCTAGGGCTGGAACTCGGCAGGAGGGTTTGGTTCTTGAGTGAGTCCAGCTATCACTTGTGCACGGGACAAGGAGCAGTTAGCTGTCTGGTGAGGGAGCCATCTGTGGAAAGGAGGGGGGGGTTGTTCGTGCGGACAAGGGGGTCCTGTCAGCCCTGAGCTCATCCCCAGCATGAGAACCTGGGCAAGCTCCTTCCCCTTCTAAGCATCAGGTTCCTCCTCTGACAAACGCAGAGGGTCACACGCACCTCCAGGGCTCCTTCAGAAGGAAACAAGGGAATTCCATCAAGCGTGGGGCACGTGGGGCCAGCCTGACCCTCACCACACCACACACAGGACCCCATCATCCCGCTCTCTCCTCAGGGGCTGCCCCCCCAAAGAGGAGGGGCTTCTAGAAGGGCTTCCCAACAGACGGCTAACCCTCAGACCAGCTCCTGGGGACCCCCTCCCCAGATTTGGCACTTGGCCCAGGATGCCTGGGGCATCCCTGCAGAGCACGGCTCCCTGGTTCCGGTTCCGGAAGCTGCACTCTGTAGCTGGAGGCAGGATGTGAGTCCTGGTCCCTTCTTGGCCCTGGGCCCTGGGTGGAGTGCCCTGACACTCTGGGGTTACTGTCCACCAGAGGAGTCATTGCACCTCCACTGGCCACCACACCCAGGTGTGAGTATTGCCAGGTGTGAGTATTGCCAGGTGTGAGCAAAGCTTCGTCCTTTACGAAAGCACCTAATTCTAGCTTGTCGCCTGGCCAGGAGCAGATATGTGAGGCCTGCCAGCGCCAGCTCCTCTCTGCAGAGAATTCCACGGGGACCTAGCCTGGCAGGGCTTGTCCTGGGCTCCCCGCATCTCCTGCCGCTCCCTCTTCCGGTCTCCGGCCAAAAGGAGCCTCCGGGCAACTCAGCCCTGCAGCCGCACTTGGATGAAAACCTGAGCTCACCGAGCCCTCCCCACTTTCCCAGGCAGAGCAGAGCGAGGGGCCCTTGCCAGGGCCAAGGGAGAGCTCGGCAGAGAGGTGCAATGCGGATCTGCCTGCCGCATCCCAGAGACGCGGCACTGGGAGGGACTTGAGTGTCCCCTAGTGGTCGGAGTGCCCAACTGCGGAGAGAGGAAGCGGAGGAGCAGAGGAGGCCCGGGGAATGGTCCCTTGGAGCCCCGTTTTACACCAGATAGGAAGGGGAGGGTCTGAGTTTTCTTGGAGGGACACAGGCAGTCCAGGGGACGCCCTGGAGGCTCCCACTTGAGCCTTGAGCCTTTGCCAAGATCCTGGCTCAGGGGTGAGAAGACTGCTCAAAGGGCTGGAGCATCAGCTTTGCAGGAAGGACGTCTGGGTTCAATCTCCAGCACCACAGGGTCCCCCAAACATAGCCAGGAGGGACCCCCAAGCACAGAGCTGACCACAAGAACCAATGGGAGTATGCCCCCCATCCCTCACAGAAACATGCTCAGACCTTTCAGGCACTTCAGTTCTAGAGAAACAAGAATGACATCCTATGAGCTCGGTGCTATGAGCTTAGTCCTGATCTCGTGATAAACTTGGTGGTTTGGGGAAAGTAGCTAGATCCCCTGTGGGGGCCACAGACAGATTCCCTGCCCGGCCACTCACCCACAAACAAGACCTTGCATGGTATCTATAACCACCCAGGACACAGACACATTTCTTCCTGCCTTCCCTCCCCTGCCCCCCCTCCACTATCCACAGAGGAAATGGAGAACAAGTGAAATAAAGAGCTGAAGTTTCCAGTAAGTGACCAAGCTGGAGCCCAAGAGGCGGGTGCATGGTGTGGCAGGGCCTGTGCCTGTCCAAGGGGTCCCAGGAACCTGAAATCACTGCTGACCTTGGAAGCCTTGTCTGAGGGGGGTCCTGGGCAAAGAAGCTCCACACCAGGGCAGCCCCCTGGGGACTGAGTCTGGGACTCCTCATCACCAGCTCCCAGGAAGGGGGTATGACCACCAGCATGTGAGGATGTGGCTTTGGCTCTTTGTCCTAAATTGCCACCAGTGCCCACCTCCCACTTTCCAGGATGCCTCGGCCTGGGGCACCTGCTACAGGCTCGGCCTTCAGAGGTTGCGGGATTCGATTCTTTCCCGCCAGCGCCCTCTGGAAACGGGCTGATTCGCTTCTCTCCTCCCCACCCACAGCACCCTAGAAGCTAGACTGGCTTCATTCTTGGCTTCAGAGACACAGAGAGAGTCGTTCTAAGCAGACACATTGTCTGGGGCACACTGTCTTCTACCTCCCAGGCAAGCACCCCTCGGCCCCATGGTGGCCCTCCCCCAGCCTCATGTACCCCCAGATAGCCCGTGCCCATCACTGCTCCCTCCCAACCCGACCCTGGCCCCTGTTGCTTTCAGGACCAGACCAGATCTCTGGATGTCAATCTCAAGCCCCGGGTCCTCCCTGGCCCTGAGTGGAGGGCTGCTCCTCCCCCTGCCGCCTCCCACATGCCCTGCTGAGCCCAGAGTGCCGCCTCTCCCCTACACACCCCACTTCTTCACTCCTTGACACAGGTGGAGCCCCGCACTGCATGTGAGGTGCATTCATACACCCTACAAATCAGACACAAAGGCTCAGTTCCAATAGCGCTGCCTTGTCTCCTATCAGATCCCAGGGACAGGAAGTTGGATGGTGGTGCAGTGGCCAAGACTCTGGGACCCCTGTCTGGTCACAGACCAGAGTGTGGACTCCCCAGCCCCTGGTTGCCTCAACTGTAAAATGGGGGCACCCACTGGACCGGGCTATTTGGAAGCTTCTGTGCTTCACTCTCCTACATTCACGCTGCCCTTCCCCAAGATTCCATAATCACAATTGTCACCCTTGTCAACGGTGTTATTGGTTGATAAACTGGGCATGAGTTCAATAGGGAGTGGGTTCTTTGGGTGGGTTGGGGTCAGGGATCTTTCGATGTCAAGGGAGGAACCTGGGCATGGCACGTGCTAGGCCTGCTCCCCGGGAACCAGCTCTGGTTTATCTTGTCACCCTTGGACTCCGCAAGCTAAGTAGCACCCAGTGAACACGTCAGAAAGAGCTGGCATTGCCCCCACATGTCCGGGTCCCTGTCCCCACCAGCAGATGACCACAGTGGGCTGGGTCATAAAACATCACTTTCTAACATAACCTGGACTTCTTGAGGGGAATGGTTGGGGGAAAAAGGCCACATTTGGATTTTATTAATTAAAAACTAGATTCTGGGCTGGCGAGAGCAGGGGAAGGTGCTTGCCTGGCATGGGGCAGGCCTTGATTCAGTAGCTGACACCGCAGATGGTCCCCTGAGCATTGCCAGGGGTTAACCCAGAGCACAGAGCCTGGAGTAGCCACTGAGCACTGCTGCATGTGGCACTAAAAAAAAAAAAAAAAAAAAAAAACTAGCCTAGGTGCTACTGCGGGTGGCAGGGCATGGCTTGTCCCCTTTGCCTTCAACAGTGCCATGACCACCTTCACAGACCCAGCCTGACACAGCCCCCCATTCCCATCCCCATCACAGCGACCCCCTTCTCAGGGACAGATCAAGTCCCCACTTAGGCCCCCGAGTCCTCCCAGATCTGTAGCAGCTAGAACTCCTTCCCACCAGCCCTGCTCACACCCGGCCCCGACCTTTCCACCCCATGCTCCTACTTGCCCCCCACCCCCCTTCCCTCTACACTGAGGTCAGGTTCTCAGGAAGCTTCTTCCCTCTCCGGCTCCTCCAGCCCCCCAACTTTTGTCTGCTCTTGAGTAAGGCTGATACCCAGTTTTCATCAGCAGAGCAATACCCTTTCCGAACACTAGGGGCAGTGGCACTGCACGGGGATACGGGGATGGGCCTGTGCAGGGTTGCACAGGTGAGGCTCTCGTGCCTGGGCCGTGTCACGTGACCTCATGGGCATGTGCATCCCGTCCCTGCCGTGGAGCACGCGGCCCAGTGCCCCCTCAGGTAGATAGCCATCCCGCGAGTGAACTGTTGAGGCCCCTTCTGGGGGGACCCAACTCAGAAACACCCCAACAGCAGGCCCAAGCAATAAGATAGATAGGATGGCGAGGAGGCGTTTGCCTTGCGTGTGGTCGCCCCAGGTTGGATCCGTGGCACCCCACTGGGTCCCCAAACCTGACCAGGAGTGATTCCTGAGTGCAGAGGCAGGAGTAAGCCCTGAGCACCAAAACCCAAACAAACAAAAACAGGAAAGCAGAGAATTCTTTCTTGGGAAAAGCACACGAGCAAGTCTAGATTCAGGAAATCTCTGCCAGGGATGGCTTCCAAGCCAGGTCGGCTGCCGAGGCCTTCAAGGCCCCAGTGTCTAGGGTGACCCATTCAGCTGTCACTTCATCGCTAGACTCAGCAAAGCTCACGGGGCTCCCTGCTGTGTGGGGTGCCAGGGCTGCCCACCACCCCACAGTGCAAGACAGCGGCCCAGAACAGCCCCCCTGCCCTTGGACACCGCGCCCCTCGGCGGATGCATCAGCACTGAGCCCGCTTAGATCCGGAGAAACTGTGAGAGAGCAGCTGACACATCTCCCTGTGAGATGGTTCAATGGCCCACCTGGAAGTCCATGCACAATCACGTGAATTTATTCTTGGGGCCCGGGACCAGGCAGGGCCATGCTGAGACCAATTAAAAAGCGACGAACCCTGTGGTCCACAGATCCCCTCACTTGATTTATTTTTCTGTTTTATTTTTCCTGGTCTCTTGCCCCGCCCTGGCCCCCACCTCCATGCTTTCCATCTGGTTCCTGCTAGAGGTACCTTCCCACCCCTGCCCGCCTCAGCAGGTTGTTGCCCCATCCAGAGACCAGCCACCAGCTCCCCAAACCCACCCCCACCCCACATTCCCACACGTCAGTGCTCCCCACTTCCAGGAAGCCAGACTCAACTGTCTCCCCTGTTCCCTGCAGCCCCCCCACCACATGCCCTCTCTCTGGGTCTCCATCCACCAAATTCCTAAATCCACGCCCCCAGATTCTCTAAGGAGACCCCCCCATGGCTGCATTAAGTCCCAAGACCCTACAAATTCCAGCCACTATATATCTCCATGAAGAGAATGTTCTATCCTCTGCCCTGACCCCCTCCCTAAGTGAACTTCAGGGAGACCCTCCCAAACCCCACACCACCCCCCCACACACACACATATCCCCTCCCTTGACCACTGTCATTCCCAGGACACACTCAAACCCTCTGGCCCAACATTTCTGTGACCCATCTGTCCCCCCGTGCCGTGTCTGGCTGTCCCCAGCCCAGTCTCCTCCCGGCCCCCTCCCCCCACACGCCCCAGGCATAGCTGGATGCTTGGATGCGGCCCCTCTGAGCTCGCAGCCCTGCAGCTCACTTACCCAAAGAGAAAAGGAGGCTGAGCCCGGTGAGGCTGGAAGCTGGGCGAGGGAGCCCGGAATCTGTGTGCATTTTCCGAGCTGGGGGAGTCGGGGAAGGGCCAGGAGAGGGCGGGTAGGGGGCCCGAGGGCTACTCGGATGGGTGGTTAATGCTAAAAAAAAAATAAACAAAACTGCACGCTGGGCTTCAAAGACACAAACAACATTAAGGAAGCTTTATTTCCATCTCTCTAATATGGCCGGCTGGAGTGTGACTGCTAAAAAGAGAGAGGGAGCGTGGAAATGAGCGAGGAAAGGGGGATGGAGTAAATTTTGTGGTTGGTAGATTCACAAAGCAAGTGGAAGGGCGTAAAAAAAGGTCTCTCTAGAAAGGGCCCAAGTTCCCCGCCTTTCTTGCATCCAAAACAAACACCAGAGGTATCCTGCCTTTCTTCTCTGCCAGGACAATCCTTGGCTTTTGAAAGGTAATCAAGGAACCCCTTTCTCTAAGCTGCCTTGAGGAGGGCTTTCCTTTGTCACTTAAAAACATCCAAAAAAAGGAGCCTCTTGTGGTTGTGTTCTTTGCTATCAGTTCAGGGACATGAGTGAGTCGGGGAAGACTTTCTGGAAGTAAGAATTTCTTTATTTGTCAGACATTTCCACCCCATGACATAACCTGTCCGTGCAAACTGTGAAACACCAGATTCTGGACAGCCAGACCTTGGGTTCTGTGTCTTGTGGGCCTGTGGATTCCAGGCCATCAACAGTAAGGACATCATAAGGACAGGGTGGTGGATCATAGTCTTGAATAATGATTAATTATGTAAGGTGTCATAAAAACCGGGTGTTTGTTGCTTAAATTCAAAGGCGCAAGAGGACTTGTTTATTAAACCAGCAGTGAGGCTTCGAGCCCAGGCAGCAACCTAGCAGACTGCCTTCAGAGAGGGACCCAGACTCCCACAGGTTTTAGTTCATTCCGGAGTAGCCCAGGTCCACTAAAAGAAGAAAAGCGGCCAGCGCAGAAGTACAACAGGTAAGGCTTGCACACGGCTGACCTGGACTCAGTTCCCAGCACCCCGTATGTTACCTGCCAGGAGTGATCCCTGAGCACTTCTGGTTGTGTTTCCCCCCACCACCACCACCACACACACACAATAAAGCAGAGAGTCACTGACATTGATAATGTACTAGAGGCCAGAGGGGGGCAGACAGGGCTTGAAGCACAGAGGTTGGACACTGGCCTTGGTGTGTGAGGGTTTGATCCTAGCACCACTAAGCAGTGAGTCTCTGAAAGGGCTCTGGGCTGTCTCTAGGGTCTGATTCTCAGTTCCCCAAGTTCACAATCACAATCATCCTGTTGTTCGTCGATTGCCTCGAGCAGGCCCCAGTAACGTCTCCTTCGTCCTAGCCCTGAGATTTTAAAGTGCCATATTCAAGGCCCTTTTAGGGTTAGGAGAATGAGGACCCATCATTGTTACTGGTATTTGGCATATTGGGTACGCCACATGGAGTTTGCCAGACTCTGCCATGTGGGCAGGTTACATTCAGTAGCCTGCCAAGTTGTCCAAAAGTAAGAATGAGATAATAAGATGTCGCTCGGGGGAGCTGGGTTTTGTAGTCTCTGGGTCTTGGCCGTTGATGGGATTACACGGCGCCAGGGGGTCAGTTGGTAGGTGTGACCCCTGCCTACTGGAAGATGGAGGATCTGGGTGGAGGATGCTCAGCCCCGATCCGAGCAGGTTTGGAGATCTCAGCCCTGGAACCCGCATGCCTTTGTTCCTCTGCTGGTACCTTCATGCGTGTGGAGAGTGGTCTCAGAATGGTAGTGGCTGGTTCTGGAGGTCTTTGGCTGCCGGAGCTCTGCTCGGGGCAGGGAAGGAAACTCAACCCGCGCCCCTGCAAGGGGCCCCAGCAAGGAAAGCCAGGCGTGGGGGCAGGAGATTCTGCGCTGTTCTCTCTCCCCAAGTTACTTTACCCTAAAGATTGACCTGCTCTAGGGAAAACCCCCAGGGAGGGGGGGGGGTAGTTGTGGTCTGACTTGGAAGAAAAGCACCTTGGAGATGTGAATGATCTAGATCAGCACTTCTCCATGGGGAGCTGCCACATGTGGGCCCCAAGGATATTCTAAGAGAGAGTAAATGAGAGTACACACCACAAGATCAGGAGCCAGCTTGTAGGATGTGGAGTTGCCGCAAGGCGGGGGGGGGGGGGCCTTGGGGGGAAACAGGAGGCACAAGAAGAAAATGAGGTTGGGATGGGCCAGGAGCCAGGACAGGTTGTGAGATGCTGGCTCCATCTCTCTGGCATTTTCCAGTCCCTGGCTGGCAGTGCCCAGCTCAGCATCCTCCTCCCCCCAGCCAGTGGGCAGTGACCGAGCAGGTGGAGGCCAGGAAGGGTTCCCGTGGGGCCCCAAAGTCATCACCCATTGGGCTCTCAAGCAGCGTATCTGTCAGCCTCCCTGGAGACCAGTAGATGAAATGCTGAGATGCCAAGAATGTGCTTAAAACCTTCCAGGGAACAGGACTGGACCAATAGCACAGCAGGAAGGGCGTTTGCCTTGCACGCAGCCGACCCGGGTTCGATTCCCAGCATCCCATAAGATCTCCCGAGCACCAGCAGGAGTAATTCCTGAGTGCATGAGCCAGGAGTAACCCCTGTGCAACGCCAGGTGTGACCCAAAAAGCAAAAGAAAACAAAAAACAAACAAACAAAAAAACCTTCCAGGGAAAACCAAGAAGGGATGTGGAAGTGGGTGACAGAAGCTGGAACTAGAGGGACAGCTGGGGCCGGGGAGGGCTTATGGGGGTGGGGGGTGGGGGACACTTCCCTGTTCTGTTGAGGAGGTTGGGATATTTTTCTTTTGAAAGAGGAAGGCAGGTGGAGGAGGGGCAATACCCAAGTAGTAGCTGGGGTGGTGGTTTGAGGAGACTCTAAGCAGGGTGCCCCTTTGTCGGGACTAAACACAGGTGGCACAATAGGCCCTCAGGGCATCAAAGGGCCAAAGGAAAATAGCCCTCTCTGTGCCCTGGAGGTGCCCCACTTAACCGGCAACCAGCAGCACTGGTTTCTGTTTGGTTTTCCTCACTAGGGTCATATCCAGCAGAGCTGGGATCATACTGGCGATGCTCAGGGCAGACGCTGGCACTGACCCGGGTCTCCCCCATGCAATGGTGCATTCTGTTCTCTGAGCCTCTCCGTTATTCTTCTCCTGTCATTGCCAGTGAAGAGACAGGTTTGCCTGGACTCTGGGCGAGAGACTGGCTGTTCCCAGCAGTCCTGTGGCCTGTCCCTGAGTGGGGAGGTCCTGGCCTCAGATCTTGCTTCGAGAGGCCCAGGGAAGTACCTGGAACATATGAAGCCACGGGCCTCGGGGACTATTCTTAAGGAAGGTGTCAGTGAGGAGGGCGTGGAGGAGCTAATGAGGGCAGCACAGCTGGGCTCAGACATACAGTGAAGAGGTGGTGATGGCTGCGCAGGGCACTCCTGAGGGAGGGAGGGAGGGAGTGCGTGAATGAGTGAGAGCCTGAGAGAATGAATGCTCGAGAATGAGTGCATGAATGAATGAGTGCATGAGTGAATGCATGAATGAATGAGTGCATGCATGCATGAATGAATGAGTGCATGAGTGCATAAGTGGATGCATGGATGGTGAGTGAATGAGTGAATGCATGCGTGAATGAGTGCATGAGTGATTGAGTGAGTGCACGAATGAATGAGTGCATGAGAGAATGACGAGTGTGTGACTGTATGTGTACGTGAGAGAATGAGTGGGTGAGAGCGAGAGCGGATGGGTGAACGCCGAGTGCCGAGTGACTGAGGAATGGATCTGGACAGGGAATGGGGAGGGCCTGTGGTGGGGGCCACTGAGCCACACAGAAGCGTTTCTAGCCAGGCGGAGACCAGGCAGAAAGGCTAATCCATGGCTCTCCCTGACCCGAGGTGGCCGTCCATGCCTGGAGCTTGGCTGACTCTGTCCCCAGATGTCTGTGCCACTTCCCCGGGGTCTGGTGGCTGCTAGGGCAGGAAAAGCCAGGCCCTGAGGGGTGGGAGAAGGTGCCAGTGACCAGTAGGCAGTGTCGGCTGCCCTGAGGGCCCAGGCCTTGAGGCTTCAGGTGTGAGGGAGGGCAGAGGCCCGGCTCAGGCGGCTTTGCACAGCCACTCGGCTGCCGCAGGCACATGCAGCCAGAGAGTTTTGGTTTGATGTAGCCGGCCTCCTCCTTTTTTTAAATTTCAACCTCCGAGACCCAGAAACTGAGCGAAGCTGTTCGCTTGGTTCCACACTGGTTCCAGAAGCTTCCTTTGGAGTCACAGTTAAGATTAAAAAAAAAAAAGAGTCCAGGGGCTGGAAAGATGATAATACAGGAATTAACATGCTTTCCTGGCATGTTACCCACTGGCCCTGGTTTCCATCCCCCGCACCGTTTATGGCCAGCTGAGCACTGAGAGAAGTGACCCCCCCCCACCCCCGGCTCACCGCCCCCAGGATAGAGCCTGGAGCAGCCCCTGAGTATCACCAGGTATGCACCCCCGCCCCCAAAAAGGAAAGAAATGGCTCCAGAAGTGCCTCTGCTTCTGGCTAAGAGAAAACAGATGCCAACTCCAAATAGCTGCATTCAGCACTCAGCCCTCCATGGCCAAGGGCAGAGGGGCAGAACAGAGCGAGGCAGGCAGTGGGAAGCCACTACAGAATCCCCCTCCCACCACCCAGCTCCCTTGGACACATGGGGACCTCCAGAGGCCCAGTGGCTTCAAGGCCCAGCTTCCTGCGGGGCCAAGAGCAGCATGAAGCAGAAAGCAGAAGAGCTGCAGAAAGAAGACGGTGTCTTTGAGACAGGCAATCTGGGGGCCGGAAGTCCTGCTTTTGATATTTCTGAATGACATTGGCCATTGGTGACCAAAGACTTTTTTTGGGGGGGGGGTGAGAATCATACCCAACAATGCACAGGGGTTACTCCTGGCTTTGTACTCAGGAATTAGTCCTGGTGATGCTCAGGGGACCATATGGGATGCTGGGAATCGAACCCTACCCGCTGTGCTATCGCTCCAGCCCCCAACCAACGACTTTTTTGGACAGCAACATATCCTGCTGAGAGAAATGACGTGATGTGATCCCATGCCATTTCCTGGAGCCTCGAAGAATGAGGCTGCATGCGTCTCATTCTCTGGCTTCAGAGACTTAACTCCATCTTGTTTGTAAGCAAGTGACTCCATCCCAGTAAGAACACAGTTTACAATGTACTGTTTGTTTATATTTGGGGGTCACATCCAGTGGTCCTTGGGGCCTATTCCAGCTCAGTGCCCAGGGTCACTCCTGGGGGTGACGCTCAGGGAACCACGCAGGGTTGGGGTTCAAACCTGGGCTTCCCACAAGCAGAGTATGTGCACTGGCCCTTTTGTCCTGTAATACCATAACACATATTCTTAGATCCACACTCACATATCTGATAGAACAAAGGCTCACCTGGTCTGTTTCTGGGTTTTAGCTGCAATATTTTCAGTCAGAGGCATCGTAAGAGAGTGAAGTAGAACTTGCCCTGAGGGAGGACGAACGCACTACAGGATGGGCACGTGTGAGTGTCCTGACCACAGGCCCGGCCACCGGCTCTGAGTGACCCTTATATTTTCATGCTAACTCCCTGCTGCTCTCTTCAAACTCAGAAGTTCCCTGATTTTTTTTTAAAAAAGAGAGGTCTTGCAAGTCACGTTTTACAGAAGTGGGAATGGTTGCCTCCCGGAGGAAGAGCAGGCCACACACGCAAGCAGCTGCTCCCGGGGGTCAGGGGGGCCTCAGACACTTTGTCTGCTACTAGCTAGAGGATATTCCTGTCAGAGAGAACTTGTAGCCTAATATTCTTGGACTTTTAGTAACTAAGCGGATCTGGCAAGAGTGTGATTCCTTACACACACAGACGCACACAGACACACACACACACACACACACACACACACACACACACACACACTTGTGTTTTATTCCTCAGGGGCTACTCCTGGCTTTGTGTCAGTAGCTCCAAGTGGTGCTCAGGGGGCCATATGGTGCCAGGGCTTGAACCCAGGAATCCCACATGCAAAGCCTGTGTTCTGCCCACTGAGTCCCCTCTCTGGCCCGTAGCTAGTCTTTCCTACAAAGAGAACTAACAACCAGGGTGGACATCGACGCTGATGGGAAAGGGTGTAGAGAGTGCAGTGACTGACTGTCAGGGAAAGAAAGAGCGAGCAAAGTGGCCGGAGCAGGAAGCAGGGGTGTGATCGATGGGTCCCGGGAGAAGGCTGTGCCCCTCCTGGTTCTGCCCGTTGAGTGGATTAATGCTCCATTCTTTACGGCCTTCCCCCCACCCTAGGCTGCTCTCCTTTGGCAAAAGCCTTCAGATATGGAGCATCTGGTGTTCCGGGAACTTGAAATACGGCACATTCACAAAACCAAACTGTTTGCAGAAGGCGAGTCAACTCATTTGTCATTCCTGTCTCCCAAGAGTCCCCTCAGAGAGGCCACACGAGTTCTCCCTGAGATCTCCCTAACACACCCTGGAGAGAAGAGGGACATTTTTTTTTTTTTTTTTTGCTTTTTGGGTCACACCCAGCGATGCACAGGTTATTCCTGGCTCTGCACTCAGGAACTACTCCTGGCGGTGCTTGGGGGACCATATGGGATTCTGGGAATCGAACCTGGGTTGGCTTCGTGTAAGGCAAATGCCCTCCCTGCTGTGCTATCGCCCCAGCCCTGGACATAGGTGTTAAGGGTGAAAAGCTTCTTCCCCTGGGGCCAGTACAGTGAGTTAAGGTATTTGCCTTGCATGTGGCCAATCTGGTTGGATCCCCAGCACCACAGAGGGTCCCCAGAGCCTTGACAGGAATGAACCTGAGCACTGCCAGGTGAGACACCAAATCAAAATATCACCTTGCCCAGACCATGAAGGTTGAACAAGCCTGGGGCTGGATCACCTGGAAGAGTATGTCTAGCATGAAATGTGCTTCATCCCATCCTGGGCACCATATGGATCCCGGGTACCGCTGGGTGTTGCCTGGGTGGCCTTTGGGCACTACTGGATATGGCTCCTACTTAAAAATTAAAAATTCATAGGAGATGAGAACTGACTCACCAGAAAGCAAATTCAATGGGAAAAAAATACATTTGAAAGAGAAAAAAAAACCCTCCAGGTCCTGGACCCTAAATGGGCTCACTTAGATCTCCGAGAAAGGTCTTGATTCTCCAGTTTCCATACAAAAGAGCTGGTCAGCTTGGCACACCTGAGTCTATTGTCAGGAAGAGCGGGGTTTGCTGGGGTACCTGGTCTGGACACCAGGGGGGTCCTGCTCAAAAGAACCCTGTGAAAGGAGGATGTGATTCCCACAGCGCTGTTTCATGTCAGGATAACTGAGCATCTGGTCCCAGGGCCTTCTACCCTCAGCCTTGACGCCAGGTCTTTGAGGAAGAGGAAGGTTTGGGGGACTCAGAGTTAGAAGCCAGAGGCAGGCCTCCTCTTCCTCCTCCTCGTCCTCCTCTCCAGCCTCCTCTGTTATGGCTGCTGAAGCCAGTCTAGAAACCAGGTGGAAAGAAAAATGTGGGCATGTTGAACCCAGGCCATGTCCGTCAGCCCTGCTGTCTGCGTCCTCCATTGGCCTCAGCCAAGATCTCTACACAGCATCCACAAAGCACATTTATTGAGAGTCATGGGTAAATGGAATCACTCGGGTGGGGTTAGTTCCCGCACTTCTTCCCAGCCACTCCACAAAGCACAGGGTCCCCACGGAGGGGCTGCTCTGGGGGGAGGCCCTGAGGGACCCCCCTGCTTCAAGCCAGCAATCCCTTCCTGAGTGGCCCGCTGCGGGGTCTGTTCTTCCAGACCTTGAGCTTCTCCTGGCTTCGGGGCCCTCCACAGAGCAGAGCACTGTGGCGCCAGCCATGGCAGGACAGGGTAAGAGGTGCGGCAGCTCTGTCCAGGCCAACGTCGCCCGTGTCTCCTCAGTGCACCAACTTGTCTCTGGGAAGGCCCTCAGCAAGGCTGTGAGAAGGCCAGACTGGGCGCTGTGGGGAGGGAAGAAGCATAGTGAGTGTGAAGGGGTGTGAGGAATGGAAGGTGTGAGATAGTGTGAGGTGAGTGTGTGTGAATGTGAGATGAGTGTAAGGTGACTGAGGAGAGTGTGAGATGAGTATGAAGCAAGTGTGAGGGGGGTGTGAGAGGAACATGAGGGTAGCGTGAGGGGAGCATGAGGGGAGTATGAGGGGACTGTGTGATATGTGAGGGGAATGTGAGGGGACTATGAGGGGAGTGTGAGATGTGAGGGAAGTGTGAGGGGAATGTGAGGTATGAGGAGAGTGTGAGGGGAGTGTGAGGTATGGGGGGAGTGTGAGGGGAGTGTGAGGTATGAGGAGAGTGTGAGGGGAGTGTGAGGTTTGAAGGAAGTGTGAGGGGAGTGTGAGGTATGAGGGAGTGTGAGGGGAGTGTGAGGTATGAGGAGAGTGTGAGGTGTGAGGAGAGTGTGAGGGGAGTGTGAGGGGAGTGTGAGGTATGAGGAGAGTGTGAGGAGAGTGTGAGGTATGGGGGGAGTGTGAGGTATGAGGAGAATATGAGGTATGAGGAAAGTGTGAGGGGAGTGTGAGGTATGAGGGGAATGTGAGGGGAGTGTGAGGTATGAGGGGAGTGAGGGGAGTGTGAGGTATGAGGAGAGTGTGAGGTATGAGGAGAGTGTGAGGTGTGAGGAGAGTGTGAGGGGAGTGTGAGGGAAGTGTGAGGTATGAGGAGAGTGTGAGGGGAGTATGAGGTATGAGGGGAGTGTGAGGGGAGTTAGAGGTATGAGGTATGAGGAGAGTGTGAGGTGTGAGGAGAGTGTGAGAGGAGTGTGAGGTATGAGGGGAGTGTGAGGGGAGTTAGAGGTATGAGGTATGAGGAGAGTGTGAGGTGTGAGGAGAGTGTGAGAGGAGTGTGAGGTATGAGAGGAGTGTGAGGAGAGTGTGAGGTATGACGGGAGTGTGAGGGGAGTGTGAGGTATGAGGGGAGTGTGAGGAGAGTGTGAGGTATGAGGGGAGTGTGAGGAGAGTGTGAGGTATGAGGGGAGTGTTAGGGGAGTGTGAGGGGAGTTAGAGGTATGAGGTATGAGGAGAGTGTGAGGTGTGAGGGAAGTGTGAGGGGAGTGTGAGGTATGAAGGGAGTGTGAGGGGAGTTAGAGGTATGAGGTATGAGGAGAGTGTGAGGTGTGAGGAGAGTGTGAGAGGAGTGTGAGGTATGAGGGGAGTGTGAGGGGAGTTAGAGGTATGAGGTATGAGGAGAGTGTGAGGTGTGAGGAGAGTGTGAGAGGAGTGTGAGGTATGAGAGGAGTGTGAGGAGAGTGTGAGGTATGAGGGGAGTGTGAGGGGAGTGTGAGGTGTGAGGAGAGTGTGAGGGGAGTGTGAGGGGAGTGTGAGGTATGAGGGGAGTGTGAGGAGAGTGTGAGGTATGAGGGGAGTGTGAGGGGAGTGTGAGGTGTGAGGAGAGTGTGAGGGGAGTGTGAGGGGAGTGTGAGGTATAAGGGGAGTGTGAGGAGAGTGTGAGGTATGAGGGGAGTGTGAGGGGAGTGTGAGGTGTGAGGAGAGTGTGAGGGGAGTGTGAGGGGAGTTAGAGGTATGAGGTATGAGGAGAGTGTGAGGTGTGAGGGAAGTGTGAGGGGAGTGTGAGGTATGAGGGGAGTGTGAGGGGAGTGTGAGGGGAGTGTGAGGTATGAGGAGAGTGTGAGAGGAGTGTGAGGTATGAGGGGAATGTGAGGGGAGTGTGAGGTATGAGGGGAGTGTGAGGGGAGTGTGAAATATGAAGAGAGTGTGAGGTGTGAGGAGAATGTGAGGGGAGTGTGAGGTGTGAGGGGAGTGTGAGAGGAGTGTGAGGTATGAGGGGAATGTGAGGGGAGTGTGAGTATGAGGGGAGTGTGAGGTATGAGGGGAGTGTGAGGGGAGTGTAAAATATGAGGAGAGTGTGAGGAATGAGGGGAGCATGAGGGAAGTGTGAGAGGAGTATGAGGGAAGAGTGAATAGAGTGTGAGGGGAATGTGAGGGGACTGTGATATGTGAGGGGAGTGTGAGATGTGAGGTATAAGGTGAGTGTGAGGGGACTGTGAGTTATGAGGGTGACCCGCGCAGCTAATCGAACATCAGCGGGAATGAGAGCTGCAAAGATGGGGTAGGCAGGACTGTATGAAGCATACAGCGACTTTATTGCAAAGCTCATTGACTTTTATAGTATGCAGCACACACTCCATGGGAAAGCCAAGGGTTCCAAGTTGAGCGGGCTACATTATCTGCGATTCTGTTTTGCAGCTGCATATGCGTATGCGGGCAGTTCCTTGAACTTTCTCAGCAAAACAGGACAGGAGTGAGAATGTAGCTGCTGGCCCCACCATGGAGGATCAGGTGCAACCTTCCCTTAGGCCCCCCTTAAGAGGGTCAACCGCCAGGGCATGGCGCTCCCACATGCCAAGTTTTTCCCCTGCTCATTCCCTTCTCAGGGAAAACAAACAGGGGCTACCAAGGCCAGTCCCCAACATGAGGGGAGTGTGAGGGGAGTGTGAGGGGAGTGTGAGGTACAAGGTGAGCGAGGTGCATCATCTAGAAGCTGTACCTGCCTGAGGAGGCAGGTAGAAACCAGATCCCTAGTGTTAGTATGTGTGGCTGGTGCTGGGGTTCAAATCCAGCACCTCTCACATGAAGGCAAGCGCTCGACCTCTGAGCTACAACCCTGGTTCCTCCTCTTTGAAATTCAGCACATAGCCTGCCTGGCGGTTAGATTCCATCAAAATACAAGAAGCCAATGGCTGGGTCCGGGAGAGAGCTCCGAGGGATGGAGCACACGCCGGGTGTGTGATAGGCCCCAAGTTCAATTCCTGACATCTCCTGGACTTCTGAGCTCCACTGGGATTAAGCTCAAAAGCTGGTCCAAGTTGCACAGGGCAGAGTATGGTAGGGAATGCCCCACCCCCTGCCAAAGGGGAGAACTCCCCTTGCCCCAAAATCACAGCATTAAAAATATAACAACTAAGAGTTGGAAGGGAGGCTGAAGTGACAGTACAGCAGGGAGGGCACTGCCATATATATGACCAACCAGGTTCAGTCCCCACCACTTCACATGGTCCCCCGGAGACCAGGCAGGAGTGATTCCTGAGCACAAAGCCAGGAGTAAGCCCTAAGCATCACCGGATGTGGTTCCCAAAACAAAACACTGAACAATAACAATCAAAATGAAAAAGGAGTTGGAAGGGACCTTTGGAGAGGACAGAGAGGAACCCTTTGCCCCATACTCCTGGAGTCCAGACACGTTCTTAATCCCCCAAGGAGGGGGGATTAAGCCTTGGTGGATCTACTCTCAGCCGTTGCAAGGTTGGCCATGCTGGACAGGAAGGACAGTGGGTCTGAGGCAACGCCTCTCTCCAGCACAAGCTCCGCTCTAGGCCCTCCCCATCACTGGGGAAAACTTCCGCACACAGCCCACCCCCAGGCCGGGCCCACCACCACCACCACCGTGACCCCAAGGAGGGGTCCCCAACTCCAGCCTCACCATGGTCATGTACTCCGATTTCCCGCTGGTTTCTTCCTCCCTGACCACCTGCGGGGTGACAATGGCCGCATACACATGCTTCTAGAGGGAGAGAAGGGGAAGGTGGGTTTCTCAGGATGGGAATCCAACAGAGGCTCCCCAGCCAGCACCAGCCCACCCAGAGAGCTGGAGAGGCACCAAGGACGGGAGAGCTCGGGCCACGACCCCCAGCAGACAGCGAGTGCGTTGTTAGGTGCCAGTCTGGTAGGCGGCTCCCTCATCCTGCCAGAGCTGTGTGCTGTCCCTTTAATGAGGGCCATCAGTGCCTCACTGCCTGATTCTCAAGGGCTCCCAGCAGGACCTCCGGAAGGCAGGTCCCCTTTCCATCATTATGTTGGGGGCATTCTTTGTCTCTGCCAGAGGGCGTGAGGAAAACTCTTTTGGGTCCCAAACAGCCCAAAGACAGACTAAGGCACTTGCCCTGCACATACGCTACAGACTCAGGGGCAATCCCTGGCATCACACAGGGTCTCCCAAACCCGCACCCCCCACCCCCTGGGTGTAAGCCCTAAAGTCTGAATCAGCAGGAAGCCCTGAGCACTGCTGTTTATGCCCTCCAAACAAAAGCAAAGTAAAAACAGCCCAAAGACAGGACAGTAGTTATTTTTAGAGAAAAATTTAAGAGATTTTTGTTATTTTCTTTTGTGGGGGGAGGAGAACCTCTTTGAGCTACACCCAGAGATGCTCAGAGTTTACTACTGGATCTGTGCTCAGAAATCACTTCTGGAAGGCACTGGGGGGGGCATATGGGGTGCCGGGGATCAAATCTGGGTCGGCTACATACAAGGCAAGTGCCCTACCAGCTGTACTACTGCTCCAGACCCTGAAAAATTTGAACAGTTTTGTTTGGTTTGGTTTTAGGGCCACACCTGGTAATGCTCAGGGGTTACTCCTGGCTCTGCACTGAGAATTACTCCTGGTGGTTGCTTAAGGGATCATAGGGGATGCTGGGGATCGAACCCAGGTTGGCATTTTGCAAGGCAAACTCCCTACTGGCTAAACTATCACTCAGACACATTTTTTGTTTTTAAGATAGAAAGAAAAACTTGTCAAAGAAAATGAAGCCATTTCTTGGTCCCTGGTAGTAGTTGCTGAATGCTTGGATCCTGACTCAGAACAGAAGGTTCTTCTGGGTTCTCTTTCTACAAGTCCTCGGGTGGTTCCTAAGCCCGACACCCTCTCATGGTGGCAGACACATACAACCCATCCTCCGCTCCTTCCTGCCCCAGAATCCAGGGCCCTCCTGGACTGCTGTGTGCCAGTGCTGTGTGTCCTGTGATCATCTTGAGGGCCTGGGGAAGGTGTTTAGCCCACTCCCCTCCCCCCAAACAATTGGGGTTAGAGCAATAGTACAGTGGGTAGGGCACTTGTCTTGCAAACGGCCAACCCAGGTTTGATCCCTGGCATCCCCTATGGTGCCCCCATGTCTGGAAGGAGAGATTCCTAAGCACAGAGTCAGGAATAAGATCTGAGCATCGCTGGGTGTAGCCACCCCCTACATCCCCCCTCCCCACGCACACAGAGGAAGAAAATAACCCTCTCTGTCCTGAGGAGGCACAGGATGGGGGTGAAGCTCAGACATCCTGACCTCACACCCTCAAGTGGGCTTCTAGGATGAGCTTCCTGCCTACGGGGCTCCCAACCCAGGAAGGAGACTTCCCCAGGCCAGCCCTCCACTTCTGTGCTGAGTCTGAATGATGAGTCAGATACGGGTTGGGGGTCACTGAAGATGAATGGGCCACCCTCCCTCTACCCACACACACATACTGGCTCCCCAAAGGGCAAGCACCTTCCCTCACCTCTGCGAGAGCTTTCTTCGTGTTCTCCAGGCTTTTAGTAGAAGCTGCTATACTGCAAGAGATGAAAAATACGTGGCATTAACCCGATGTCACTGTATCATCCATCAAAGGGGATCTTGGGGCTGGAACGATAGCACAAGCGGGGAGGGCACTTGCCTTGCACACACACGGCCAACCCGAGTTGGATCCCGGCATCCCATATTGTCCCCTGAGCACCACCAGGAGTTATTTCTGAGCGCAAAGCCAGGAGTAACCCCTGAACATCACCGAGTGTGGCCCAAAAACAAGGAAAACTGGTGGTGGGTGGGGGACCTCCAGGGCACCTCACTGAGAAAACGCCTGGGAATCTCTTCTTTCTAGACTCCTCCGGCCAGTGTGTGCTAGACACAGCAGGGTTATTTGGGCTGAAAAGATACCTCCAATGTCTCGATTTCCACCCCGACCCTGTATAGCTGAAGAGAGGGACCATCAGTGCGGGGACCAGGTACTGCTTGCACCAGCAGGGGGCAGCAGCAGCAGTTGGTTCACGTGCGCCAGGGCTCTCCCAGGAAGAGGCCTCTCCTGAACCATCCCTAAACACCTTCTGCTGGCCCTGGCTCAGTTCCCTCACCACCAGTCTCCTGAATGTGCCGTGCATACAGTCTGATTTTTTTCTTTTTTTCATTTTTATTTCATTTTGATCTATGGAAGAGCTGAAAATATATATTCAGAATTAACATGTTGACTCCAGGGTGTACCACCTGTGGCTCACACTCGATGTGCTTTAATCATTGTGAGCTGCAGCATTGGCATCAATGTACTGAGGTTAGGAGAGAAACCATCCATTTTTTATGGAAAAACAGAAGCCCTGTACCTTCTGATTATCACCGTGTCTGTTCTCACTGTAAAATAATGCAAGTTGGGACAGAAGTCCCAGCAAGCATCTTATGCCACCTGTTTTTCCAAAGGACCACGGTTGGGCTGAAGAGATAGTACAGCGGGTAGGGCATTTGCCTTGCATGTGGGCCACCTGGGTTTGATCCCATCCCGGCATCCCACATGGCCCCTGAGCACTACCAGGAGTGATTCCTGAGTGCAGAGCAGGGAGAAACCCCTGCGTATTGCCAGGTGTGGTCCAAAAGCAAACAAACAAACACGGGGTCTGTGTTTATACACAGTCTCAGCCAGGCCATCAGAAGTGGTCGTGCAATAAACTAGAGACAGGCACACGTTGGCCTTCATTTTGAGGGAAACTGAGGCCGAGAGGAAGGAAGGGAATGGAAATAGAACCTGGGTGTGTGTTTGGCGGGGGAGGAGGGGGAATCTCACTTGTACTCCAGAATTATTAATAGTATATTCAAAGCAAAGACGCTCTGAGATGCCCACTGAGGTTCAAATGCAAGTCAGCTGACCAGGAGAGGGAACTGTGTCCATGTTCCATGGGGGGAAGGAGGGGAGAAAGTCATCCTGACTCAGTGCCCACGGGAGCCCTTTCTGGGACACAGGGTCACCCCCAGAGCGTTGGTCTGTAGGGGCAGCTCACTCAGGGTCTCAAGACTGGGGCTGTTGGGCCGGAGCGATAGCAAAGCGGGTAGGGCTTTTGCCTTGCATGTGGCTGGCCCAGGTTCCATCCCTTGGGTCGAAAATAAAAGACTGGGGCAGCAAACACGAAAAGCAGCTGCTGTGATCCAGTCTCCGGCAAGAAATGACCAGCCCTGGGGCAACCTTCAGAAAGACCTTCTCAGGGTGCAGCCAGGGCTCAGAGGGCGGGGGCTCCGGCTCTGCACGCAGGAGATCTGGGTTCCATCCCCAGCACTTCACGGTCCCCTGTGCAGAGCTGGAAGCAACCCCATAGTACCCAGCCAGGGGTAGCCCCCGTGCACTGCTGGGTGTGGCCCCCGAACAAAAATACCCTCTTGTGACTGGAGCTGCCTCCTGTTCACTAAACCACATCTGAGTGTGAGCCACTGGTTGGGCGCAGCAGGATCAATATATTGGCTAAAGCCACCTCAGAGGCTGACCTTCGACAAATAGAAGTCTCTAGAGCAGGTAAGCCAAAAGTCACGCATTTCTCTCAGGATACTTCTCATTTTCGATTTACACTCTTTTTTGCTGTTGTTGCTTTTTGGGTCATACCCGGGGATGCACAGGGGTTTGCACTCAGGAATCACTTCTGGCTGTGCTTGGGGGACCTTAGGGGATGCTGGGAATCGAACCCAGGTCAGCTGCGTGCAAGGCACACACCCTACCCGCTGTGCTATCACTCCAACCCCACTCTTACTTCTGTTCCTAAACCACCATCGGAAATGTAGCTCGTGATGTGGGGCTAGGGAGAGAGTTCAAAGGGCTGGAACATGTACCAAACCCCCACAAAGCCCCGACTCCAATCCTGGTATTGTGGGGACCCCAAAAGCTGCCAATTATAGACTGGGGACCTCAGAGAATTTCCAGGACAGCCTCTGGCACCACAAAGCCCAGGCAGACTGAAACAAGGAACCATCCACCCGGTACAGCTTGGCCGGATGTGGCCAGGAATGTCCCCCAGGGAGCCCTGTTCCCCTAAAGCTGGCAATGTTTGAAAAGCAGCAGTGAGGATGGGGGTGCGCTGGGACCCCCTGGGAGATCAGGAAATAAAACGTTGGGGCTGCGAGGGTGGGTGCAGATGACCTCGAGAGAGACCCCCCTCCAGGAAAATGGTGTGAGGGCCCCCCCACTGGGGTGAGGGGCTGTCGGCAGGTCCCCACCAGGTCAGCCCTGTTACCTGTGGTCCCGGTATTGGCATCGTTTCGCCACAAGCAGGAGGAGCACAGGGAGCAGGAGGACGGTGGCGCAGATGATCCCCACCAGCATCACCAGGTGGTTTCCGCCCAGGGCCTCGGGCCTCTGCGTGACGAGGGTCACCAGTGCTTAGGAGAGGGGAGAAGCAGAGAGAGCCTCGGCATCCCGGAAACGGGGGCAGCGGGAAGGTGGGCAGTGGGGCAAAGGACCAGAAGACACTGCATGCTGAAACGCTGGGCCCACCATCTGCACTGGGTGGGACGAGGTAAGAGCCCTTGCCGCCCCCCTAAGATGTAATTAAGGTGGGGGGGGAGAAGGCAGAGGCACCCTCCCACCTCCAGGAGCACTTCCTTTTGCATAGACAATCCTACCTTTGTTTTGCTTTGGGGGGGGCACACGTGCCAGTGCTCGACAGCTACTCCCAGCTCTGTGCTCAGGGTCCCTGCAGTGCCTGGGACCAAACCCAGCGTCCTGCATGCATGGCATGTTGGCATGCACTCAGCCCAAGTGTCCCTCCAGCCCCATGATTCTCTCTTTAGAGGCTCTTTGCCAAACAGCACAGAGCCTGGGCATGTGGGAAGGTGGAGGCTCAGGACCTTTCTCTGGGGAAGTGACTCAGGTCCAGAGGCAGTGCCAAGTGCAATCAGGGGCACCTCCCTCCCCACTGCGGTTCCCTCACTCGTGTCCTCAAGCACTTAGCTACATCCTGGGTACCCCAGGCGCAGAGCAATGGCCCACCTGCAGGCAGGAGCTATACCAGAGGCCTGGGTGCCGAGGCCAGAGTCTGGAGGGAGTGCAGGGGGACACGAAGAAGAGGGGGACAGAGCTGAGAACTGACCCCCAAGGATTGCAGCTGAGTCTTGGGGAAACGTGGAGTTTGTGGGGAGGGAGTAGTGGGGAGCCCCCCCCCCCGGGACTGGGACAGGTACAGCCTGGATGCCCACCAGGAGGACGGAGCTCTCCAGGCCGCCTGGCACAAAGGTCGCCCATGTGGGTGTGGTGGGTCATTAGGCAGGAGAGATAATGGGGACACACCAGGAGGATCTTGGGGACCCCCACTGGGTCTCTGGCTTTTTCTCTGCCATGGAGAAACTCTGAGGAAGGGACTGTTGGAATCTGCACTGCAGAAAGTGTGGGGTCTGGGGGTGCCCGGGACTGTGGAGAAACTGGCTGGGGAGCAGCTGATGGCAGGGAAGGGAAGGCTGGGAAGGAGCAGAGAGAAGGGACAGGGGAGCCCGGTGTGAGTGGGGTCACAGGAAAGGGAGACTCAAACTCAGCTCCTCATCTCCAGCATCGTCCCTGGGTGCTGGGCGGCATTCCTGGGTGGGGACAAATTTACAGGCGGGGGTAGGTCTGCACATGGAAGTCTTTTGGGGGTGGTGGGAGGAGGGGAGCACAGCCAACAATGCTCAGGGGTTACTCCTGGCTCTGCACTCAGGAATCACTCCTGGTGGTGCTCGGGGGATCATGTGGGATGCCGGAGACCGAACTTAGTTCAGCTACATGCAAGGCAAATGCTTCTCCCGGCTGTGCTGTTACTTAGGCCCCTGACATGGAATTCTCTGTGTAAGACTTGGGCCCTGCTGGCTTCTCCGGGGTACAAACAATGATGTGATGCATAGAAATGAGTGCAGGAAAGAGTATCCTGGAGGGCTGGAGCGATAGCACATCGGGTAGGGCACTTGCCTTGCATGCGGTCGACCCGGGTTCGATTCCCAGCATCCCATATGATTCCCCCGAGCACCGCCAGGAGTAATTTCTGAGTGCAGAACCAGGAGTAATCCCTGTGCATCTCCAGGTGTGACCTCCCTGCCCCCCAAAAAAAGGAAAAAAGAAAGAAAGATTGTCCTGGCTTATACTGCTTGGAGAACAGTGTGAATGGGGGACAGGGCGTGGTGGGGGCGACCCCCACACCAGGACATGAGGCGTTAGGAAGAGAGGGACAGAGGAGGCAGGGGGTGCACACCTGTCAGAAGGAAAAGGAGGTGAAGGGAACACAAGGCTGAACCTACCAGGAACCGTGTGTTGGCCTCGCAAAGCAGATTGTGGGGGTGTGGATTCCCCACAAAGTGATTTCAAGGGAAAGGAAGCCACAGAACCCACCCCGTGAGCAAGGGCAGGGCTGAGGGGAGGAGGGGAGAGTTGGATGGGGGAGGCGAGAACAAGTCTGAAGAAGGGCAGCCCTGAGCACTTTAGAAGAACCCAGACATAGGGTATCCCCGGGGAGGCGGGGCGCAGAGAAAGGGGCGGGGTGGCTGGAGGCTCACTGAGAGTGTGAGTGTGCCCGGCCTACTCCAGCTGGGACATTCTGCCATCACAGGAAGCTGCTCCATGGGTGCTAAGTGGAGGACACAGGGGCACTCCATTCCCACACCCTGAGCCACACACCCCGGCCCACAGGCCACTCATTCGCTGCTGACGGTTTGACTCAAGTCCCTACTGACCAAACTCTGAGTCAGGTGCTTAGACGTGCGCTTAGGCAGAGCTCGGACCCTCTTGTCAGAAATTCCCTCCTCTGGGCTCCGGGATCTCCTGTTTTCTCAGCTTCTTTGGGGGTCTCTATGGCTCAGACTCTATTTCCCTTCCAGTGGCACCAACAACGTCACTCCTGAAAGCAGTCACGTGGCCTGAACTCAGCCACTTCCCGCCCCGAGCATCCTCTCTGCAGGACAGAGATGAGGCCAGGAGGAAGACTGGGGTCTCACAGGCAGCTGCCCCCCACGCTCTCCCAGAACCGCCGGGAGAGACCCAAGTGCAACCTAAAGCGTGGTCCCCCCAAAAAAGCAAAACATGGGTGGGAGACAGTTCTGTGGGCTGATGCATGTCTACAGGCTGGGGCGCTGGGTTCCAACATGAGGTTCCCCTGCGCCCCCAGGAGTGACACCCCAACACCGACCAGGAGCAGCTCCTGAGCATCTTTTAGGGCCCCAGGTGTGGCCCAAAGCCAAAAAATAATAATAATTAAAATGTAAAACCCCCTAAAACACATTTGCTCCTTTTCCCAATAGCTGCCAGCAGAGGCAGAACTAGGGGGCCTGGGCACCTCTTGCGGGGGAGGGCAATGAGGGGGGCGCCTCCTCCAGCTGACACCCGAGCCTCAGGCCCACCCAGACCACCATCACCTACTCCTGGGTCCCGGCTTGGCCACGCGCAGTACGCTGGTCTTCTTCAGCACCTGGCCACCCAGGTGCACACTGCACGTGTAGCTTCCTCCATCAGACTCCCTCACCCCGTGCAGTGTGATGGTGCCCTCAGGGTGGGACGTGGTCCCCGCCAGGCTCACGCGGTTCTGGAAGCGACCCCAGTTCTGGGGCTGTCTCCCAGGGGTGCTGGGGAGCACCACCTCCTCCTGGAAGGGAAGGGCAAAATGTGAGTGGGGCTTGGGCCTGGAGGGTGGGGGGGGGGGGGTCTTGGCACTCTGCTGCCCCATATGGGCAGCAAAGGGACCAGCTGGGGATGTCAGACCTAGTGGATAGGCTGCCAGCATGTTCCAGCTGGTAGGTGGGCTAGGAGTGACGACAAGGGACTGCCATTTTGGTCTGGACCACACCCAGCAGAGCTTAGGGATCACTTCTTTTATTTTTTTAAAATTTTATTGAATCACCATGAGATAGTTACGAGCTTTCATGTTTGGGTTACAATCACACAATGATCAAACACCCATCTCTCTACAAGTGCATATTCCCCACCAACAATATCCCTGGTATACCCCCCTTTCCCACCCTTCCCCTGCCTCCATGGCAGACATGATTCCCCATAATCTCTCTCTACTTTGGGGCATTATGGTTTGCAATACAGACCCTGAGAGGCCATCATGTTTGGTCCTTTATCTACTTTCTGCACACATCTCCCATCCTGAGCTATCCCTCCATCCATCATTGACTTAGTGATTCCTTCTCTATTCCAGCTGCCTTCTCCCCTTTGCTCATAAGGCAGGCTTCTAGCTATGGAGCAATCTATCTGTCCCGTGTATCTACTATCCTTAGGTGTCAGCCTCATGTTATGCTGTTTTATACTTCACAAGTGAGTGCAGTCCTTCTATGTCTGTCCCTCTCTTTCTGACTCATTTCACTTCGCATGATATTCTCCATGTCTATCCATTTATAAGCAAAGTTCATGACTTCATCTCTCCTCACAGGTGCAGAGTATTCCATTGTGTAGATGTACTAAAGTTTCTTTAACCAGTCACCTGTTCTAGGGCGCTTGGGTTGTTTCCAGATTTTGGCTCTTGTGAACAGTGCTGCTATGAACATATAGGTACAGATGTCATTTCTACTGTGCTTTTTTGCATCCTCAGGATATATTCCCAGAAGTGGTATTGCAGGGTCATATGGAAGCTCAATTTCTAGTCTTTGAAGGACTGTTCATATTGTTTTCCAGAAAGGCTGGACTAGTGGGCATTCCCACCAACAGTGAAAGAGTGTCCCTTTTTCCCCACATCCACACCAGCACTGGTTGCTTTTGTTCTTTTGAATGTGTGCCTTCGGCAGCCGAAGACCTCCAGGACCAGCCACCACCATGCTGAGACCACTCTCTGCACACATGAAGGTACTGGCAGAGGGACAAAGCCACGCGGGTTCCGGGGCCGAGACCTCCAAGCCTACTCGAATTGGAGTCGAGCATCTTCCACCCAGATCCTCCAAATTTCAGTAGGCGGGGGTCACACCCACCACCTGGCCCCCTGGCGCCGTGTAATCCCATCAGTGGCCAAGACTCAGAGACTATAAAATCCAGATCTCGGAACTGCGCGGCCGCATTTGCGGCCGCGCGACATCTTAACAGAACTTTTTTTTTTTTATGACATCTTATTGTCTTATTCCTACTTTGGACAAACTTGCAGGCTATCGAATGTAGCCTGTCTACAGGGCAGAGTCTGGCAAACTCCCCGTGGCGTACCAAATATGCCAAATACCAGTAACAATGATGGGTCTCATTCTCCTAAATAGCCTTGAATATAATCTCAGGGCTAGGATGAAAGAGACGTTACTGGGGCCTGCTCGAGGCAATCGACGAATAACAGGATGATGAAATGAAAATGAAATGAAATGAATGTGTGCCAGTCTTTGTGGTGTGAGATGATATCTCATTGTTGTTTTGATTTGCATCTCCCTGATGGCTAGCTATGTGGAGCATTTTTTCATGTGCCTTTTAGCCATTTATATTTCTTTTTTTGAGGAAACTTCTGTTCATTTCTTCTCCCCATTTTTGATGGGGTTGGAGGTTTTTTTCTTGTACAATTCTACTAGTGTCTTGTATATCTTGGATATTAATCCCTTATCAGATGGGTATTGGGTAAATATTCTTTCCCATTCTGTGGGCTCTTTCTGTATTTTGGTCACTGTTTCTTTTGAAGTGCAGAAGCTTCTTAGTTTGATGTAGTCCCATTTGTTTATGTTTGCTTCCACTTGCATGGTCAGTGCTGTTTCATCCTTAAAGATGTTTTTAGCTTCAATGTTGTGGAGAGTTCTGCCTACATTTTCCTCTGTGTACCTTATGGATTCATGTCTGATATTGAGGTCTTTAATCCACTTTTATCTGACTTTTGAGAATGGCATTAGACAGAGGTCAGAGTTCATTTTTTTGCAGGTAGCTATCCAGTTTTCCCAGCACCACTTGTTGAAGAGACTTTCCTTGTTCCACTTCACATTTCTTGCTCCTTTGTCAAAGAGTTAGTAGTCCTATATTTGGGGGTCTGTGACAGAATATTCAACTCTGTTCCATTGGTCTGCAGGCCTGTTTCTAGCCCAGTACCATGCTGTCTTAATTACTACTGCTTTGTAGTATAGTTTGAAGTTGGGGAGGGTGATGCCACCCATCTTCTTTTTCCCAAGGATTGTTTTAGCTCTTCGTGGGGGTTTATTGTTCCATATGAATTTCAGGAGTGTTTTGTCTATTTCTTTGAAAAATAGGAATCACTTCTTGTGGGGCTCAGAGGATAAAATCGGGTGCTGGGGACTGAACTGGGGTCAGTTATGTGCATCCTTAACCCTGGCATATCTCTCCTGCCCCAGGGACTCTCTCTCTGTGACTTCTCCAGTAAAAGTCCATCTATGCTTTGCGGGACACTGCCAGTTGGATTTCCAACGGATACTTGGCACAGGTCAAACCTGAAGTTGGTGGACTTTTTTTCCCCAAAACCAGAATCTTCAGGCTGGCCAGTCACTTGCACTGGATGGAGAGCCACACCTCCCTCACTCTCAGCAGCTCCCAGCTGACCAAGGACACACAAGGGCAGCCACATCCCCACCGTCCCCTCTGCTCCACCCCACTGTCCCTTTACTTCCATGTCCCCACTTGCCTTGCACACAGGTGGCCCCAGTTTGATCCTCAGAGTTTCACCAGGAATGTCCCTGAGCACAGAGCCAGGTGTGAGCCCTGAGCACTGTCAGATGTGTCCCCAAACCAAGAGAACTAAATCAAAAGATGTGTTACTGCTGGGAGAAAGAAGGGATCACTAAGTCAATGATGGCTGGAGGGATAGCTCAGGATGGGAGATGTGTGCTGAAAGTAGATAAAAGACCAAACATGATGGCCTCTCAGTATCTGTATTGCAAACCATAGTGCCCAAAAGTAGAGAGAGATTATGGGGAATCATGTCTGCCATGGAGGCAGGGGAAGGGGGAGGGATACTGGGGACATTGGTGATGGAATAGGGGAGGGGAGGGATACTGGGGACATTGGTGATGGGAAATGTATATTGGAGGAGGGATGGGTGTTCTATCATTGTATGATTGAAACTTGAACATGAAAGTTTTGTAACTGTATCTCACGGTGATTCAATTTAAAAAAACAAAGATGTGCTACATATACCCCGGAACACAAAAGGCTTGTAATTACTGTTGTCTTTTTTAAGACTTTTTAAGTACAGGAAATGGTCCGACAGACACCAATATGAATGTAAACACCTGCCCCCCTCACCTCACAAAGATACAACTTGAAATGTCAACTGGCATCCGACTTTCTACTGTGACTCAGGGCATGACATTTAAGTTCACAACAAGCTCCCAGAGGTGACCCTGGGACCATGGCCAGACACAGAGGGATCGAGTGGTGCGTGACTTCTCTATAGAGATGACCCAGAATCAACATATCGGAAAGGAGAGCTGAGAAATCCCCTAGAAACCTTAATGTTTATTAACAAAGAGCGACCTGCAAAGGCCCCACAGCACACCTTGGCCCCTACATCCTGGGTCCAAGCCAAGGTCTGGTTTAATGAACTAACTGCTATTTCCTGCTTTAACATTCCCATGAGATAATCCTCCTCCTCCACCTCCTCCTCCTCCTTTTTCTTCTTTCTTATCACCATGGGCCTCACTAGGGTTATCTTTTCCACCTGTAGACTGAAGTAGCCTAGCGAGGTGGCCAAACTCAGAGAAGACCCCACCCTCGCAGGCTCAAGGCCTACACCATGACAAGCCAACCCAGAGGCTTCCCTTACCTGGGCCTGCTCTTCCGATGAGAAACTCCACTTCACCTTAGCTACCGAGCTCTTCTCTGTACTCTGGAAGGCGCACCCCATCTGGGTCGAGCCCCCCACCTGCACCGTGAGCTCTGGTGAGAAAAGAACAAAGCCAGTCACACCCAGGGAATGAAAGAGGCAGGGAGGGAGGGAAGGGGCCTGGCCAGGAGCTTCTCGCAGAGGGAAAAACAACAGCAAGTGGATTAAGAAAGCTACTTCAGTGCCAGCCCCTAAGCACGAAGGCCAAGAAAACCAGAGGTGGAGAAACGGGCAGCTGGAGCCCAGAGAAGGCAAGACTGCTCTCGTGTTGGGACAAGTACCAGAAGGGACACACAGCAGTGATAGGGTGGGAAAGAGGAACCCCAAGGTTCCCAGCCCTTCCCCTAGCAGCACTCTTGTTATAGAGAAAGCCCCAAGTAGCAGAGTTTGAGAAAAATACCAACAATTTGCAAAAGCAAGCAGCATAATAGCCTCTTAAACCAGCTCTCTCTCACTCAGGAACAAATCTCGGAAGCCAGCAGATTTTGGCAGAAATCCCTCCAGATTTAAGTGTTAAAATTTCAGAATTTCAAAATCGCGTGGTCACTATTGCAGCCATGCGATATCACATGTTATTCTTAACCAGCAATAGAAAACAAATTGTCGACTGTTGCCTTTTCAGCAGATCTGAGTGTTGGGGTAAAATCCCAAATGATAATGGTGGGTCTGGTGTCAAAATATTGAATGTGATCAAAGTAGAGAGAGAGTAATGTGGAAATCATCTGCCCCACAGGTAGGAGGATTGTGTGGGATGGGGGTATACTGGGGTTTTTGGTCGTGGAGAATGGGCACTGGTGAAGGCAAGGGTGTTTCGTTGTATGACCGAGACTTAGACCCAAAAGCTTTGTAACTGCTCTCACGGTGATTCAATAAATAAAATTATAAAAAATGAAAAAAGAAAGTAAGGTGGAGTTCATGCCCAATCCAACTAGCTAATCAGTGGCTGAATAAATAGCAGTACTCCTACATAAAAGAAAAACAGCTCTCTCTCTCTCTCTCTCTCTCTCTCTCTCTCTCTCTCTCTCTCCGCTCTCCTCTTTCTCCTCTCTCTCCCCCCAAACTCACCCTCTACCAGGTGGAAGCAAGGACTGATTTTCCCTTTTCTGCAGGAGCAATCCCTCGCTCCAGCGTGAGGCCTTGGCTTCCTGTGCTGGGGACCAGTTCCCATACCATGAAGACCAAGTGGACTCTGGTACGGCCCAAATAGCCTTGGGAGGCGGGAGACACAAGCCTTGGGAGGCGGGAGACACAAGCATGTGCACCGTGCAGTGCTCACTGCAGACCTTCCCAGACCTAAGTGCCTCCCCCCAGCACTAGCCCCAGGAGGCCTAGGTGGGTGGGGCACTGCCACACTCTCTAGAGGCTACTACCTCTCTCACTCCCCACTTCACTCAGGTCTCCTACAACACTTAAGAAGACAGCCAGGGGGGCTGGCATGATAGCACAGCGGGTAGGGCGTTTGCCTTGCATGCGGCCGACCCGGGTTCGATTCCCAGCATCCCATATGGTCCCCTGAGCACCGCCAGGAGTAATTCCTGAGTGCAAAGCCAGGAGTAACTCCTGAGCATTGCTGGATGTGACCCCCCCCCAAAAAAAAAGAAGACAGCCAGAGGACCTACTGCTTTGGCGGGACCATTCAGAATGCTCACAACAGAACCCCATATTTAAGCACAGACACTCGGGGTGGAATCCAGTCACCATACATGATGATCCGGGGTCCCAGGGGACAGAAACGCCATGCACGTGGTTTCCTTGTTGCGGGTGAGCTTGCCTTCCACATAAAACACAGCTGAGGGGCCCTGCCCCGTCCACTCTCTGTAATAAACACTTTGTAGTTCCCCTTGAGTTCCCCTCTCCTTTGTCAGGCCCAGAATGAGCCCCCATTCCAACTCAAGGGCCTGGTGAAGCACAGAAACTATCGAAGCCCCCATTTTCAGTTCACCAACTCAGACAACCACATCTGCACAACAGGAAGTGGAAAGCCATTTCACTCTCATTCTTTTTTTTTTTTTTTTGGCTTTTTGGGTCATACCAGCGAATCACAGGGGTTACTCTTGGCTCATGCACTCAGGAATTACTCCTGGCGGTGCTCGGGAAACCATATGGCCAACCCGGAAATCAAACCCGGGTTGGCCCTATCCGCTGTGCTATGGTTCCAGCCCCTCTCATTCTTTATAACCCACGAGCCTTCCTGGCTGAAACTGAATCACGGGGCCCTTGGCTCCAGTCTCCTTTATTCCTACTATAGTGTCTCAGGATTGGCTGAAGACGGAGCCTTGGCTGGAGTGCAGGTCACAGGACTCAGCGCTGACCAGGCCAAACAGTAAGCAGCACTCTTCCTGCTTTCCTGCTATCTCCATCCCAGCCCCCACCTCTCCACTCGTGTCCCCTGCCCCGCCTCATCTTCTGGCTTTCTGACCCCTCAGCTCTTCTCACTGCTTGTCTCTCCTGGCAGCTGACCCAACATCAGTCTCACGTGCTCGAAATAACCTGCTGTCTGCCGAGGTGCTTTGCAGAGAGAAGCAATTAGGAAGATGGTGTGACTCAGCGCTAAAGCTTGACATAGTCACAAAGTCAAGTAAGAAGCGACAGAAAGGATGGCACTGACGATGCCGCAAGCCTGGCTCTCTGGCAGACAGAGCCTGACAGAAGAGAGCCAGTGAGAGCTCTGCAAGATCTAGCGAAGGGCACAAGTCAGCTTTTCCATCCACATTGTTTCCCTGGGAGAACATGCACGTTGCTTCCAGGAGAGGAGCACTATGGGAATAAAGGCAAAGACAACATGATGGGGCTGGAGTGATAATAACAGAGGGCGAAAGGCGCTTGCCTCATACGCAGCCAGCCCAGGTTGGATCCCAACACCCCAGATGGTCCCCTCAATCCCATCAGGAGTGATTCCTGAATGCAGAGTCAGGAGTAAGCCCCGAGCTTAGGTGTATACCCCACCTAAAAAAAAAAAAAAAAAGACCTATGCGCACACATGCACGTGTGTGTGTGTGTGTGTGTGATTAACTATAAACTCACTCAGCAGGAATAATCGTTACAGTGATAAAAATTCACTCCTCAGGACTGGAGTGATAGCACAGCGGGTAGGGTGTTTGCCTTGCACGCGGCTGACCCGGGTTCAATCCCCAGCATCGTATATGGTCCCCCGAGCACTGTCAGGAGTAATTCCTGAGTGCAGAACCAGGAGGAACCTGTGTGTATCGCTGGGTGTGACCCAAAAAGAAAAAAAAATTCACTCCTCAAAATATCAGTAGGGAAAGAAACTTCCTCTAAATCCAGCAACACATCACCCACAGTAATGATACCCAAACAATCTGAGTCATTTTGAGGTTCCGGGCCGTACCCAGTTCCTGGCACACAACATGTCGGCGAGTTGATACTCATTCTGAGATAAGCTCCATTAGCTTCCCATATTTCAGAGAAGGCCAGGGAGGGAGCCAGCCCTCAGACCCAGGTCTGAGCACTCGCCTCACCCTCCAGCTGGGCCGGAAGTGGAAGTGAAAGGATGCCAGCACCAACATGGGTTTGTTTGTAAGAAGAGTCCATGGCATTTGAAGTAGGAACAATGAAGAAAGGGAGTTGGGTCAGATGAATCATAGAAGAACGATGAAATCAAAAGGTAAACTTGGCTGAAAAAATTAGCAGTGACTGTAAACGGGGAAATTTCATGTGGGACCAGCCAGCCTCCACCCAGTGGGGCGGCTCTCTGTGTCTGAGTCGAGCTCAAGCAGACGATTGGAACTGTTGGTCTGTTTTCAGCTTGAAGTCACACTTTCTGGTTTCAAAGAAAACAGTGAGGTGCACAGGAGCTAAAGGGGTTTGCTCATCATGCTTTTTGCCCCCAGAACCCATATCACAGGCCGAAAAGACTGCCACATCCAGGGGCTGGAGCAATAGCATAGCAGATAGGGCATTTGCCTTGCACGCGGCTGACCCAAGTTCAATTCCCAGCATCCCATATGGTTCCCCAAATAGCGCCAGGAATAATTTCTGAGTGCATGAGCTAGGAGTAAACCCTGTGCAATGCCAGGTGTGACCCAAAAAGCAAAAACAAACAACAACAACAACAAAAGACTGCAGCATCCATGTGGATAAATCATGGGAATTATCCACAAGAGACTGTGGACTGGGACCAGGAGATAGTCAGCAGTTAGGGCATATGAGTCTGACCCAGGTTCAATTTCTGACACTGGTATGTGTCTCGGTCTCCCAAGCACTGACGCGTGTGCCCTGAAAGGTACCAGCACCACTGGCACAGCCTGATGACTCTGGAACTGCAGGGCCCAAGCAGCATGGCATTTTCTAGGCCTCAGGTTGAACTGATGGGCCAAAAATTGCCAGTGGAAAAAAAAATTGCCAGTGGAGCCCCAGGATTCCAAGGCACTGCTTGGGAATGAAAGAGAGAGAGAGAGTGAGGAAGGAGAGAGAGAGGAGAGAGGAGAGGAGAGGAGAGAAGAGGAGAGGAGAGGAGAGGAGAGCAGAGGAGAGCAGAGGAGAGGAGACAGGAAAGGAGGGGAGGGCGGAGGGGAGCGGAGGGGAGGGGGGAGGGGAGGAGAGGGGGAGGGGAGGGGGAGGGGAGGGGGAGGAGAGAAGGGAGTGTGAGAGAAAGAGAAGAAGAGGGAGAGAGAGAGAGAGGCTGTGAACTTCATTGTAAAAGGTGCTGGCAGTCCTAGATTAATCAAATGTGAACTGAGGCAGGCAAGCCACTTAATCTGACAGCCTCAGATAAAGTAAAGAATGGACAATGAAGAGAACTGGGCTTCCTTCTCCCAGTTTTCATGGGGATGAAAGTTTCTCATCATTGACTGAAACCTAATCATGAACAGCTTTGTGAGGGTCTATGTCACAATGATTCTGCACTGTAGTACTGTCCTCCCGTTGTTCATAGATTTGCTTGAGTGGGCCCAGTAACATCTCCATCGTGAGACTTGTTACTGTGTTTGGCATATATTGAATATGTCACAGGTAGCTTGCCAGGCTTTGCCGTGCGGGTGAGATACTCTCGGTAGCTTGCTGAGCTCTCCGAGAGGGGTGGAGGAATCGAATCCAGCTCGGCCACAATGATTCTATTAAAAGAAATTTTTTTTTTAAATGAAAGTTTCTCATCACTTTTCACTGAAAGCACCGCGTGAGGAATTGCTCTGTGTTAGATCCCAGGCCTTGGCTTAACCACATCAGCTCCCTTCCTGCCCGGTCCCCCGGCCAGCACGCCCTTACCTCTGGGCTCGGCAGGTAGGACCCACAGCTGCACAGTCTTCTTCCACACCTGGCTCTCCCTGGTCACGCGGATCTCACAGGTGAAGTTCCCCTGGTCGTCCTCTTGCACATTCTGGAGTAGGAGCGAGCCATCCCCATCTGAGACACTCCCCACCAGCTGTGCTCGATGCTGGAAGCGGCCCACGGGCACGTAGAGGTTGGAGTAATAGTATAGCACGTACTCATCCTGGAGGACAACAGGATGTGGGGAAAATCCAGACCAAGGCCCCATCCTGCCGAGGCAGCTGTGCCAGCAACATCCTGGAGAGCAAAAGGGACCTGGGACCCGATTCATGAGTATTATGTGCCAAGGGCCTGAGAGACTCCACAGGGGTAGAATAAATTAGTGCTAGGTCATCCCCAACAGTCCAAGCAGCGCCTTGTCATCAGACCTCAGGCAGAAGCAGCAGCCTGGTTGGTCGGGAGTCACCAGGAGTGGTCCCCAGGCCCCCTGAGCTCAGGAGGCCTCCCCCAGCTAAATAAAGTAAGATTAACATAACACATAATCATGGTCCGGGTGATACTCTAACCTGCACAGGGCTCTGTGGTCCATCTTCTACAGGGATAACTGGAGGTACAGGGTCCCACGATTTCCTTTTTTAGTGTGAAATATAAACAACCACACAGCAGATGATCACCGTCTCCCCACTTCCCCTGTTTGCTCTCCCATTGGCTGGACTCCAAAGTCAAACCTTGGGTGGGCTGGGAGAATTTAGGGCAACCTCCTCTCAAGTTTCCCATAAGGCAGCAAAGGCACAAGGGAGCTATCAACAGGCTGGAGAGCAGGGAACGTAATAAGTGGTAAATTCTACTGGTTTATCCTACATGTAATAAGAAATAGTGATAAAACTCTTGAGTAAGGGATAATGCGCTCTGAGCTCCATGAATAAGACCTCACTGGCAAGCGCCAGGACCTGTCACTAACACATTTTCTGTTCTGTTCTTTTTTTTTTTTTTTTTTTTTTTTTTACTTTTTGGGTCACACCCGGTGATGCACAGGGGTTACTCCTGGCTTTGCACTCAAGAATGACTCCTGGCAGTGCTCAGGGGACCATATGGGATGCTGGGAACTGAACCTGGGTCGGCCACATGCAAGGCAAACGCCCTCCCCACTGTACTATCGCTCCAGACCCCTGTTCTGTTCTTTTTGTGCGTGTGAGGGATCACACTCTGCAGTGCTCAGGGGTCATTCCTGGTTGTGCTCAGGACCATGTCTGGCAGTGCTCGAGGCCCATAGGCGGTTGGTGCTGGGATTCAAACCAAGGTCACAGCCTCAGACACATGGCAGGCAGACACCTTGACCTTTTTACTAGCGCTCCAGCCCAGTCACACGTTTCTTGGGACATATTTCACAAAGGACCCTGACATAAGAGCAGCCCTATGGGGGCTGGAGCAATAGCACAGCGGGTAGGGCATTTGCCTTGCACGTGCCAACCGGGGTTCGATTCTCAGCATCCCATGTGGTCCCCCGAGCACCGGCAGGAGTAATTCCCGAGTGCAGAGCCAGGAGTAACTCCTATGCATTGCCAGGTATCACCCAAAAAAAAAAAAAAAAAAAAGCAACCCCACGGTCTCTCTGATGGGATTTCGGGTGCTGCTTCTTCTCCCACAGACCCCATCCAGGTTCTCTGCCTGTGCTAACGGCAATGCCTCACACCACTGTGAAAGAGAAAGTGTGGGCCCCTCCCTCAGTCACCAACAGGCAGTGAAGTGCTGAAGGAACATGTGCCCCATCACTGGCCTGCAAACAAAGTTGGCAGTGACCTCTCCTGAGGCCGTGCTTAGCCTGGACCTAAGCTCTCTCCTGGCCCTCAGCTCTCCCACCTCCCTTCTCTATGAAGGGCAGAAACAGAAAAAAGAAACTGGGAAAGACAGACTGGATGGGTGTGGTGTTGAATCACATCTGTGAGAAATCACTATTCATAGGAGGCACTGTTTTGCTCCCGCAGGCACCAGTAACGTCTCCATTGTGAGATTTGTTGTTACTGTTTTTGGCATATTGAATACGTCACGTAGCTTGCCAGGCTTTGCTGTGTGGGTGGGATACTCTCGGTAGCTTGCCAGGCTCTCCAAGAGGGGCAGAGGAATCGAACCCAGGTTGGCTGCGTGCAAGGCAAATGCCCTACCTGCTTTGCTATAGCTTCAGCCCTACTCATAGTAGGGTGAACCAAAAAGTGAAATAACAAAATGAAAATCATAAGGAGGGGCCGGAGAGATAGTAGAGCAGGTAGGGAGCTTGTTCTGCACTCAGATGACCTGGGTTCGAGCCTCAGTATCCCATGATTCCTGAGCAGTGCTAGGAGTGAACCCTGAGCATCGTCAGGTGTGACACCCACACAAAAACAAAACAAAAATTATAAGGAAAAAAAAAACTGTGCTTTTAGATGGTTGGATGGAAGATGGAACTCAGCCCGCAAGCCCCGCCCTCGCATTTATGAGGTTCTGGGGTTCAAGCCTCAGTGTCTCTGGCTCTCCCAACACACAGAGACACACACAGACACAGACACACACACACACACAAACACACACACATTCCAAAATGCAGTACATGTTTGTCTCTCTTTAGCTTCCTTCTTACCTAAAAGTCAAGCGCTAGCAAGATCCCCTGCACCCTCTCAGCTGAGTCCAGACCTGGCTCTGATAGACCCCAGAGCCCATTTTAGGGTGCCCGCGGACCTCATTTTTCCTCTTCCTACACTGGCAGGGGCTCCCACCTGGTTACCTTGCCGTGCTGTTCCGAGGACAGCATCCAGTCCACCTTGGACACAGTTTTCTCTTCTGATTTCTGGATAAAGCAGCCCAGGAGCACAGAATCGCCCACGTGTGTCACAAGCTCCTGGGAGGCCACAATCCAGTCATGCAGGCCCCCGAAAGCATCTGAGGGGAAATCAGCACTGAGATAGATGCCTTTGCGGCTAAGACTCCACGTCGTCAAGGCCGTCTCGAGACCCCTGACACCTTACATGACCCAATAGCCCCTTATGCAGACCACGTGGCCCACTCGGGAGAGACGCCTGGGAGTCACCCACGTGGTCTGAGACAGAGGGGCACTGGGCTGGCCCCTTCGACCAGGCCCTTCCTCCTCTCCAAACTCTGCATCTTCTTTCTAAAGAAAGTGGAGAATGTGCACTGATGGAGGGATGGGTGTTCGATCACTGTATGACTGAAACTCAAACATGAAAGCTTTGTAACTGTGTCTCACGGTTTTTATTTTTTTAAAGGTAAAACTAAAAAGAAAGAAAGAAGGAGCAAAAAAATAAAAAAGAAAGAAAGAAAGGAAGGAAGAAAGAAAGAAAGAAAGAAAGAAAGAAAGAAAGGGGAGGGATGGGTACTGGATCATTGTATAACTGAAACCCAAGCACAAAAATTTGTAAGTCTACAACTGTACCTCATGGTGTTTCACTAATAAAAATTTAAAAAAGAAAGAAAGAAAGAAAGAAAGGAAGAAAGAGAGAGAGAGAAAGAGAGAGTGAGAGAAAGAAAGAAGGGGCTGGAGTGATAGCACAGCAGGTAGGGTGTTTGCTTTGCACATGGCCAACCTGGGTTTGATTCCCAGCATCCCATATGGTCCCCTGAGCACCGCCAGGGGAGTGCGGAGCCAGGAGGAACCCCTGTGCATTGTGGGGTGTAACGTAGAAAGAAAAAAAAAGAAAGAAAGAAAGAAAGAAAGAAAGAAAGGAAGAAAGAAAGAAAGAAAGAGAGAGAGAGAAAGAGAAAAAGAGAAAGAGAGAAAGTGAGAGAAAGAAAAGAAAGAAGGAAAGAAAGAAAGAAAGGAAGAAAGGAAGGAAGGAAGGAAGGAAGAAAGAAAGAAAGAAAGAAAGAAAGAAAGAAAGAAAGAAAGAAAAAAAGAAAGAAAGAAAAGAAGTGGAGAAAGCCTGCAGGCTCCTTTCAGCTGTGAATTTAGAAATGGGCCATCCCTGGCTCAAACCTTCCCACTGGTTCCTTATCTGAAAAGTCAAATCACAGGTACGTGTATTCCCTTCCTCTTTGCTGCTTCTTAATTCCTTGACAAAAAAACACCGCATCTGCTGCATCTGCTGGTGGGCTCTGTTGCGGGCAGATCTCTGTCCCCAGGCCAGCCCAGAGATGACCTGTTTCTGCTTCACCTGCCTGTGTGCCTTCCAGCTCTGTCAGTGCCTCCCCACCCCCATCCAGGAATTTCTCTTTTCACCGAAGGAGCAAAACCACTGCTTGGCTACTTCTGTTTGCATCAGCCATGCTCCTTGCCAACAGATGACGACGTTAAGAAGGACACATCTCGCTGTTGGCGGCTTCCTAGCCAAGCCAAGCCAAGGGAACACATATGGCGAGGAACTGAGATGGTGCCAGTCTTTCATCCATGCTGCAGCCTGAGAGCAAAGCGTTGACTTCCCGCCCAACGGCGGGCACATGGGGTGGTGGTGGTGGTGGGGAGGTAGGCAGGAAAGAAAACATGAACCCTAAACCCTTCGTAGGGAATTATTTTGAAAGAAATCAAAACAAGCTGAGAGAGAGAGAGAGAGAGAGAGAGCGAGCAATCTGGAATTTCCTCTACAGAAGAACCAGGCCACTTTTTGTGGTAGATGGGAGCGGGGAGCCAGCATGTGGGATTTTGTCGTCAGTGCACCAGATGTAAACCTGAGTCAGGGTTTGCGAGAAGGGGTTGCAGACTTAGCAACCAACACGAAGAGAAACTTGTACTGAAGGGAAGCCTTCCTGGACAAATGAGGAAAGGAGACTTTCCCTAGAGGGAGGGAATCTTTCCACCAAGGACCAAACCCGGTCAGCGCCCCAGACCTTGGGGAAACGTCTAGAGCCTCTATGCAGCTCACAGACTCCCATCACATAATCTTACTGTGGCTGTTGGGAGCCACACCTGACGGTACTGAGGTGGGGCGAGGGGGTCATCCTGGTTCTGTGATCAGGGGTGACTCCTAGCAGTACTTAAGGGTCTGTGAGAGGCCAGAAATCAAATTCAGGGGCTGGAGCGATAGCACAGCAGATAGGGATTTGCCTTGCATGTGGCTGACCGGTGTTCAATTCCCCAGCATCCCATATGGTCCCTCAAGCACCGTCAGGAGTAATCCCTCAATGCATGGGCCAGGAGTAAACCCTGCGCATCACCAGATGTGAGCCAGAAAGAAAAAAATATCAAATCTAGGCCTCTCGCATGCAGAGTGCGTGCTTAGCTCATGAGCCATCTTGCGGCCTTTAGAGTTCTTGACTGGGTCATTGCTATTCCCATTACCCTCCACAGATCCAAAATAAGCAATTAAGAGGAAGAAGCGAAGGCGGGGAGAGCAAAATGCCACATGAATGTCGTCTTCCCCAGAGCTTGGTCCCGGGAGGAAGAGGAAGTTGAGGGAGCAGGCGAGGAGAAGGAAATTGAGTAGGGCACAGCGTGCCCTGGGGGCCCAGGTGTTCACAAGGGCGTCCTGAAAAGAAAGTGGAGCTGAAGGGAACCCCTGTAGGTAGGAGAAGGAAGGAAGCCTTCAGTAGGCATTTAACAGGAAAGTGGAGAAAGAAGGTTCTGGAAGGAAGAAGCCAGCTCGAAGCAGGGGAAGAACTACAGGAAGGCTGGTGTGATCAAAGGCAGTTTTGGGGATTCTGGGACTCTGGTTATTTGCTTTTTGGTGGGGGCTGTGATTTGAAAAGAGAAATTTCTAGCAGGAACATCAGAGAGATATGTTCTTTGTACCACATCGAACAAAGATGTGGTACATCTTTGGGTCCTTCCTTGGGGGCCTAGGGATCCCAAGGAAGGACCCAAAGGCGTTATCTTTTATAGCCTGTAGCACTGTCCCCCCGTTGTTCATCGACTTGCTTGAGCAGGCACTAGTAACGTCTCCATTGTGAGACTTGTTGTTACTGTTTTTGGCATAGAGAAGATGCCACAGGGAGCCTCTCAGGCTCTGCCATGCAGGCAGGACACTCTCGGTAGCTTGCCGGGCTCTCCGAGAGGGGCGAAGGAATCGAACCCAGGTCAGCCACGTGCAAGGCAAATGCCCTTCCTGCTGTGCTATGGCTCCAGCCATCTTTTATAGACACATAGGAAAATTCTGCTTCCCAAGAAAGAGTCCACTACCTGGCTGCTGGAACTGCTGTTTCAGAGAGAGTAGCAAGGAAGGGGGAGTGGGGGGCTTGTGCTTTGCATGCAGCTGACCTGGGTTTGATCTCCGGCACCACATAAGGTCCCAAAGTCCCACCAAGAGTGATCCTTGACCACAGAGCCAGGAGTCAGCCCTGAACATGTCTGGTTGTAAACCAAAAACAAAACAAAACAAAACAAAAAAAAAAACAAAGATCAGAACTGCTGTTTCAGCAAAGCAGTGACGATCCAAGCTAAGTTTCTCCTTTCAACAAACCAAGGAGAAATAAAAATAGACAATGTTGGCTTTTAAAAATGCACGAGATTTAAAGAAATCCCATGCCCCCTTTGGTCGGTCCCCTCCTCGAAGGATTCTACTCACCAAACAGCACCAGCAACAGAGTGAGTTTCAGCCGGCGGAACATGCTGCTCCCAATCTCTCAGCCTTCAGAGAAAAGGGGGAAACCAGAAAATGGGGTCAAGGCAAGTTCAGGAACTGAATCCCTCATGAGCCAGGGTGGGCCTGAGGCATCAGAACGGGAACCTGAACCGCAGAACCCAAGCCCCGTCCCAGACAGCTCCTGGGAGTGGGAGATGAGGAGAAAAGAAGCAAAGGGCAGAGCGTCCAGATGTGGCGGGTGCGAGGAGGGAAGGAAGTGTTGAGACCGCCACTTGGGAGCTGTTTTGAGATGAGCTGGAAGATGCGATAACAGCGGGGAGCGGGAAGGGAGGCAGAGAGACACACAGGAGCTCAGCACATGGCTTGCATGTGGCCAACCCCAGTTTGATGCCTGTCCCTGCACACACACACACACACACACACACACACACACACACACACACTCACACACACACACACTCACACTCACATATATCGCAGGGTACTCCCACTGCTGGGTGCAGCCTGGAGGCCCCGAAGCACTGCTGAGTGACCCAGATACTCTCCCAGCACTGAAGGGTCCTTGCAGTACCATATCCTCAGACCCTCACATTTGACAGCAAAGAAAATACTGAAGGTCTCTCCACCAGGCTTCCTGAGAACCTCTTGTGATGCCCAGAAATAGGTGATAGATGATGGATAGATGAATGGATGGATGGATGGATGGATGGTGTAGATGGATGAATAGGTAGATGAATAAATAAATGGAGGCAGAAAAATGGATGAATAGATAGGCAGATGAATGGACAGGCAGGTGATGAATGGATAGGTACATGGATGGATGGATGGATGGATGGATGGATGGATGGATGGATGGATGGATAGGTGCATAGGTAGATGGATGGGTGGATGGGTGAATGGATGGATAAATGGATGGATAGGTACATAGGTGGATGGAAGGATGGATGAATGGATAGGTGGATGGATGGATAGGTGGATGGTTGAGTGAAGGTTGCTTTTCTTTTTTTTTTTTATGTAGGAGTACTGCTATTTATTCAGCCACTGATTAGCTGATCGAATTGGGCATGAACTCCACCTTACTTTTTTTCATTTCTTATAATTTTATTTACTGAATCACCATGAGAGCAGTTACAAAGCTTTCAGGTCTAGGTCTAGGTCATACAATGAAACACCTATACCTTCACCAGTGCCGATTCTCCACCACCAAAACCCCCAGCATGCCCCCAACCCCCACCCTCCCCCTACCTGTGGAGCAGATGATTTCCACATTACTCTCTCTCTACTTTGATCACATTCAATATTTCGACACCATACCCACCATAATTATTTGAGATTTTGCCCCAACACTCAGATCTGCTGAAAAGGCAACAGTAGACAAACTGTGTTCTATTGCTGGTTATGAATAACATATGATGTCGCGTGGCTACAGTAGGGCCACATGATTTTGAAATTCCTAAATTTTAACACTAAAATCTGGAGGGAATTCTGCCAAAACCTGCTGGGCTCCAAGATTTGCTCCTGAGTCTCTGGGATCACAGCCTATAAGCAGCTTGATTGGGAACCAGAAAGGCCATTTGTGGGCAATGACTTGGGGTCTCATTGGGGTGGGGAGGACAGGCCCGACTCCACCCCCATCCCGTGAGGCCCAAAATGTCTCGTCACTGTGGGCCCAGACCTGACTGTCCAATGGCCTCTAGAGGATGACAGCCACCGAGTCGCCAGAGGGAAGCAGGCGGAGGGACAACACCCTTTCACCCTTTTGCCGGGGTGGCCCAGCGACAGTAACCTACTGTGTGGTCTGGACACATTTCTGCCAAAAGCCACTGGGTTTCGAGATTTGTTTCTGAGTCTCTGGGATCATGGCCATTGAGCAGCTTGATCAGGAGCCAGAGAGGCCATTCGTGGGCAATGACTTGGGGTCTCATTGGAGTGGGGAGACCAGGACCGGCTCCACCTCCCATCCTGTGAGGCCCAACAAGTTTCGTCACTACAGGCCCAAGAATGACTGTCCAATGGCCTCTGGAGGATGACAGCCACTGAGCCACCAAGGGGGGAGCAGATGGAGGGACAACACACTTTCCCCACTGGGGTGGCCCAGCAACAGTAACCTACTGTGGAGTCCGGATGCATTTCTGCCAAAAGTCGCTGAGTTTTGAGATTTGTTTCTGAGTCTCTGGGATCATGGCCGTTAAGCAGCTTGATCAGGAGCCAGAGAAGCCGTTCGTGGGCGATGACTTGGGGTCTCGTTGGGTGGGGAGGACAGGACTGGCTCCACCCCCATCCCGTGAGGCCCTGTGTGTCTCGTGACTGGGGGCCCAAACCTGACTGTCCAGTGGCCTCTGAAGGATGGCGGCCCCTGGGCTGCCAGGCGGAATAGGCCAAGACATGAAACCTATTCCCACCTGGGTTGGCCCAGCACCAGTAACCTACTGCAGGGACCGGACGCATTTCTGCCAAAAGCCGCTGGGTTTCGAGATTTATTTCTGAGTCTCTGGGATCATGGCCATTAAGCAGTTCAATCAGGAACCAGAGAGGCCATGCCTCCAATTATATAGCTGAGCCGAAGGTGGTTTATGGGTGTGTTTCCCACATACCTAACTTTTGGCCTTTTACTTTCTTGGTAAACTTTGCCCCAAGTTTTTGGGGTCTGGCCAAAGGCACAGCAGCAATTTTGGGGTATCTGGAGTCTGAAGGCACCATCAAAGGTTGCTTTTCAAGAGGAAAAAAAATGACTTCAGAACCCTCAACCCTGAGGTTTCATGTGAAGCCCACAGAATGGGACATTCAGAGCTGAAGGTGACAGTTCTCTCACCTTTTGGGTGAGTATCACCTTCTGGGTGAGACATTGTGATGCTGTTCACCACCAAGCCATTCGGCAAAGCTCGTCCATGACTGATCATAAAGCCAGGGGGATGGCACACCCAGCATTTCTGCCGGTCCTTCCTCTAAATGACTCCTTCCAAACATGCAGAAGTTCCAGACATGTGTGAAAGGTGAATCACAAATCAGGATGTTTCAGGCTCACTTCGGGGACCCCTGAGATCTAGGACCCAGCACAGCCATGTGAAAGGTCACACTTTTCCCCCTCCCTTCATTAAAAACACTTTTCAGCAGAACTGCATGGGTGGAATAAGAATTGGGTTGTGTGTGGGCGAAAATCATTTTTAAATGTCTGTGTTATCTCTGTGGTATTGATTTCACTGTGCCAGCGTCTCTGGAAACGATGCACTGCGGTACACAATGCCCCACAATTTTCTCAGTGAAACAGAAGAACCTGAACTCCAATGAGACAATAGTTACCATGGGTTCCACCTATTTCTGGGGCTGGTCTCAGCTTTGATCCCTGTACCCCAACATCCCACAGTTACTTTGACAGGGAATCCTCTGTAAGAGATATTCCTCACCAGTATTCTAGTCAACAAAATCCCCCAGATGAAAAATCAAGGGCCATCCTCCAGGGAGCTCCTACCCAGGGCCTTATTAGGGAGAGCACTGCCCTCGCCAAACCTTGTAATGTGGAGATGATAATGAGAAGACCAAGTATGATTGTGGAGATAGCATGCCTTCACAGCATGTCATCTAAGATCTCATTTCTATAACACCAAGGTCAGACAGAAAGAGTGTGTGGCTCTGGAGATTAGGTGTTCTGCTCTAAAAAAAAAGGGGGGGGGGCTGGAGCAATAGTACAGCAGGTAGAGCGTTTTCCTTGCATGTGGCTGACCCAGGTTCGATTCCCAGCACCCCATGTGGTCCCCTGAACACCGCTAGGAATAATTCCTGAGTGCAAAACCAGAAATACCCCTGTGCATCACCAGGTGTGACCCAAAAAGAAAAAAAAAGAAAAGAAAAGAAGAGCAAGCAGTAAGTCCAAACAAATTAGAAACTCTGACATGCCAATGTCTGTATCCCTTTGCAACCATGCAGACAATAACAGTGACTCAGATATGCCAAGAGTCACATTAAGCTCCCCTTAATCTAAAGACCACAGACAAAAACCCCAATCTCTTTCACGACAGCCCTCATCCTACCCCCAGCTTCCTGATGCCAGCCTGACTTACACAGGCTTCTGTGAGCCTGAGACAGGGCTTCCTCTACAGCGTGGGTGACTCTGATCCATCTTCTCTGGGAAGTCTCGGGGCCCTGTGGTGCACTGCATGAATATCCTTCTCTGCCCAGCAAACATCTCACACGCGCCCCACCCCCCAGCAGCTCCCATTTATAGGCAGGAATTATCATTGGCTCACAGTCTGACACTTTGTCCTCCCTATGTTTCTGTTCCCCAGACGGGACCTCGCAACACTGGCTATGGTGTTCTCTGCCTTGGTCATAGCACCAGGAGAGTGCCTAACAATTACTGGAGAAGTCCTGAGAGCTGCCAATCTGGCCTTCACATAGAAAACTATGTAAGACACCCCGCAACTGCTCTGCTCTGTTCAAGAGGAAACCAGGGACACCACAGAAGACTCTAAGGCTGTTCACCAACCTGAGGCACTCGGAGTCACACCCAAATCACTTTTAAACAAATCCCAAGAGATGTGCAGAGTGATGTACAGAATTTTCATTTTCAGTGTGAAGTACTCACTATATCCCTTTATTTTTAAAAAATATTTTATTTATTTGCTTTTTGGGTCACACCCAGCGATGCACAGGGGTTACTCCTGGGCTCATGCACTCAGGAATTACTCCTGGCGGTACTCAGGGGACCATATGGGATGCTGGGATTCGTACCCCGGTCGGCCGCGTGCAAGGCAAACACCCTACCCGCTGTGCTATCACTCCAGCCCCTCTCATCATTTCTTTAGAACTGTGACTAGGGCCAAGGAGCTCAGTGGGATGAGCAGGCTTTGCATGCAGGTGTGCAAGAGGCCTGGGCTCAATCTCTGACATTGCAAGGCAATGGCAGGTGCAACCCCCAAGCACGGAGCAGGGATTGGCCCTGAGTACCACTGGATATGGCCTCCAAACAAAAACTAGACTGATTTAATTAATACAAGTAAAAGAAGTGTAAGTACATAGCAAAACAATGATTTGTGGGGAACAAAAAACCAAAAAAAAAAAAAAAACATGAGTCAGTGACAGGACCTTGATTCCTTTCACCAATGCCGATATAATCCTGGGTTTATACAATAGGTGTACAAATCAAACATTTACTGAGAAAAAGAATCATGACTGGGGCTGGAGCGATAGCACAGTGGGTAGGGCCTTGTATGCGGCCGACCAGGGTACGAATCCCAGCATCCCATATGGTCCCCTGAGTACCACCAGGAGTAATTCCTTAATGCAGAGCCAGGAGTAATCCCTGAGCATTGCCAGGTGTGACCTAAAAAGCAAAAAAAAGAATCAGGACTATATTTTGAAACTAAGTTTTTGTCACCCCCTACCACCGCTCCCACTTCAGTGACCCCATTCCCCAATCTGGGCTTGTGGTCTCTAGTTTAAGAAGCAAGTATCTAGAGCAGAAGTTCTCTGAATTTCATTTCTCAAAATGAGACTCACCAGCAACTCTGCCTGCAGATCCTCAATCTGGATTGGATTGCAAGTTCAACACCATGTCCTTGAGGGCAACTCTCCTGAACCTCACCTCCCAGGTAGTTCCTCAGGACCTGGTTTTGGTTTTGTTGTTTATTTGTTTGGTTTTAATTTTCCCATACTAGGTAGAGGTCAGGGGTTCTCCTGGTTCTATGCTTGGGGTGCAGGGGCTGAAGCCAGGTGTCCTGTAAGCAAAGCATGTGTGCGTTATCTAGCCCACAGTCAACTGTTTTAATAGTCTATTACTCTTTTCTTTAGCGTTAAAGGTGGGAAAGTCCAGTCCGTGGGATTAGCATGGGGTCTGCCCCTGGTCTACAATGGGACAGATACGTGAGCTTCTCGCTAGCTGCCCACAGCCCATCTGCTGTATTATGCAGGCTCTGACAGAAAGGAGGTTCCCCCTGCCTTAGTGTCATCATCTCTAGTCTTGATTCTAGTCTTCCTTAACTCCCCTGATCTCCCAAGACCATGCACCCTTGGGTCATGAGCTGTGTTCACATGCAACTGCACCTGGGGGCCACCATAGTGAAGGCCCAGCAGGATAGTTTGGCCACCTCTTGTCACGGGACTTCACAATGGCTTGTCAGAAGACTTTGGCCACATTTTAACTGTCTAAGTAGGCAAAGTTAGAATGTCTATTAAATCTATGTTGGAATTATATATATTCTAATTGTATCTAGATGAATAAAAACATTCTAAATTTTATACACACTTATATAAAAGGGATATTAGGCTCTTTAAAAAAGCCATCCAGGGCCAGAACATACAGCAGGTAGGGTGTTTGCCTTGCATGCGGCTGACTTCAATCCTCAGCATTCCATATGGTTCCCCAAGCACTGCCAGGAGTAATTCCTGAGAGCAGAGCCAGGAGTAACCCTTGAGCATCGCTGGGTGTGACCCAAAAAGCAAAGCAAAAAAAAAAAAAAAAAAAAAAAAAAAAAAGCTAACCAGGTACGAGGCCCTGAGTTTGATCCCTGAAATCACTCATGTAAACATGAATGAATAAAAAAGGAATGGCCAACCAAAGGATTCAGATGTGTCTTGAGCATCACAATAACGGAGTCCACTGATATTCTCAACCACTGCCCTGCCTGCTTGTCCAGATACTGGCTAATTTCCTCAGTAGATGTCCTCACACTCCTGCACAGTGAGCCGTTCCAGCCGGTCAGCCACACATTCTGATCTGGGCTCTTAGCCCGTCACTCTGAGAAAATCCCTTCTCTCTGTCTTGGCGAGGCAAAGCCTCAGGATCATTTGTCTGCCATAAAGGCTGCAGAACTATTCTTTGGCACAATTGGAACAGAAAAGAGTCTCAGGAAGAGACTCAGGACTATGAGATCATCCCAGAGGGTGTCAAGATGCCCCCAACTAGTGCAAGACAAAATCAGAGAGGGATGCTGAGTCCTGGCGCTGCCTGTGGCCAGCTCCCCTAAATGCAGCTTACATGGGGAACCTCTGGTCTCCAGATGTTTCCAGAATCCACATAATCATGTGACCACATCTTTTCAGGCCCACTGACTGCACACTGGTAGGTTTTATGACTCTTTTAAAAAATTGTCCAGGTTGGGGCCAGAGTCATAGTACAAAGGGCAAGGCATATGCCTTGCATGAAGCCAGTCTGGGTTCAATCTCTGGCCTTTTATACGGTCCCCTGAGGACCACCAGGAGCAAACCCTGAGCACTGCTGGATGTGGCCCCAAAACAAACATTTTTAAGTAAAATGGCCCAGGTGACATTGGTGACCTCTACTTAAAGAGGCCCTGGAAGTGTCTACCCTGCTTCAGGCTGTACCTCCTCCATCCTGCATACTTCTTTCCTGAGATCAAACCGATGCAAAAAGGGGTGTCCAGGAGAGGGCTTAATCTAACTCTCTTGGGGAGGCTGTTATTTCTGATGTCTCCAGGCCCCTCACCAGCCCATCCAAGGTTAGGAGAAAACAGTCAAGTGGGAGACAATCCAAGTTGCAGAGCAGCTGGTCCTGCCCTGAGCCCCTAAACTCTAGCGACAGCACCATCCTCATCTGACTTTACTCAGAGCAAACCTTGGTCTAATGAGCCCCAGACCACAGAAAGGACAGAAACTATAAGACCGCCACATGCCAGGCCCCAGGTATATGCGGAGAGTTCTGTGCTGAAGCCTCACGGCCCACAAGAACCGCTGCTGATGCCAAGCTTTGCCCTCAGCCTTCACTGAGCAAGACCAGTTCAAATCATTCCTGAAGAAACACAAAAGCATCGCTTACCTGGGTTGAGGGTGTCAGGAGCAGCGACACGGAGTTCCCTGTCTGTGCAGTTCCCGGGGCTGACTGCAGGGCTCCCCAACCTGTAGAGCGTGCAGCCAGACACAAGCATGTGTGTGTGTGTGTGTGTGTGTGTGTGCGCGCGCGCACGCGCACACGTGCATGCATGCGACTGAAGGTGGCCGCAGAGACAAACAGGAACCCTGCCACAAGGTTCTCCTTTCAGCCCCGGGCCCACCCCCAACCCCCCACAGTACCCACACACTCATTCTGGAAAGGGAGTCATCCCAACCAACCAGGGACGCCTGCCCTTCCAGACCCCGGAGAACATCAGCTCTTCTCCTGGATTTCAGAGGCTCTGAGGAGGAGTTCCCAAAGGCCATCAGGCAAACACTGGCCAAGAAAGGCATGGGCATCTTGTAAACTGAGCATAATCAATTTCAGAGTGACCCAAAACATTTTTCTCTGTGCTGAAAGCAAGAAAGACTATTTTTGGGGGTGCCCACTGATACAACTGAGCCCGTCACCCAGGCTTTGCTCCCAAAAAGCATCGTCTCTCCTCCACCCTGCCCCTACCCCACCGGCCCTTCCCACCCCTCCAACATTGTCCTCCAACTTACCTCCTTAACGGATTCATCTAGATACAGGTGGCACATTCCCGAAATGCCCTTCAGTGACTTGATCCTTTGCATACGAATCTCAGACAGCTTCAAGCTATCTCCTGCTCCCACATGAATGTTCTTCATGCACATTCCTTCAACCCTCACTTGACCTACACATGTGCCACATTTGCTTTCTGGAACTTGCCCTGTCTCGTTTGAAAAGCTGGCAGACCTTGTTTTTTTCTCAGAGCAATCCTACTTAGATCTGGAGATCAGATGCTGGTAAACCAGCAATTCACACATCCCCTGCTACCTTCCTCTATTTCAAGCCACCTGCCCTTCAAGAATTGGTCTGCAACAGTTATAAAACATACCAGCAGCTCTGGCTGCGTGCCCTCACTCCGGCACAAGCCAAGTGAGGTGCGTTTTTGCTGGGGTTTGGTCGCTTCAAACACAAACCACAAACCATCCCCCACTCTTCCACATGCTCCTCTTAGAAAGCTGCTACACACCAAAAGGCAACCAGTAAGTGTGCAAGGAAGTTTATTAACAATCGTGTTAAAAGATCTCAAGATCTTGCAGTGTGGGTGCAAACATTCCAACGGTGCACATGCCTGTGAGAAGGAACACAGCAACAGAGGCCGGGAGACGCCGCAGAGAACAGTCCCACGGGCCAATACTGAGCTCCCAATCGAGGGGCTGCCCCTTTCCACGGCTGCGAGGTGCAGGAGGACAATAGTCTTGCCACCCACTGACATTCTTCTTGTAGCTTCTTTGGACCCGTGACACTGGAGAATACACAGCTCCAGATGTGGCCTTCAGCAGGCTGGTGTCGTTGTTTTTATTTGCTCAGTGTTTTGTTTTTCGAGCGGGAAGTGGCAAGGGTCCCGCTTGGGAGCTTTGTGGAGCTGTAGAAGTCCCTCCGTGAAGCCCGCAGGAAACGTATTTGAATTCACATTTAGTAATAACACAAAAAGGTTCGATGCGCAAACCCCAAAGGTGACATTGTCACAAGTCAGAACTTTGGCTACCAGAGGTGCAATTCTGAGAAGTTTTTTTTTTTTGAGTGTGTGTGTGTGTGTGTGTGTGTGTGTGTGTGTGTGTGTTTATCTCTCCTGATAGTCTCAGAAGAAAAGCCTCTTGTCCGACAGGCCCACCTAGTGTGACCAGAATTTGGGGAGCAGCAACAAGAAAGTGAGAATAGCACCTTAGAAGATGTTAAGACAGTAGGTTTAAAAAAAAAAAAAAGGCATCTCCCTCTTAAAGTAGTGTCCAACACTGCTCTATGGTTCTCTGAAGACAGATTTTAAAAAGCTACATTTGATTCCCCTACTAGAGCTTACAGGAGGGAGTGGACAGCGGGGCCAACAACTGGGGTGACCAGAGGCCCCTAGACTGGCAGGGCACTGTTCTCCCAGAAAGGACTCAGTTGTTCTGGTATGTGAAAAGAAAGGGACTGCATCAAATCATGATTCAGGCTACAAACCCAGGATGCAAATCATGGTCCAGAGCATTCAGGCATCAGCAATAAATACGCCTCCCGATGTAGCACCCAAGCGTGCTCTCCCAAAGGGAGAGGCTGAGGAAGCAACAGTCAAAACTGGTTCCCCATTTCGTGGGATGTGGCTTTCACTGGGTTCCCAGAATCTTTCTCAGGGAAACACATGCAAGGGCTCAGCATTTAGGTCTCCAGCTGCTGATGGCCATGAGCTTGGTGCTCCAGCTCTCAGCGGAACTGCTGGAAGTGGTCTCACTCGATTGGTCCACAGGCAACCACATACTTGACAAGCAGGCTAAGTGGATGAGGTTTAACCACTAGGACTGCAAACTGCCAATGGTGACAAGCTCATTCTCTTTTATTGTTAGCAGACAAGAAGTCAGGAGATAGTCATCTCGGCCAAGTAACCGACTCTAATCTCTGGGCCAAGTTAACCAGGGAGGTCATGCAAAATCTTAAGAGATGGATTCCATCAAGCTTCTAACTAGACCAAGGCAAAAAATGAACAAACCCATGATTTTTGGTTAATGTATATAGTGTATATTGCTATTATATTATTGGGGGTTTGTTTTTTGGGGGGAGAACCATACCCGGTGGTGCTCAGCAATCATTTCAGAGGACGCTTGGGGGACCATAAGGGATGCCTGGGATAGAACCCAGGTCAACCACGTGTGCAGTCAAGCACACTGCCTGCTGTACTATCTGTCCAACCCCTAATGTTTCCAGGGAACCCCAAGAACTACCATGGCCAGGCCAGTCTTGCTGAGAACACTAAGGCACGAGGAGAAGGCATTCATGACTCAAGCCTGGAGAGCAACCCCCACCACCCTATTCTGGGGACTCTGCCGTCCATCTGTCCTCACATGTCATACCTACTCTCGGGGTTCGTAGATAATTTCCAGCCCCTTAAAATCTGGAATATATGGCTCTGGAAGAAGGCAGAAAGCTGATAGAAGTTCCCGTGAGAACAGAAGGGAGAAGTGAAATGATGTACAGCTTCACTTCCCTCTTCCCAACATTGTGCAAGGACCGCTTGTAAACACCTTTGTTTACATCAAACTGTAGCACTGTCCTGTTGTTCATCAATTTGCTCGAGGGGCACCAGTAACGTCTCCATCGTAAGACTTGTTGCTGCTGTGCTTGGTATACTGAATACGTCATGGGTAGCTTGCCAGGCTTTGCCATGCAGGCGAGATACTCTCAGTAGCTTGCCGGGCTCTCCCAGAGGGGTGGAGGAATCGAACCCGGCTCGTCCGGGCTGGCTGCATGCAAGGCAAACACCCTACAGCTGTGCTTTCGCTCCGGCCCCAGCCCCAAACTAGAAATTAAAAAAAAAAAGTTTTGAAGGATGAGCTAGAAAAATGATCTCGTTGCAAACATTTGCTTAAATATACTAGTTGCCCCTTGAGAACTTCCAGAGAGTTTTTCTTGCCTGTAATTTGAAAAGTCAAGAAGGAACCACACACCAGGCAAATGGAAGACAGTAAAATAAACTGTGAGACAGAAAGAATCCCCCCTCCCTTTCCTTCATAGTCCATTAATGATACATAACACTTTTAAAACTCAGTCAAGGCACTGGCCTGCCCAATCCTGCAGAGCCTAAGGAAGCATGCCAGGTACTCCCCACAGACCCATGAGTACATGGCGTGAGGCACACTTGCTCGTTCGCAGCCTCCAGTGTGCAAGGGGCACCTGACAAAGAATACTTTTCCCCAAGCAAACGTGTCCAGCAGCACATCAGGAAACAATATGCTCCGCTTAGTAACAAAGAGGCACAGAACATTGGCACCAGCAGTGCGGCCTGTGCAGGGTCCTCGCTGGCATCATGGAGAGAAATCGTGGCACAAGCGGCATCCTTCGGGTCGGGAAGAGGATTCCTCCCTTCAGATCAAAGATGAGTTACCCAGAAGGGTTGGGGTGTGTCTCTTCTGAGCACTTTCGAAGTGTTTATAAATATGAGAAGAAAACTTCTTCAATAAATACACGGGTGAGTCTTTGCTGGTGACCTCTGCGGTCTGTTGCTGCTGGGGCCAGGCCCACTCTGCCTCTTGGAGACGTCAGGCAGGGTGCAAGTCCCGGGAATGGGGGTCTCTTCCTCAGGCAGGAAGTGTTGATCAGTAGGTCTCTTCGTAATCTGAGTCCTATAGGGCAAAGAGCAGTAGCTGATGCTTTGTTCGTCAGGGATACTGCCAGGTGGGATTTGGGCAGAGCTTATACCCTAAGGTCCCCCCCAAAGAGAAGTCAACTTGGAGGGGTGACTCAGCCCACAGCCCCCTGGAGCACAGGCCTCAGGCCCCTGGTGCCTGTGGGCTGTGATGCTGTCAAGCCTCAGGGTTCTCTTTTTCCTGGTGAATTGTCTTTTCCCACTATCTGATTGCATTTTTCCTTTCTCGGTGCCAGGGATCAGACCGGGGGCCTTTAAGTGTAGCATCAGCCTCACTCAGGGGGGGGTCCCAACCGCCACAGCCCCACCCCACCCCCCAGCTTCATACCGTGCCATTCCATCATTCTTCCAAGTTTTCTATGCAGCCTTAAGCACGGTATATAGCTAGTACATAGGCTACCTATTTGGCTAATTTTTAAAAGATTCTGTGGCTGCTTCCAACTCCCTTAAGGGAATCTGGTATTTCTCTGGGCCTGGGAAGACAGAGTGTTTCGGGCACAAAAATGTGAGTGGGATGGGCATTTTGTTTGGTTATGTTCAGAACCACTTCCTATGCACCTCACGTCGGGTCTGGCCCCTGTCAGAGGCTCAATAAGCAACTGTCGGGTTAGCTCGTATCGGAAATGGGAATAATACACATGAGAGCACTAAAAGCTTTTGTGTTAGCCAAGGGGTTGGTCTCAGAGCCTGTCCTGGCACCGTGGACCTTCCCATCAGCATCCTGTCATATTTGTTCACAAGAGAAAGAGAAAATGGAGTATGTGACCAGGAATGTCCAATGGCCATGGTCAGTGGCCACAAGCTGTTCCAATGGCACGTGTGTCTTCCCTGGAGGACTCAGCGACAAAGCCAGGGTCCCAAGGCGGAGGGATGACAAGCTTTTAAAATTTCAATCAAGACTTCCCCCACAGGTATCGGTATCTCTTACTGACAAGGGTAAGTCACCTGAGAGGGACTGCCACTCCTTTTTCCTGGGGAAAAAAACTCAGGCCCCACAGAAAAGTTCAATCCTGGACGTCGGGGTGGAAGTATCCTCCTCACCAGCCTTCAGGCGCACTGGCCCCTCCTCTCTGTGGCAACCAGCAACCCCCTTTCCCATGGCTCTGTGTCCAGGAGGAGCCAAAACAGTTTTGAGACCCAAACGCTTCCGGGTAAGGTTTCAGTGCAGCAGGACAGAGCAAGCATCCTGACTTACCAGGCACTCGACGCAGCGAACACAGAGCCGGGCCATGCAGTCATGCTCCTCCTCCTGGTCAGTGCTGTGGGGAGAGGACAAAGCGGCCATGAGCTCCTGTCAGGACAACGCTGAGGTCTGCCCCGCTGGGGGCTGTGCTAAAGGCCAGTGCGGCCCCTGCCTGCTGGGCTGTCCAGGCACGGTCCTGATGGCCCAATATTCTTGTCCTGGCTCCACCAGGCAGCTCCGACCACCTGCACCTGGAGGCCAGTGGGGCCGAGTCCAGATAAAACAAACGCATGGGCTGAAGGGACAGGCAGGAGCGCAGGAGGGCCAGGTCTGACCTCTGCACAGCCTGGTCTCTTGAGCTCCGCCAGGTGTGACCCCCAAACAAAGCAACCCTTACAAGGACATCACAGCACAATAGGAGTGTCCCCTGGGAGCAGAAGGGCTTCCAGGCAGTGCCTGGGAGACGTGAGGGCCTGGCCAGCGATTCTCGGTCAAGCAAAGGCCCAAGGATGCGCTGCCTGTGTGATGCTGGGGACTACCTGGGCCAGCCAAGCAGGGCCACACACGGTATTGCCCAAGGACCGGGTGGCACCAGGACTTGAACTTGGGTCCACTGGACAGTAAGGAGCACCCTAAGAACTAGCAATGGGATCCCCGCTATCCCTGGAGACTTGGGACAGCCCGAGAGAAAGGAGCTGGCAGCTGAGCTGGGAGAGGAAGGAAGGAGGAGAAGCATGGAACAAATACAGGGTGGAAGGGACAGGAGTCCAGGTAAGAGAAAAGAACGGGGACGGGGGAGGGGAATTACAATGAGGTTCTTTCTGTTTTAAAGAAAAAAAAGTAGGTTCACGGCAGTGGAAAGGGAGCAGAAGAAGAAATGGCCAGAAGCAAAGTTTCTGAATGAGGGTGAAGAAGCCTGGTTTGATCATGCTTAGAAAGAGACATTATGGTTTGTTTGGGTTTTTTTGTTGTTTGTTTTGTTTTTGGGGTCACTCTGGGCATTGCTCAGGGGTTACTCCTGGCTCTGCACTCAGAAATTACTCCTGGCGGTGCTTGGGGGACCATATGGGATGCCAGGGATCAAGCCCAGGTCGGCCACATGCAAGACAAATGCCCTACCCACTGTACTCTATTGCTCCAGCCCCACATTTTGATATTTTATTCAGAATTCTCTTCCTTCTGGGGCCAGGAAGTGGGGGTGGAATGGGACACACAACCAGAGTTTCCTTAGAAAGAGTCCCTCTCTCCCCTTAAATAAACACGTGAGGACACACACACATCCCCACAGAGAAAGGGACCCTGGAGGCTCTGAAGGCCCTGGTAGGGGCCAGGGAAAAGTTACAGCATGTCAGCATGTGCCCTGCAGGTAAGGGTTGTGGTCCCTCAACTGGGACTAGGAGAACCAACAGCATTTTGGTTAACCTTTTTTTTTTTTTTTTTTTGCTTTTTGGGTCACACCTTCTTAGCTCTGACTCAGGGAATTACTCCTGGCGGTGCTCAGGGGACTATATACAATGCTAGGGATCAAACCCAAACCTGAGCCAGCTGCATGCAAGGCAAACGCCCTCCCCACTGTACTATTGCTCTGTTACCTTTTTTTTAAACTAGATCCGGTTTTTTTGTTTGTTTTCTTTTTGGGTCACACCTGGCGATGCACAGGGGTTACTCCTGGCTCTGCACTCAGGAATTACTCCTGGCGGTGCTCAGGGGACCATATGGGATGCTGGGAATCGAACCCGGGTCGGCTGCGTGCAAGGCAAATGCCCTACCCGCTGGGCTATCGCTCCAGCCCCCATAGATCCGTTTTTACGGAAAAGACTGGCTTGCGCCTGTTCACCAGCAAAAATCCCATCTGCTAACTGCCCCTGCTAACCACAGTCCAGTGACAGCATGGCTGAGGCCAGAGTCCTCGACTTGCTTTTCTCTCTACAGATCTTTTAAAAGTCTCCTTGCTGAGGCATTTTTTGTTAAAAGACTTCAGTTCAGTGCCCAAATCAGAAAAATGAGAAAATGATTGATTTCTGGGTCTGGAGAAATAGTACAGCCAGGGAGCTGCGTGCCGTGCACACAGGTGATCCGAGTTCAATTCCCAGCAATTATCCCAAATTTCCCAAACTATTCCAAAGTTTATCCCAAAGCATAGTCAGAAGCCAGCCCTGAGGACTCCAGCGTGTGGCCCCCAAATGAAACTATAAATAAATGGCTGACTTGTTGGAATTTCATATACATTTTAAAGGAATGATAGGAGCAGAGAGATAGTACAGTGGGTAGGGCGTTTGCCTTGTGTGTCGCTAACTCGGGTTCAATCCCTGGCACCCCATATGGTCCCCCAAGCCCATCAGTAGTGATTCCTAAGTGCAGAGCCAGGACTGATCCCTCGGCACTTCCAATTGTGACCCAAACACATAGATAAATCAATAAATAAAATAAAATTCTGTTTAAAAATAAATTAAGCTCTGGAAAGAAAGATGGCGGCCTCATGTGAGCCTTGTGGACAGCAGGTTTGAGCCGGGGGTGGTGGGAGCGGCAGGGACCTCATGGGAAGGGGGGCGTTTTGGGCCGTCCTTCACGCCCGACCGAGGTTGCCAGCTGCCCCCCACGAGCGGCTCTCCGGCACGGCCATGACTCCAGAGCACAGAAACCAATCTCTTAACTATCTAACTTTTAATAGAAATTCTTCCAGGGATAATAAGTAAAATAGCAGAAATCCAAAACCGCGCGGCTGCTATTGCAGCCGCTCGACATCATTTTATTCTTAAACCAAATTGTAGAAAGCAAATCATTTCATAACGGTGTTTCAGCATGTCTGATTTGGGGGGGGGTCGCAAACTCTAAACAATAATTGTGCATCTTCTATCGAAACAATGTATCTAGTCAAAGTAGATAGAGTATTAACTAGAACTCATCTGCCTCACAGGAATTGGGAGGGGTGGGAGGTGGGATTCTATTGGGGTTCGCGGTTAAAAATAAGTATTGGTAAAGGGAAATGTGTTTGATATTTACATGACTGAGACCTAAACCTGAAAGCTCTGTAACTTTTCCCACAGTGATTCAATAAAGAAATAAATTATAAAAAAAAAATAAATAAATTAAAAATGAGATACCCAGTGCAGAACTTATACTCTGAATCATGGTTTGTATACACTCAGAATCCAAAGCAGGATACTGGGGCCTACTCCGGGCCATCCTGGCCCTCTCCAACTCAGTGTGGACGGGCCTCATGCTCCACCATTCATCCTCCTGGCTACTGAGCGGGGCCAGGCTCCCCAGTAGGACTTTTCCCAGCAGAAGTGGCCATGGCCTGGAGGTGCAAGGGTCTGGGACCCTGACTGCCCACCCCCCCACTCAGGGCTGCAGCTGGACTCACTCATCTGAAACCTCGATTGAAGACTTCTTGTAGCCGGACTTGCTCCTCTTCTTCAGCCCCGCAGACTTCCGTCCCATCCGCACGAGCAGCAGGACGACCACCACCGCCGAGGGGATGAAGACGAGGATGGAGAGAAGAGCCACAGAGGAGAGCATCGTGCCAAAGCCTGGGGTGGGGGAGACAGGTGAGAGGCAGGCGGGCTGGTGTGGCCCCGGCGCCTCCACTCCACTAAGGGACCAGGGAACATTTCACACCAATGAATTCCATTTTTTTTGTTTTAAATTAAGGCATCATGATTCACACTGTAGCACTGTCCTCCCGTTGTTCATCGATTTGCTTGAGTGGGCACCAGTAATGTCTCCATTGTGAGACTTGTTATTACTGTTTTTGGCATATCGAATACGTCATGGGTAGCTTGCCAGGCTTTGCCATGCGGGCAGAATACTCTTGGTAGCTTGCCGAGCTCTCCGAGAGGGGCGGAAGAATCGAACCTGGGTCGGCTGCGTGCAAGGCGAATGCCCTACCCGCTGTGCTATCGCTCCAGCCCATGATTCACAAAGTTGTTCTAATAGTGTCAGGCATACCATACCAATCCCACCATTAGTGTGAATTTCTCTCAATTCTTTTCAGTTAAAATAAAAAAATTAGTGCAGAAAAGGGAGAAAATACACTAGAATACCAAGCAAAATAAAAATGCAGCCAAAGGGCTGGAGAGCTCCATGGGCTAAGCACAGGCTGTGCAGCCAGGAGGTATGGGTTCCATCCTGGTACCCAAGGCACGACCCCAGGAGTAGCCCATCAGCTCCAAGCCAGGAGAAGCCCCTGAACACTGGGTGTGCACAACACCCCCACCACCACCCAAAACAAAAGAGTAACCACAGTCCCACATGTCTCTGTATACCATGGATCTTCTTTCCAGGAAGTCCATATGTTAGTGTCTTATAAGATGATAAGGTGCTGGCTTGGCACACAGCCAACTTGGGTTTGATCCCTGGCACCGTATAGGATCCCAGGAGCACCACCAGGAGTGGGCCCTGAGCACGACTAGGAGTGGTCTCTGAGCACTACCAGATGTGATCCCCCAAAAAAACCGACAAGAAAACAAAAACAAAAACAATTGGGGAGAAGATGAGGAAAAGAGAAAGAAGGTGGGCGGAAGGGGGAGTGGAGGGGGAAGTCACTTGAGATACGGCAGGTCGCTTATGAACCCTGCCGCAGCCCTGTATCTCTGAGTCTCTGGCTTGCATCCAGCTGAGGACTGCTTTGGGTATTCTGTCACCAAGGAGTGACGCAGAGAGAGAGCCCGGCTTCCGGGGCTCTCTGCCACAAGAAGGGCCGGGCTGCTTCCTGTACTCTACTCGGGGGCCTTAAAGACATGGGCAAGAAGAGGGTGGGGAGCAGGGGAGGGGAGCCGGGCCACATTCTGCTCCACACAGATCAATCATCTGTTTAACTAGGGTCTGGTATATCTACCCACAAGATTTCCAATCACCTGAAGTTAAAATCAACACACGAGGGGGAAAAAAAGGAAGAAGAAGGAGAAGGAGAAGGAGGAGGAGGAGGAGGAGGAGGAGGAGGAAGAGGAGGAGGAGGAGGAGGAGGAGGAGGAGGAGGTGGAGGAGGAGGAGAAAGATGAGGTGGAGGAGGAGGAGGAAGAGGAGGAGGAGGAGAAGGAGAAGAAGGAAGAGGAAGAGGAGGGGGAGGGGGAGGAGGAGGAGGAGGAGGAAGAAGAAGAAGGAGAAAAAGAAGAAGAAAGAAGAAGAAATAAGGAGGAGGAGGAGGAGGAGGTGGAGGAGGAGGAGGAGGAGGAGGTGGAGGAGGAGGAGGAGGAGGAGGAGGAGGAAGGAGAAGGAGAAGGAGAAGAAGGAAGTGGAAGAGGAGGGGGAGGGGGAGGAGGAGGAGGAGGAAGAAGAAGAAGAAGGAGAAAAAGAAGAAGAAAGAAGAAGAAATAAGGAGGAGGAGGAGGAGGAGGAGGAGGAGGAGGAGAAGGAGAAGAAGAAGAAGAAGAAGAAGAAGAAGAAGAAGAAGAAGAAGAAGAAGAAGAAGAAGAAGAAGAAGAAGAAGAAAGAAGAAAGGAGAAGAAGAGGAGGAGGAGGAGGAGGAAGAGGAAGTGGAGGAGGAGGAGGAAGAAAAGGGAGAAACTTTGACAATATTTCAAAATGAAAAATTTCAGCATGTAAACCAATTCCTAATGTATCCTGCTAGATTGTTCAGGATGGCAGAGGTGCCGGGGCAGAGGGGCTTCCAAAGGTGGGGGACTAGGCTGATACTCAGTTTCTCCAGAAAGAGCCCTAGTGGGGGCTGCACCCCACAGAAACAGGAGGTGCGGCTGGCTCACCCCGTTCTGTGACTGTCAGCTCCGTCACCGGAATATTATGGTGCACGTCTGGGGGATTCTTTACGGCACAGCTGAACGTTCCGTTGTCCTTGAGGGTCGGATTGCTGATGCTTATAGACGCGTCCCCTTTGTACACGTCTCCAGCCCAGGAAATTCGGTCCCGGAACGTGCCTGCTGTGGTTGGGTACTGGAAAGACTGGTAATGAAAAATCTAAGGAAGCAACGCCAAAGAAGCAGAGTTAACGCCCAAGGTGCAATAAAAATGCAGAGCTAAGCAGATCCACAATGAAAGACTGTGCGGTGGGTTTTCTGGCTTGGGCACTTTTGAGTTTGGGTTGTCTTTTTCATTTGTTTATGGACCCACACCTGGCATATGGTGAAACCCTGGGCTTCCGTATGCAAAGTGCTCCAGTTCACTGAGTCATCTCCCCAGCCCAACCAAAGGAAAAAAAAAAAAGATTTCTTCACTTCTATCATGTAGTCTAAATAACAGACTCATAAAATTTGGAGACAGTACAGGGGTCAAAGGATTTGCCTTGGGGGCTGGAGCGATAGCACAGCAGGTAAGGTGTTTGCCTTGCACGAAGCCAACCCGGGTTTGATTCCCAGCATCCCATACTGTCCTTCAAGCACTGCCAGGAGTAATTCCTGAGTGCAGAGCCAGGAGTAACCCCTGTGCATCACCAGGTATGACCCAAAAAGCAAAAAAAAAAAAAAAAAAAGGACTTGCCTTGCATGTGGTTGAGTGTTCTCCCAAGCACCGCTAGGAGTGATCTCTGAGCACTAGAACCAGAACCCAAACCCTGAGCACTGCCAGGTATGGCCTCAATCCAACAATGCACTGTCCTCAAAAATAACACTGATAAATTAAATAGTTAAAATCAAATTACTCAGAAGAAAACCTGATGGAGGATCTTGAGCTACAAATCTCAAACCTCTTCTAAAGTCCTCTAGCATCCTTAGAGCAGCTCTCACCCAGGGGGGTGCATGCCTTTGGGAGATGTCCAGCAACAGTCCCATTTGGGGGGGCTGACACAGTGGGGGCAGCACTGATGGCATCTAGTGGACAGGGGTAGAGCCTGCAAAAAGTCTACAGTGCCCAGGATAAGCCCCCCTCAGCCCCCACCCTCTTGCCTGGGTATCATGGATGGCGGAGCAATTCCAAGGAGTCACGCATCGGAGCCTCACACCAACACACAGCTAAATTCATGGGAAGGGCAATCCCCAAATTCGGTGAGTTCCTCAAGGCACCGTGCTGGGAAGCGTGGGCCAGGGAAGCTGCTGCCGACTCTCCGGGCCACCGGGAGGGGAGAACATGAGCTAGCCGCCCTCGAGCTAGCCATCTTGGCGATGACCAGAACCAAGCTGCCCAGACGAGGGGCTCAGGGACAAGGATGGTGGCTCAGAACTGGTCTGGCCACGCTGCATGAAATGAAAAGGAGAATGTCTCACACATGGTCCTTACCAACGCCCAAAGCACCTAACTGCAATACAGCATTTTTTTTCTCTTTTTCTTTCATCTCTCCTCTCATCCTCTCCCCTGCCCCTGCCCCCCAACCCTCCCCCCACCACCACCACCATGGTGCAACCACCATGCAACATCCTCCTTTTTTGTTTACTTAGTGCTATCTGTCCTAGAAACCCAGGTCTTACAATCACTGAATTGCCCAACTGACACCACCCTGGAGGGGATGCTGAATCACGTGCGGGTGGTTCTGCTTACACACTCTGCAGCAGACACACACTCCACAAGGCTCCAGTGGGCACCCAGAGGCAGAGTCCGGCGCTTGCAGAAGCCAGTGGAGTGGAGATCACAGATATCAAATGGCCTGTGGGATGGGAGGATCAGAAGGGAAGGATGGACAGACCAGCAGCACCGCCACAGGAAGGCTTCCACTAGTCCTTACTAGGGAATGGAAAGGCATCGTGCAAGGCAGTCAGAGGGGATGGGACAAGTGCCGGGTGATCTCTCTCATGTGTGGGAGAGAAAGAAATAAAACAAAGGAATGGCCAGTGTCGCATGATGACAGGCCCTTGGACTTTGTCTATAAAACTAAGGTTACGAGCGGGGCTGGAGCAAGAGCACAGCGGGTAGGGCATTTGCCTTGCATGCGGCCAACCCGGGTTCGATTCCCAGCATCCCATAGGGTCCCCTGAGCACCGCCAGGGGTGATTCCTGAGTGCAGAGTCAGGAGTAAACCCTGTGCATTGCCGGGTGTGACCCAAAAAGAAAAAAAAAAAAAACTAAGGTTACCAAAAGAAAAAAGGGGGTCAGGGTAATAGCACAGCCAGTAGGGCATCTGCTGTCCATGCACCAATCCAGGTTCAATCCACTGCGCCCCACACGGTCCCCCCAGCCTCCAAGCCTACTAAGAGTGATAACTAAGCACAGAGCCAGGAGTAAGCCCTGAGCACTGCCAGGAAAGGCCCCAAAACAAAAACAAAAAATCTGAGGTTACCAAGCAGTAAGGGAGAGGAGGGGGGAGGGCTATGCAAGAAAGAAAAGAGCAAGAGGTGACATAAGGACACTGACGGAGGCTCACTTTGGTGGTGTCTGACTTTGTACATCCAAACCATACACGGTGGGGCTGGAGCGATAGCACAGCGGGTAGGGCATTTGCCTTGCACATGGCCAACCCAGGTTTGATTTCCAGCATCCCATATGGTCCCCTGAGCACCACTAGGAGTAACTTCTAAATGCATGAGCCAGAAGTAACCTCTGTGCATCACCGGGTGTGACCCAAAAAGAAAAAGAAAAAAAACCATATACGGAAACATGGCTGGGACCTGGTTACCTAAACTACAAAACAAATAAATAAACCAACTATTAGGCTGGAGAGAGAAACAGCTTGGAGCACATGCTTTGCATGCAAGCGAACTTAAATCCCCAGCACCTTGTGGTCCCCCAGTCACAACCAGCACGGAACCTGAGCATCACCAGGTATAACCCCAAACCCAAAAATAAATACAGGAAAACGCCCATTGACAAGACAAAACCTGCTGTGTCTCTCCACGATGAATCCACCTGCACTTCCAAGGTAAGTGCCTGAAACTCAAATCATTGCTACCTGGCTCCTCTGACAGACTCTGTCACCCCGAAACTGTGACACTGTTCTGCGACCTTATAGGTCCCACATCCCTACCTGGGGGTGTTTGCCCATTTTCTGCTCAGCTTCACAGAGAACAGCCCCACATGAGAATGGCTGTTGGCATTTACAGTTTCTAATCCAGGAAAGTCCAACTGCCTGCCCTGCCCTACATTGAGCCAAAATGAGGCCAGTTTCGGGCTGCTCCGAGCAGAGTGAACTATTCTAAGTCTCAAGCACATGGAACCCTGAACAGCCTGGCTTCCTCTGAGGTAGCTGCCAGCTCGCTTCCAGCCGGGTGGCATTCACAAACTGCTCCTAAGATGCGTTCAAAGCTTGTACTTTTAAAACACAGAGAACACTTTTTGCAGTCAATCTCACTGAAAATACTGCTGAGGACCCTATCTCTCACACACAGCTTTGACCTTCACGTTCTATTTCTTTTTTGTGTTTTTGAGCCACATCCGGTGGTGCTCAGGGGACCACGCAGTGTGGGGAATCAAATCCTGTGCGCCCTCATCCAAAGTGTGTGCTTAGCTCACTCAGCTACGGCTCCAGTCCCAACCTCCACATTCCTGAGAGCCTCTACCCTGAGCTACAGGGGTCTGTGAGGGCCAGAAAGAAAGTCCAGGCTTTGGCACTTGCCTTGCATGCCACCAGCAATCACAGAGGGTCCACCAAAAAAAAAAAAAAAATAAGAGAGAGAGAGGGAAGGAAAAAAAAGTCAAACTCCTACTTCCATGGGCTGAAGCGATGGTACAGAAATGAAGGCCAGGCCCTTGCCGTGCTTGTGGCCAATGTGGGTTTAATCCCCGGCACCGCAGACAGTTCCTTGAGGAGCCCTTGTGTACTGCATGTTATGAACCCCCCCCCCCAAAAAAAAACAAAAACCCAGACCCCAAAATCCTAGCAGAGGCACCAAAAGAAAAAAATATTTTGGGGGGGTAAGTGGGGATATATCATTTGGGAGTCTGGGCCACGGCAGATAGTGCACAGAGGTGCTCTGGCTTGGGAAATTATGCAGTGTTGGGAATCACCCCTAGGCCACCCACCTACTAAGCATGTGCCCAGCACGTGTGCCCAGCACCTCTCTGGCCCTGGGAAAGACTTTTATAGCATTACAAGTTCCAAGCAGATATCGACAGAGATTCAAACGGTAACTCGCGTTTTACTTGTGTGACTAAAGTCTATTGCTCTGATAAGACCATCTGTTGTCCACAGGAGGAATCTTTCCCTTGATGAGAGCTGTATAAATCAGTGCTGGTGTTTAAGCACTGGAGAGATAAGCTGGCGAGCCAATACACACGCAGATCCGCTAAGATAACTTCACACAACACAGCACAAGCAGCTGTGCAGAGAAAGAGCCTAGGACTGAGGCCAATGGGATTTATCCGCCCAGCAGTCCTGGAGGGACCCTTCCCCAGCCCCTCTGAGCTCAATACAAAACTAGGAAGCTACACAAAAAGAAACAGCAAAGGGAAAACAATCAGACCACATTTCCCCCTGATAATTTTTTTTCCAATAGCTTATTTGCAGCTTTGGGTTTTTTTCTGTTTGTTTTTTGGTTTGGTTTAGTTTGGTTTGTTTGGTTTTTTGGGTCACACCCAGTGGTGCTCATTTTCTGATTGGCTTGGTTCTGTGCTCAGGGATCACCTCTGGTAGTGCTCAGTGCTCAGGGGATTATATAGGATGCTGAGGATCAAACCCAGGTCAGCCAAGTGCAAAGCAAGTCCCTGCCTGCTGTACTATCTCCCCAGGTCCTATTTGCAGAATTCTTACATAGAAAAATCAAGAAGACACATGATTGTTTTGCATGCGGTGAGCCCAGGTTCGATCGTTGGCACCACATAGTCCCTTGAGCATGCCCGGTGCAGCCCTGTGGGCCCCCAAGCACCACCAAGGTGAGCTGGGTCATCCCAGCACTGCTGGACCTAAGTGGCAGCACATCCCCCATCGGGCCCTTGCACTGACCACTGACCCCGTTGGCCAAGAATCTCTCTGAGTCCCCAGGTTTCCCAAGTACTGCTCTGGGAGTCCCCCCGACCCCACCCAAAAAGAACAAACCGATCATAATGAAAGAGGAAGGAAAAGTCCTTTACCCATACCCATAGGGTCTGATCTCAAATCTGCAGACCAGCACTGGTCCACAGACCTGCAGCTGAAAACCACTGCTCCCCAAGCCAGATGTCTGAGACGGGAGAAGCTTGTCTCCTGCTGTTCAAATACAAGTGCATCTTCTGGTCAAAGATGACAAAGAAGGGTGCCTGCAATCTGGAATAAAAAGATTCCAGAGGGCTGGGGATAGAACTCAGCAGTGGAGCACTTTTCTCTTGCATGTAAGGTCCTGGGTTCAACTCCCAGGAGAACCCCCAAAAAAAAAATTCTAGAACCGCTGACAGCAGAAGGCTCAAAGAAGTTTCCTTGAAAGTAAATACTTGAACTGGAGCAATAGTACAGTGGATAGGGCACTTGCCCTTGCACAAAGCTGACCAGGGTTCAATCCCCAGCACTCACATATGATCACCCAAGCCTGTCAGGAGTGACCCCTGGGTGTAAAGCCAGGGTCCTTAAGCACTGCCAAGTGCAGGCAAAACAACAACAACAATATTTTTAATAATAAAAATCAAAGTATACAGCTGGACTGAAGAGACAGCTCAGGGGCTGAATGTAGGCTCTACATGCCGGGCACAGGCTCGTATCCCAGGCACTGTAGTGGTCCCTCCAGGACCACCAGGAGCTCTGCAGGCTGCAGGCCTTACTGCCTGGGTCCTGAGTTCGCACCTAGCACCCCAGGCCCCCTGAGGCCCCAGTTTCCAGGGCAACATCGCTGGGCCTGAGCATTGAACTGCCAAGCGTGGAGCCCAGAGGCCAGAGCACTGGCGGTAGGGGCTCCACCCCCACCACCTCCCCCCTACCCCCACAAATAAAAGTTTACACTTGCTGATTCTGTGCGGCTGCTGCTGGGCGGGCGATATGTCCAGTCTATGGTGAGCTTGTCACTGACTGATGCCGTCGACTTGAAGGTGCATCGTAGCTTGATCTTTTCTCCCACGTAACCCCGGGCTTGAGCATCCACTTTGATCTCCAAGGAAAGGACCACGTGAGGACCTAATCAGAGCAAGCCAAACATTGACGAGGGAAGCACAGGCTGAGGGTACATTGAGGTAAGGGAACAACCCAGAGACACTGATGACTGCCTTTAGGTCTCATGGCCAACCGCCACTGCAAGGGAGATCTTCCTGGGCAAGCCCCCAAGGACAAGGGGTGGGCCTGCGAGTGAAGAGCGGGAGTACTCCGGTCCCTTGGCAGTACTGACACCACCTGAAGACTTCCTCAGGACTGAAAAGGGGGGCAGTATTCACATGGGCAGTATTAAGAGAGCCATAGCATGGGGAGGAGGGGGACATTTGCCTTGCACCCGGCCAACCCGGGTTCAATCCCCAGCATCCCATGTGGTTCCCCATGGGATGGGAGTGGTGGTACCACCACCAGGTGTAATTCCTGAGTGTAGAGTCAGGAATTATTATTCCTGTGCATCACTGGGTGTGACTCAAAAAAAAGAAGAAAAAAAAACTAAGTCATAATTGAAAAGCTGGGCAGTATTCACACGGGCAGTATTAAGACTGTGTCAAGATTTTGAAAAACTGGGTAGTATTCAAATAGCACAAAGACTGCATCCATGGGGCTGGAGCGATAGCACAGCGGGTAGGGTATTTGCCTTTCACACAGCCGACCTTGGTTTGATTCCCAGCATCCCATATGATCCTCTGAGCACCACTAGGAGTAATTCCTGAGTGCAGAGCCAGGAGTAACCCCTGAGCATCGACAGGTGTGACCCAAAAAAGCAAAAAAAAAAAAAAAAAAGAAAGACTGCATCCAGATTGAAAAGCTGGGCACACTTGTGCTTTCCCAAATATACTCTTGTGGGTTGGCACCCTACAGGGTAAAGGTGACGCCACCTAGTCCCCTACTGGATGCTCTCAGGAGCACAACAGTTCAGGGTCCAGGGTTCAGAGGCAGGTCTCAGCCTCTGTCCAACCCGGTTCTTTCCTATACCCTCTCCCATCCCAGTGGTTGAGCCCCTAGTCTCGTCTTGTGCTCCTACTCTGGGTATTTATGTCCTCTTGGAATATCTTGGAGGGTCTATCATTGACCACAGCTTGAGAAATGCTGTTGTGAGGGACAGCCCAGCACAGCACAGCTGTCACCCTGAAGGTGCTTCTGTCTCAACCAACATAAAGAAGAAAGGAAATGAAACCTGGAATCTTTCCACTGAAGGATATTACAAAACTGCTCCAAATCCCACCCAGTTTCGTGTGATTTTGTTCCTATCTTAAAGCTGGAAAATGAGGGGCCAGAGAGATAGTATAGTGGGTAGGGCACTTCTCTTGCATATGGTTCCATCCCTGACACCCATTACAGTCACCCAAGCCTTGCCAGGAGTGATCTCTCAGCACAGAGCCAGTAGTAACCCTGAGCTCTGCAGGGTGTAGCCAAACCCCACCCACCTTCCCCTGCATATACACACCAAGCAGGTAAATGAATCATACATCCATGAAACCCAAGTCACAGAGAAGGAAACGGTACAACCTAATGTATGAGAAAAATGTCAAAATACGAGCTTCGGGGCTGGAGCGATAGCACAGTGGGTAGGGCATTTGCCTTGCATGTGGCTGACCAGGGTTCGATTCCCAGCATCCCATATGGTCCCCCAAGCACCGTCAGGAGCAATTCCTGAGTGCATGAGCCAGGATTACGCCCTGGGCATGGCTAGGTGTGACCCAAAAAGCAAAAAAAAAAAAAAAAAAAGGAAGGACTTCTTAACACTCTCTAAAGACTTCTCTTTCCAAAACCACCTCATCCATTCAACTCCAACTCTCCTCATCTCCCCCACCCCCAGATTGCCGGCACTTTCTCTTCACCAGTCCCCCTCCTTTCTGAGAAGAGCGAGCAGAAAGGGAGAGTCACAGGGAAAGCCGCTGGGCAAAGTAAGCTCTGGGTTCCTAGGTCCGGCATCTCCTCTTGCAAGGAACCATGTTCTTCCCACAGGCCAAAGGCAGCCAGATGAGGGGCTGTCAGGAGCTGGCGGTGCTGGGGAGAGAGGCCGGGGCCAATCCCAGCCTGTCACTCGTGGTTTCAGCAAATACCCCTGGTGAGCACTTCGTGACATGATGGGGAATGAGTTCACACTGGCACCCCAGAGAGAAGCTGCCCAGTGCCAAGCCGGGCCCGGCTCCGCCTCTCCTGCTCTGCCCACGTGCTCACCTTTCCCTGCACACACGGCTGAGAGCCAGTTGTCCTGCCTGCTTTGAATCGCTGACTTGCTCCCCTCGGGACAATCTCGTCTGTTCACATTCCTCTGAGGAGGAGGAGATGGGACAGGACGAGGAGGAGCCCTGCAGGAATGTGACCCGTCCCCAAGAGGTGGGCGGCTCCGGGCTCAGCCGGGCGTCCTGTCTACCCTGACCATGCTCAGCCTGGCTTTACCCTCTTTGCAGGAGCCTCTACACCCCACAGGGACTCCACCTCTGGGCCACACATGCTCCTCAGTGCTGCTCACCACCCACTGTCCTTACTCGGCTCCGGAAGCCTGGCTTCCGGAAGCCAGGGCAGGACAAATGGACAGGTCCCGGGCACTGTCCCGGGCCTCCTCTTGTACCCTGAAGCATAAGTGGAGTCAAAGGATTTAGGGTACAGGCTTCAAATTAGATGGACCTAGACCTGAGTTCTTGTCCAACGACTTCCTAGTTGTGACCTAAGTCACAGTTCCCCCATCTGCCCAATGTTCCATTCCTCACTAGGCAAAGAGAAAGAATAACAAGGCCAACTTCCTTGGGCCACTGAGAATTTATAAGACTGAGTAAGATCTGACACAAGATGCTTTAGCCTAGCACCAGAAACAGACACTCTGCATAAACGCCACCCATTATTATGATTACAGTGAACACTACCAAAACCCTTCTGGAAGTCTCTGCTGGGCTAAGGAGCAAGAAATCTAAATAGTACCAGCCTGGCATGGCACTTGCACTCCTCAACCCCCCTGTCCATCTGTCCCTGCCACCGGCCCAGAATGTCCTGCACTTGTCCTGCCTTTGTGTCTGTCTGGACAGCGCACCCCATCCCTACCAATCTGGCCCAGACAATTCCCCCTACATCACACCACACTTTCAATCTGAGTCCAAATGTCTCTCCTTGGGGTGCCTTCCCCAAATTCCCAGCCAGGCCCCATCACCCTGCCTTCAACACTCTTGGTACACGTGGCCGATGGCACTGGCCAAGCGTGGGCCCCACTGACTCACTCCATTCATGCAGGCCATTTCCTGCACTGGGCGCAGGTGCCATGCGGGGAAACTCAGAGGGAGGCTGTTCCTCCGACCTCTGCCTCGATCTGCTCTGCGCATGCAAAACCCCTTCCACAACAGACAAGTGCCCTCCTCATTGCCTGCTCACATGCCTTTCTCCTTCCGAGCCCTCTCCCAACCTGAAATGCCCCGCGTGCTCCTTTACCCCTGCAAGGAAGGTGCCCCCTGCTCTGCGGAGGACAGCCCCCTCCCCACTCTACGCCCCTAAGGGAGGAGCTCTCTTCTTGACTCCTATGCCCACAGAAGTCCCTCCCATTCTTCAAAAGGCAAACAAACAAATGCAGCTAGAACAAGGTCAGCAGTGATCGTAACCGGCTTTACTTCCCATCACCTCCCACTGCCTCTCTCCCCCCACTCGAGATGTGAATGTGCACTTTACTCCTGGGGCTCCCTCCACCCCCACAGAACCGTAAGAACTCTGCTACCACTTCACAGGTCTTAAAAAAGCCAAATCCGAGGAATAAAAGCACTCCTGGGCTCTTTCCTATCCTAATTGTTCTGGTTCCTTCTCAAACAGCTCCCGGCCTTGCCTATACCAAGCTGATCATGGCCACCCCCTCATTCCTTCCCTCCTGCTTCAAACCTCCCCTTTCCTAAGCATCTGCTGGGTGCCCCCCTCTGAACTTGGCATTCAATGGGCTCAAAATGAATCGACTCCCTGTCCTGGAGCTTTAAGCATAGCGGAAGTCAGACGTATTACTCAAGTGGCCATCCAGATCAATGCGTCATGACAAATTCTGGGAAGTCAAAGAGGGCAGCGGTGGGAACTGCAGTTGGTTGGGGTGGGGAGAGAACACTTACCTGAACAAGTCACAATTGTGGGATGTAGGGAAGGGGAAGAAAGAGGAAACCGGAGAGCACGCCAGTGTCAGTGGTCACAGCGTCTGCAGGACTGCTGGCTGGAAGGCGCAGAGCCAGCTGGCCAGTCCAGAGGCACGCTGAATGTGATACCCAGAGCCCGGCAGACAAAGGGGGTGACAGGCGGCCAGGAGGACAGCAGGAATCCAACCAGGTGGCGCCTCAGATATGAGGGTCTCACCCTGAAAACAGGGAATTCATGAGAGATCCTGAAATGTGCACTGAGTGAGGGGCTCTGTGTCCAAGTTTGCCTTTTAAAAGATCACTCTGGGGGCTGGAGCGATAGCACAGAGGGTAGGGCGTTTGCCTTGCACGCGGCCAATCCAGGTTCAATTCCCAGCATCCCATATGGTCCCCTGAGCACTGCCAGGAGTAATTTCTGAGTTCATGAGCCAGGAGTAACCACTGAGCATCGCCGGATGTGACCCAAAAATAAAAAAAAAATAAAATAAAATAAAATGAAAAAGATTAGTCTAAAGAAGACTCTGAGAGGAGTCAAAAGCGTCTGCCGAAGGCAGGCTGAGGGGCTGGGTGGGAAGCTGGGACATTATGGTGGGAACTATAGCTGGTGAAGGGACAGTGTTGGAACAATGTATGACTGAAACTCAATCATGGACAATTTTGTAACTGTGTATCTCACAGTGATTCAATTTCTTTTTTATTTAAAAAAGTGAACAGGGGACTATTTCAGAAGCTACCACAACCATCAAGTGAGAAAGGAAGCTTGACTTAAGATGGGGTTGGGGCTCGAAGGCACAGGTGCTGTGTGCGGGAGCCCCGGGATCAATCCCTGGCATCACATGGCCCCCAGCACCTCTGAGTACAGTTTTGGTGGATCTCAAACACAGCTGGGGTGTGTGGCCTCGGTGGATCCTACACTACTATGTGGTCACATGACCTTGGTGACCCTGTACCTACCACCATGTGGCCATGTGACCTTAGTGACCTTGAACCACCATGTGGCCACCTGGCCTTGGTGGCCCTGTTCCACCATGCCCAAACAGCATCATATCACCAGGCCAGAACAACAAACCCTCAGGAGTGCACATCCAGGCCACATACCACTGGGAATATCCCTGAGCACAGCTTAGGAGGCTCACTCCTCTCCCCCCTCCCCCACTACCAAAAAAAAAAAAGGCAACTGATATATCAAATCAGTTGAGGGCAAGGATCAGCAAGCTCAGGCCCTGGGCCAAATCTAGAATAGAATTATCCTTTTGCAAATAAAGTTTTATTAGGAAACGAACAATGTCCATTCATTTATTTACTGTTGAAGGCTGCTTTGGTGCTACTACAGCAGAATCTACACGGCCTATAAGGTCAAAAATATTTGCTTTCTAACCCTTTACAAAAAATTCGTCAGTCCTGTTTTAGAGCAAAGAGATCTAAGGTCTAGGTTAGTTATAAATCAGAATCTCAATTAGCCTCATTCCAAGCAACTCTCCACACTGATCATAGCACACACACACACACACACACACACACACACACACGCGCGCACGCAAACACATACAAACACACACACCATCCTACATCTCTGTCTAAGGGTGCTCCTTTCCTACCCATACCTAAACAATGGTGTTTCTTCAAGTTCTACCCTAAGCCCATGAGTCTTCACTCAACACACTGTCCATTTTAATGGATAGAGTAACTACTAGTAGGCTAATGGTTCTCCAATCTGTATTACTGGCCATTGCCCACCTGTGAGTGTCCAAATGCTATAGCAGACACCCACTGGAGTCTCACGACTACAAGACCTCAGACTGAATGCTATGAACTTGTGTTCCCTGCCAGCCTGATGTTCCTTTCCCTCAATCCCTTCCCCAACAAGGGCCAGCTTATCTGGGGAGCCGCCCTTTTCATGTAACAAGTGAGCTGGGGGTAACACAAGTCTGTGAGCCAAGGTTCAGGCAGGAAATAGAAGGTACGAACAACTGAGATTCCGAAAAGGATAAGAGTCAGTTGTCACAGGGACTTTTCCAAGATCACGGAACTCAGCAAGTGCACCCTCCCGCAGTCACCCCCGGGCCTGAAAGATGTTACCAGAGTTGACCACGGCACTGAGACAGAGAGGGAGCAGGAAGAAAAGCTCTGAGTCTTCCTCCACCTGCTTGCCCATCAGGGCCTCCCAATAGCCACGCTTAACCGGAAGCCAGAGGAAGGGAGCCGGGGCAATCTGGACAAGTCTCCTAGAGAACTCAGAACAAAGCAGGAATGGGACAGGGTGAGGGAGGAACAAACCAAGAATCACCAGCAATCCCGGGGCTGGAAGGAGATCCAGATTAGCTAAACCAATCATGACATGCAAGGTGGGCTGAAAAATAATCATTCAAGCACCCCTTGTGTAGGGTCTGAGGGTTCCTGCCTGCAGATCCTGCCTCTCTGGCTGAGTTCGAGCTAAAGGGGAAGTCTGAAGGCTGGTTTAGCTGAGAAGGGTGTCACCCGTTCTGTGACTGAAGTTAAATTGATCAAAGCAAGTTTCAGAAAACTTGTTTGTAAACTCCTTTAATCCCTCCTCTCTGTTTGGAATTTTCCTCACTCCCTAACTAAGAACCCTTATCCTGAAGATGAACCATGACCACGCCTCCAGGAAACTGTCCCTGGGTCCTTATAGCCAACAAGGGGCACCACCTCCTGCTCCCATGGTTTCTAGCTCATTTCTCACTTAGTGCTAAATTCTGCAATTATTTATTGACTTGTCTGTCTTCTCCCGTAGACCAAAACCTAGTGCATGCTAGGTAATGGATATGGAGGCTCGGTAAGTTATTCAATGGAATGAAACCAGCAGTTTCCTTTCTATCAATCTTCATTATAAGCATTGAAGTTTCAATATTTACTGAGGCAATTTTGGTTACTGAATTATCATAAGCACATTATCAACAAAACCATCTATCCTAACTTCTTCCTTGTGTATACTGAACTCAGTACTCAGGGATATAGTTTTGCTCAACAAGTTGTCAATTACTAAAGTCACCTACTCAAAACACAGAATTAGTGAGGTCTTTAATGTATAGCTTCAGACAAATAAAATACACAGATGGACTAAACTAAGCTACACTTCAGACATCAGAAGTCTGGTTCCCTTGGGAAAAGAAGACATAAAGACTGAAGGAAGGCTTTGGAGCCCCTGGAATATTCTAGATCCTATTTGGGGTACTGGTTACCTGGGTATGCCGCTTCTGAAACCTCATTGCACTGAACATGCATAGTATGGGCACTTTTCTCAAATTACAGTATACTGAAATTGGAAATATTTTAAAATCGATGTTCAAGTTATCACCCTGGCCCCTCAAATCTCAATTTTGTACACTCAATTTTCCAAAATAAAAAACTGTCAAACTTTGACTCATAAAATGACATACTTAATGGGGGCAAGAGTGATAGCATAGCGGTTAGAGCATTTGCCTTGCATGCAGCCAACCTGGGTATCTCCAGCATTCCATATGGTTCCCTGAGCAACTCCAGGCATTGTAACCCCGGAGCATCGGCAGGTGTGATTCAAAAAAGCCGCCCCTCCCCCCTCTAAAAAAAGCATACTTGAAGTAGGAAAAATATGTAAGAATTTTGTTCAGAGAGATAGCTAGAAGGACTGGAATGCAATGCAAAGGCCTAGGGCAGAAGCGGCAGTACAACACGTAGATGCCTGCCTTGTTCACAGCCAACTCGGGTTCAATAACTGCCATCCTATATGGTCCCTTGTTCACTGCCAGGAGTAATCCTTGAATACAAAGCCAGGAGTAACCCCTAAGCACTGGTGGATGTGGCCCAAAAGCCAAAAAAAAAAAAAAAAGGCCTAGGTCAGATCCCTATAACTGCATGGTCCCTGGAGCACTGCACCAGGAGCAACCCTAAGCACCGCTAGGTGTAACCCAATAACAAACCAAAACCAACAAAGTAAGTAATGGTCAGGAAGACAGCTCAAAGGACTGGGGTAAAGCTTTGTGTACTGGAGTTCATCAGATCTGATTCCTAGTGCCAACCCAGTCTGGGTTCCCCCAAGCGCTAGTGGGGGAACCCCCACCACCATGTTGGAGGAAGCCCCTGGGCCATTTTGCATGCCTTCCTCCAAAATAAGAATGCTAGGTTGCCAAATCTATTTCTACTGAAATAGATCATATGCTAGAATAATATTTATGACTTAGGAAGACCTCAAACTTATAATTTAACAGATCCCATGTTTAAAGTTAGAAAGGCAAACAGTGGCACTAAACCAAGGTTCTGACCTAAAAGACTCTAAACAAAGACCCTCTCCCCCGACTCCCAAAATGGAGGAACACTGAAGCAACTTGCAAAGGAACACATACTGTATTATGTCATTTATGGGAAATATTCTAAATACGTACATCCATAGCTGACTGGTGTTTGCCAAGGGCTAGAGGAGGAAAAGAATGGGGAGTGACTGTGAACGGATATGGGGTTTCTCTTTGAGGATATAAAAATATTCTAAGCAGATGGCTCAAAAGGCTGAAATGCATCTTTTGCATATAGGACTTCCAGGTTCGTTCCCTGTTGCCACACCGGCCATTGAATACTGAGCTAGGAGTAGCCCCTGAGCATTGCTGGGTGTGACCAAAACTAAAGAAAGAAAAAAGTTCTGAACCTGTGGAAATGATCAGACACTCTATGAATACACAAAACCATTAAATTATAGACTTTAATGGGTCAAGTGTATGGCATGGGAATTATTACCTCAATAAAGCTTTTACTAGTATTATAAACCACAGTGCCTAGAAGAAAAAAAAGGATGCCAGTCACAGAAGCTGGCTGGTGGGTGGAAGGAAATTGGGGACATTGGTGGAAGGAAGGGGAGACTGGCGAAAGGGCTAGTGTTGAGAAACTATATGCCTGAAACTCAACATGAATAAGTTTGTAAATCACAGTGCCTCAATTTTTAAAAAATGATGATGATGATGCTTTTTTTTAAAGGCAAATGCTAAATTTTTCATCATATAGTCATTTGGTTTGATAAATTTCACGGATGCATTTCCAAGAATGTGAAATGACATCAAGGTTAAAATAAAAAACATCGTTTCTAGTAGCAATATAGCATGGGTGGAGGATCTTCAGCAAAAGTGCAACAACTTCGTACATCAAAACCATAAACATCAACACCAGTGTTACTATAGTAATAGACTAGAATACAAATTAAAGTTTTAATTGAATAAAATTCATTTCAGGGTGGGTGGGGGAGTAGAGAAACCAGCATTTCTAGTGCATACCTTGCAAGTATGAGGCATTAGGTTTCATTCTAACGCCCCAATAAAAAAAGAAGAAAATCATTTCTAGAATGTTTTTTTACTAAGACACAATTTGAACATTTTGATTGTGAGTGTTAAAGAGAAAGACATGAAACTGGGATTCTTTGCAGAGGAAGTAGGTCAGTCTATTCTATTGCAATAAGAATTAATTGAAAAGCTGAATACTTGTGATGACACACTGAGGGAGGGCGGAGGGTGTTGTGCTGGCATTGTGAATATTAGTCATCAAATACATTATAACACCCCGGCTTTACCTGTTGAAATTTAAAACACCTAAAGTCCTTACGTGACATCCCCTTCAAAAATTCCCATTGTCCACTGGGCAATTTTATGAAGGTAACAATTCACACTCAGGCTACTTCTGACATGATTTCCCAGGAAGGAACAGACACGCATGAGGGCGCACAATTCAGTAAGGAACTGCACTCAAAAATGAGGGTGAAGACTATACTTTCAGGGATCATTGTGGTTCGTTACTAGAGAAGTTCCTCTGATCTGTAGAGCACCTGAAACCACGGGGAGGAGCCAGAGCATCCTCTCCTGAGCGGGAAGCCCGTACTTGGTGTTGCTTTTGCAACTGCCTTTATTTACCATTGATGATGGTCCTTCTCTTCCCTTGGAAGAGGGAAAGGTGAGGACGACGTCTGAGTGGTTATGGTAAAAAATAAATAAAGAGGGTGATTAGGTGGAACTAAAAGATATGCAATTTGAAGATGACATAAAAACAAAAAGTACGCAGATTTTTAAGAAGTGGCCAAGATGTGGCTATAGAAACTACTTAAGCGATGCCAATTTTCACGGGACAGGCCCTTTCTTGAATTAAAAAGTTATTAAAACGCTCAAGCAGACGCTTCTTCCCATGCATTGTTATTAGAATGAAGTCCCGGGGGCCCGTCTTGTGAGTCATTGCCACCATCTCCCCAAAATAAAATTCCCCTAGAGATCTTCTTTCCCAAAGACATGACTGGGAGATTGCACTCAAGTAACCTGCACGATAAACCTGTCCTCTCCTAATTAGTGGGGGTGGGGGGGTGTCGGGCGGGAGCCCCCCCCGCCCAAGCTCCAGCACAGTCGATCCCAGCTATTTCCATCAACAAGCCCAAGCCCCGGGGCCAGGTCACTGGTGTCACCACCAAATGACCAGCGGAGGTCACGGAAGGTGGTGGGGCAGGAAGGCCCGGCCAGCCCCCCTCAATGGGCCGAAACTGCACGAACCCCAGCTCCCCTCCTTCCCAGAAGCTCGTGGGGGGTTTCCTAGGACCCCCCCCCCCCCGTCCCCCGACCCCGGAACCGGAAAAGCCGCCTTCCGCCCGAAGCCCCCAACCGGAAGTGGGGCAGCACCCGCGGGGCACTCACCGGGGCAGAACAAAACAGCCAGCAGGGGCCAGAGCGCGCAGCCTCGGCCTCCAGCCGCTCCGCTCTGCTGCATCCCGACGGCTCTCCGGCGCTCGCACACCTTGTTTACGGCTCCCCGGGAACGCCACAGGTAACGCCGGAAGTGACGCAGCGCTCCCCGGCGGCTTAAAATGGCGCGCCCGGGTTGCCGTAGCGACGCGAGGTCCTTGCTGAGCCACCTGGGTTGCCGCCCTGACCCGCATCATCCGCATCTTTTCCTTGAAAGTGAAGTCGACTGCAGGCTTTTTTTTTCTTGGATCCTCGATCTTCCAGAAGTTTTTTTTTTCCTTTTCAAATCTGTTTTTCTAAACTTAGGGCTCCTGGGGGTCATTCCGATCAGCGTTACCCACTTTCCTGGAGAATCTGTACCCGGGGTCTCAGATTCTTACCTAACTCTCTCGCAGCATCCTGCGGAGTACCTACGTGAAGTGGGGGTGGGGAGAGGGAGTTAAACTGGTTTGGGCATGGCAGTAGGGCTGGAGAGCCAGCCCAGGTGGGGGTGGGGGGGAGACGGTCTCCCCAGCACCGCCAGGAGTCATCATCCCTAGCACCTCTGGGTGGAGGAGGAGGAGCTGGGAAAGGAGAAAGAGGAGGAGTTTTGTATGCCGGAGTCCTGACTTGGACCCCCTGGTCCCTGGTACCTCAAGCATTGCTGGGTGTAGCCAGCAGGGTGTGGACCAAAAATCAAAGAGGGAAGAAAAAAAAAAGGTGGAGAGGGTGGTGATGTCAACATTACAGCATATAATAAACCGGGCAATGGATTTGCATCTCTTGAGGTTGGAAAAGTGAGAATGTTTTTTTTCTTTTTTTTGGGGGGGGGTCACACCTGGCGATGCACAGGGGTTACTCCTGGCGGTGCTCAAGGGACCATATGGGATGCTGGGAATCGAACCCGGGTTGACCAGGTGCAAAGCAAACGCCCTACCCGCTGTGCTATCTCTCCAGCCCCAAAAGTGAGAATGTTGGACAATGGATTCATCTATCTTAAGGTTGGAAAAGTGAGAAAGGAACCCTGTCATCAGATGAAAGTGCTGGAGAGGTGGTATCACATTCTTATGATACCCTGCTGTGGGCCTGAATCAGCCCATTCTCCTGGAATCTGATTTTAATGACACAAGGGAAACAAAAACAGACTTCAGCTTGGGGTGAAAAGTAAAGTAGACTTTCCGGTTAATCTCCTTTACTAGAGAGGAGTCCTGGCAGTTTTCTCTGGTAAAAAGTTGGTAACCGAAGGAGAAAGGGGTTGCAGATTAAGTAAAATGACTCAAGGGCGTCAGTTGGATGGTATTGGATGGAAATTAGACTTTTGGGAGCAATTGTGGTGGTGTATGCCAATGTTGCTACACTACAGTAACACTACAATATACCTGAAGAATCTTATAAGCCAGTGTTACCTCAGTGAAATTGTGCCAAACAAAAGCAGAACGTGGTTGCAGGGAGGTAGCTTAAATGGTAGAGTACGTGCATGTGTAAGGCGAGTCTAATCCCTATAACTATCTGACCCTTTAAAGCACTCCTGGGAGCTGCCTTATGAGCTGGGGGAGAAGGCAGCTGGGATAGAGAAGGGATCACTAAGTCAGTGATGGTTGGAGGGCTTGCTTGGGATGGGAGATGTATGCTGAAAGTAGTCACTGTCACTGTCACTGTCCTCCCGTTGTTCGTCGATTTGCTTGAGCGGGCCCAGTAACGTCTCCATTGGAGACTTTGTTGTTACTGTGTTTGGCATATCAAATACATCACGGGTAGCTTGCCAGGCTCTGCCGTGTGGGCGAGAGTAGATAAAGGACCAAACGTGATAAACTCTCAGTATCTGTATTGCAAACCATAATGCCCAAAAGTAGAGAGAAAATATGGGGGAAATTGTCTGTAATAGAGGCAGGGGAACGGTAGTGATGGGGAGAAATTGGGGACATTGGTGGTAGAAAATGTGCACTGGTGGAGGAATTGATATTTGATCATTGTATGACTGAAACTCAAACATGAAAGCTTTGTAACTATCTCATGGTGATTCGATAAAAATAAAGCATTCCTGGGTAGCCCATGTGACACCCACCTTTTTAAAAAAATATAGGAGTAACAATAAACAATAAAACTTATTATTCAAAGCACTATGAAAATTCTGTGGAAATCTATAAAGTTTTCTTGATTCAATAGGACTTCATTCTATACATTGAGTCCAGGTTGCCTCTAAGAAATAAGTGAAGGTAAAATACTTACCCATCTGTTTTTTGACACCTGCTATGTAAAATGTTTGTATATTAGCAAGTTATGTAATTAACAATTCTTTATTACTAAAATGTATTTACATAAATGTTTAAGGCACAATAAAAAATAAATTACAATACAAAAATTCTCTTTAGGAAGAAGACATTGAATAGTAGGGCCATATTAACCCTGGAATATTTAGCCAAGACAGGAGCTACAAGTCTCACTGGAAAACCACTCTATGAATTTTAAATTACTTTTTCATTACACTTACAGAACCATCAGCTTGAAGAATATCCAGTTATTACAGTGTCAAAACTTGATTCAGGAAAAAAAATATAAATGTAAATTAAAGATAATACAGACCTTAATTTTTGGTTTAGTTCCAGATTTGAAACTTTACTTTTTTAAATAGTATAAAAAGCAGAGATAGATCAAAGTTCATATGGGAAGTAGACCAGTTGTATCAAAGTAATGGAAAATTATCAAAAATCAGCATATTTAAGGACAGAGAATCTGTCTGAAAATTCCAGTTGGCTGGAAGAAATAGCATTTTCAAGCAAGCCATATTAGGCACTAAGATTTGGGGAGTGACTAAACAAGTGTTCCTTTCTATAACTTCTATTGTAGCCTAAAATCAGAAAAACATAGGGAACTGGTCACTTCTTAATAAAATGTCCTTCTTTCCATAGCCTACTTGAAAAGTTTTAATATCTATAATACTGGAGTGGGGCTGTGTGGAATAAAGCCAGCTTTATTGTTAGTTTTTGGGTTTGGGGTTTTTTGTTTGTTTGTTTGTTTTTCCCCATACCAAATCCTCTCTTTCAAAAATAAATAAAACAAACAAAAAAATTAAATAGTTTCTTCCAGTTTTCAGAACTTTTCATAGCATTGTAAAAAAAAAAAACTTATCACTAAATGTTGCTTTTCCTCAGCAACCCTAAATTCTTTACGTTGTGTATATGGTCTTCATCCTCTAATTACTTAATGATTCCAGCCTACAGATGTCGAAACCTCAGAGCATAGACTTAGCTCAGTTGCTATTAATATAGATCATTGGATGGGGTGAAGAGAAGGGGAGATACCTAGTCGTTCACTTTTTAGGAAAGGCTGCATTCTTGGGTTGCTTTTCACAACTTGACTTACACTATTGTAAACTTTGGATCAGCTCAGAAGAAGAAAAAGGAAAAAACACCCAACTTATCATCTTGAAAGAACTAAAGTGAGTTCGCCAGGATAGCCCGAAAACCCTAACTATCATTGAACCATTTGAATGGAGCCCGTTCTGTTCATCAGTTAAAAAGCAGCTGAGAAAAATCATCTCACATTCTCACTGAACGTGTGGGGAGTGAATGAACACGGCTGCTCTAAAAATCTGAAGTCTGTCGGAGGCCCTCCCAGGTACACACGCGAACCTGGGTTCAATCTCCTGCACCGCCACAAAAATGGAACTAGAAACTAGTATGTTAAAGAAAATGACACGACGAGGTGGTGTTTTTTTCCTCATTTGATGCCAGCACGTGTGTGTGCACAAGTCATAATAAAGGAGTGTTCGGGAGCAAAAACGTCGTTTCTCGGTAGACAAAAGCTACTGAGCATCTGAGAACCATTTGTGCTCTGAAATTAAATGCAACCTTAGTAACATGCTCTGTCTGAGTCTGAAAGAGCCCTAGGCTGATGGTGGTCGTTGTTTAAGTGGGTGCAAAGCTTCTTGGAAGTCAGGTCACAACAAGAAAAGCCAAAGCAAAGTTTCCATTGACTTCAGCTTCTCCTTGGGCTCTTGTTCTTGGAAATCTTTAGCTGCCTGCAATACAAAAGTGAATAAACATATTTGGGAAATGCTTGGCATCATAACTAGAAGTGGCTCTTTCTTTTCTCAGACATTAGAGCCATTTTTGTTTTTGTTTGTGTTGGGGGGGGCACAGCCAGTGGTGCTCAGGGCTTACTCCTGTTGGCCTTGGGGGACCATATCAGGGGTTAGTGGTCAAAGTCAGGTAAACTGCATGCAAGGCAAAGACCCTACCTGCTGTACCCGGCCCTTGTGTCTTGCTCTCTAGCATCAAGCTGCATCCCACTAATACTATCACCCTATTAGTACTTCCCCCTAATTTAACTGCATGTTTCCTGGATTCTTACCAGATAAATAGTTGTCAGGGTCAGTGGCCTTATTTCCTAAGCCTTTCATAAACACTACAGCTCACTCAAGTACATATATTCTTTTCTCTATCTCCCCCATAATGCCCCTTTTTTTACTATAACCAAAGTCAAAAAAATAGACAAATATGGAATACACCCACACTTAACTGTTATGCAATGTTTTCCTTGCTGGCTATATTTTGGGGACTGTTATTTTTAAGAAAAATTACTATTTTTTTACCCTGAATGCTCTAATACTTGTTTTAAAGATAGGGACATTTTTCTATATTATCAGATTATCTTAATTATACCTAATAAAAGTGAACAATTTCCAAATGCTATCTGTAAAATTGTATATGTAAGACTTTTTAAATTGTACCCCCAAATCCTTTTATTGGATTCTACTAGTTTGTTCAAATTAGTATCCACAAAGTGATCACATATTACATTTGATTCTATTTCCTTGCTTCTTTTTTTCATCAAAAATACCCCCATCTTTTATTTTCCATGACCCTGATTTGCTAGAGAATCTTACTTTTGTTTTAGAGAAGCTGGAGGTCAAATCTAGGACCTCACACATGTGAAGCATGTGCTCTCTCCCATCTGCTTGATTTTAAAGAGACAATTGTCCTCAATAAAATCTCCCTCACATACCAGATTTGTTTTTCTAGGTTTACAATAGGTTCATTTTTCCTCATATTTTATTTTTTAAATCCTTGAGGTCTTGAACTGGAACTCTGCTATAAGAATGAATTCTTGGGGCTGGAGCAATAGCACAGCGGGTAGGGCATTTGCCTTGCATGCGGCCAACCTGGGTTCGATTCCCAGAATCCCATATGGTCCCCTGAGCACCGCCAGGAGTAATTCCTGAGTGAAGAACCAGGAGTAACCCCTGTGCATCGCTGGGTGTGACCCAAAAAGCAAAAAAAAAAAAAAAAAAAAAAAAGAGTGGATTCTTTGCAGTTAATGAAAGTGAGTCTACTTTGGAGAACAGAGATTTTCATCATATGAAAATCATCCTATATTTTAAGCCTCATGAACTATAAAAATGAAAAAACAAAGGTACACGTTCCTAAAATTGGATGTGTAGTCCCAGTAACTAAATGAGAGGAGCTTTGAAATCAATTCCAAATAGAACAAAAGTTCTATCAAAATCAGGCACTTCTATTAAGTCGTTCTCTTAACACCATGGTCGCCTTAGAACAAAACAAGTCAGTGATGGAGCTCAGTGTTTGAATGCATACACTGTATGTGGTAAGGTCCCAGTTTAGGGGTTACGAGGTTAAGGTGCTTGTTTAGCATGTGGCAAAACCTAGTTCAGTTCCAGTCACCATACCACTAGGAGAGATCCGAGCTCTGAGCCAGAAGTAGGTCCTGAGCATGGTGGGGTATGGACCAATTCCTTACCCCGCAAAAAAAAAAAATTAATCTGCTGGTGATAAGTATAACCCTAGAGCCTCAACTAATTTATGGATCTCTAATCCCTAAAACACCTGCCAAGGAGAAGCCACCATAACACTAACAGATTTTTTTCTCTCCATGGCCCTGCAGTTCTGACTTTGTCACAGGACATGCCACCTGGAATACAGAGCACCAACACTCAGGGGACCCTGGAAGCCCACATTAGCGGGGGAACCGGGCAAGCGAAGCAAAGAAATCAGTTGTGAAGCTTACCACCTAAGAATGTTAGTCCGTATCTTCTAAATAAATTGAGACCTTCTTTTCTTGGTTGAGCTTCTCTTCTTCTTTTCTGTAACGGAGACGCAGAAGCTGAAGTCAGGTAAACAAAACCAGAAGACTGGGGTGTGGGGAAGGGTAAAGTCTACAAAGCTTCAGGAGGTTTTCCTCTTTCATTTGGGAAGAATTCAATACAGCTGGGAGCAAATCCAAACTCACTGGGAGCTGAACCACGGGTCCGCTTCAGTCTCCACGTGAGCTTGAGCCTCATTTGAGAATCCCCGTGATTTAAGGCAGCATCTCTCTCTCTCACCACGAACAGCCTCCCTCTAGTTCTACATCTAGTTCTTCAAAAGTTTTATGTTGACCTAGACGTCATCTTTATTGCTTAGATTCTATCTGAAGCTGACTCACAGAGTTGCGTTCATTAGACTCTAAAATCAGTGGGGCTGGGGCCGGAGTGATGAGTACAGCAGGTAGGGTGTTTGCTTGGCTCACAGCCAAGCTCGGCATCCCATCTGGTCCCCGGAGCCTGCCAGGAGTGATGCCAAAACCAAAAAATAAATAAAATCAGCAGGGTTCTTCAGCAAACGTTTCTTGAGGATAAGAAGCCTCTGGCGCTGAGCCCTTTGGAGCACAGGCACGCACTGTCATGACATGGGACTCCGACTGGAGGGGGTGGGTCTCAGATAGGGCTCACAGCACAAGCAACAGAACTAGGAATCAGTGTGACTTATTAAAATAAAAATGTGGAGGTTAAAAGGAGAGAGAGAACAAAAGGGAATGCCCTGCCACAGAGGCAGGGGGGGAGGGGGGGATGGGGGTGGGAGGGATACTGGGATCCATGGTGATGGAGAATGGGCACTGGTGGAGGGATGGGTATTTGATCATTGTATAATCGAAACCCAAGCACAAAAATTTGTAAGTCTACAACTGTACCTCATGGTGTTTCACTAATAAAAATTTAAAAAAATAAGGCTGTATGATTTTTTTAATATGTTGTTGGATTCAGTTGACTAAGATTGGGGATTTAAAAAAAATGTGGAGGTTGGAGAGATCCTTCAGCAGGTAAGATGCTTGCTTTGCATGCAGCTGTCCCAAGTTTGATCCCTGGCACCCTATCTGGGATGGTCCCCCAACCCCTCCCAGAAATAATCTCTGAGCACCACTGGGTATGGCCCAAAAAACAAATAGATAATAAAAAATGAATATACAATGGTGCAGTTATTTTTTTTTAAGTCTGGCAATTCCTCAAAGAGCCAAATATGAGCCTCAGTTAATGCTTTTTTATCCCCCGTGGGCAGAGCACAGGTATGCTTTATATGCAGGAGACCTGATGATTTGATCCCCAGAGTCCCACTGGGAGCGAACCTCAAGTATCATTAGATGTGGTCCAAAATCCAAAACAAAATAAAACAAAAGTTAAATATAGTTACCTATGCTCTTATGACTCTCAGTGAGCCTGGCAAGCTATTGAGAGTATCCAGCCCGTAAGGGCATAGCCTGGCAAGCTCCCCATGGCCTATTCGATATGCCAAAAACAGTAACGACAACAGGTCTCATTCCCTTGACCCTGAAAGAGCCTCCAATCGTTGGGAAAAGACAAGTAGAAAGAGGCTGCTAAAATCTCAGAGCTTGCGGGGGATAGAGACATTACTGGCAATTTACTCGAGTAAATCGACGAACATTGGGATGACAGTGATACAGTGATACCCATGCTCTAGCAATACCACTCCTAGGTCTATTCCCAGAAGATTGAAAATATCTTTAGAACAAAACTTAAAGATGAATGTTTATAAGCTGTTCTATACACAACTAAAAATTGAGAAAAGCATGAATGGCATTATTGATAAACAAAATGTGGCATATATCTTCAGGCAGTCATGGAAAGGAATTATTGCATGCTCTATAATATGAATAAACTTTGATAACATTATATGAAATCTACGAAGTCAGATAATAAAGGCCACATGTGCCAAAGGAATAGCAATACTACCCGTCTCCAAGTGTGAGGCCCTGGATCTCCAACATTAGCCCCACCCCCATGCACAAAAGCTATTTATTGTAAGATTCTGTTTCCACGGGCTGGAGCGATAGCACAGCGGTAGGGCGTTTGCCTTGTGCAAAGCCAGCCCAGCCGAGCCAGGTTTGATTCCTCCGCCCCTCTTGGAGAGCCCGGCAAGCTACCGAGAGTATCTTGCTCACACGGCAAAGCCTGGCAAGCTACCTGTGATGTATTGAATATGCCAAACACAGTAACAAAGAGTCTCAAAATGGAGATGTTACTGGGCCCGCTCGAGCAAATCAAGGAACAACGGGAGGACAGTGTTTGTCTTTTTGTTTCTGTTTCCAGGAAGTATTCAGATTATTGTCAAAAGTAGATGGGATGTGAAGGCTTGTGTACCTTTTGGGGGTGATGGTTAACAATGTGTAAATATTGAAAGGAATTAATATAAAACTCTATATGAAAGGTAGCCAAGCACCTTCCATCAGCACAATCCTGATATAGCATGGCCCAGTGGCTCCTACAGATGCATGTCTAACATCACCAGTAAGGAGGCCCACCTTAGCAAAAATTTACATCGCAGATTTTGTTGGTTTGGGGGCCACACCCAGAGATGCTCAGGTCTTACTCCTGGCCTATATGGGATGCTGGGGATCAAACCTGGTTTGGCCATATGCAAGGCAAGCACCCTTCCCATTGTACAATCACTCTAGAAGATTTTGTCTGCTGGGGAGTGGATGGGGTGGAGCACACCTACCTGTGATCAAGGCTGATTCCTGACTCTGTGCTCAAGAGGCCCTATGTGGTGCCGGGGTGAAACCAGGGTGGGTTACAGCAAGAGATTTGCCCTACCTACTGTACTATCTCTCTGGCAGTATTCAGCAGATTCTTATCACATCAAATCCTAGTTAGTCTAGAAACCTACAATGCAATCTCATGTAAAATGAAGAAACCTTTTATAGTTACTCATTCACACCCTTATTTTTTTTTCAGTTTCCATCCACGGGGTTTGAATTCTTTGGTACAAAATCTAGTCTTAGGGAAGGGCATGAGTTCTTGGGCAACATGGCCAAGCTCCAACGGCCAGCCCAACGGAGCCAGACTCTCCCCCAGAGCAACGTGGACCCCGCCTTACGATTTGATCTCCACCACTTGATGAGCTCTCTTGGCCCATCGCTTTTTCCGGAAGTGCTGGAAGAGGGCCACTGCAATGACCACTATGATCATCAAGGCACTGGCGCAGCCAATCACAAGAGCCAGGAAGTAAATCTCAGAGAAGCGTGCTGTGAGGAGAAAAAGACCCCATTAGGATGGAATCCAAAGACAGAAGGATCAATCTACATCATCAACCGGCATCTTCCTTTCTCTTACTGTCTTTCCTGTAGCGGTAGGAAAACCAGCCAAACAGGAGAGATCCAAGAAGTGATCCTCAAAGTTGCCCCAACAATACTAGGAGCTTTGAAATGCAAATTATTTGGCCCTACCCAGATCTTCTGAATTGCGGGTGGAGCCCAGCAATCTGTTTTAACATGTCCTCCAGCTGATTCTGATGAATGCTAAAAATGTATACAACTTTGGGGCAGTAGAACTGAGTGGGACAAGGGTTTTGATGACCTAATCAAATCCTTCCCAACAAACTCTTTCTCCACAATTGGCTGCCACCTCTGTTTAGTCAGCCACTTAGGCAAATATATTAAAGGTACAAACCAGCACTTCATGGATATACAAAGCCCCCCCACCCCCCCTAAAAAAGCACCTTTAAGGAACTCTTGTCCACTAGGAAGTGAATGGTGAGGTACAGTCAGCTGCTTACTCATGCAAGTTCCTAAACCAGTTTGGGATGCTTGCCCAGAACTCCTGTCATTTGGTTTCTTGTCTGACTTCAATTTCAATAAACCCTTAGAACCCAGAATAGTGTTCTTTAACTTGTGGCTAGCCGCAAGTCCCCAACATCCACACCTGTCTGTGTGTATGTGTGTGTGTGTGTGTGTGTGTGTGAGAGAGAGAGAGAGAGAGAGAGAGAGAGAGAGAGAGAGAGAGAGAGAGAGAGAGAAGCATACATAACCAGTGGATAGCAGGCCACAGCTCTCATTAAAGTATGTTTAAGAACCTCTGGGTCCAGGGCCTGAGCCTTTCACTCACAGCCAACCCAGGTTCGATCTCCAGTATCCCATATGGTCCCCCAAGCACTGCCAGGAGTGATTCCTGAGTGCAGAGCCAGGAGTAAGTCCTGATTATCACCAGGTATGGCCCAAAATCACACCTGGGGAAAAAAAGAAAAAGAACCTGTGGGTCCAATCTGTTCATTGTGCAGGGGAAAAAAACAGCCAACGGGGCCAGAGAGATAGTACAGTGGATAGGGAGTTTGCCTTGCACGCTGCTGACTGGGGTTCGATCCCCTGCACCCCCTAAGATTCCCCAAGCACCACCAGGAATAATTTCAAAGTGTAGAGCCAAGAAGTAACCCCAGACCAGTGCTGTGTGTGACCCCAAAACAAACAAAAAGAAACTGAACTCCAAAGACTTTCCATGGCTTCAGTCCAATTTAAATGACTTCTCCCACGGCCAAACAGCTCCACACAGCTGTTTGGCTGGGGCCTTGAGGATGGTACTTGAAGAACGGCAATCACAGCACCCCACATGATACACCAAAATACCAGCCCCCTGTGTGACTGGAGTGGAGATTACATCAACCTCCATTTCCTCCATGGATCAAGTAGAGAGAACAATATTCATTTCTTGGGTTCTATTATTTGGTGAGGTGGTCCCAAGCAATGCTCAGTGACCTGGGGGCCACTCCTGGATTCAGGACTGAGGACATCCAGGGCGGTACCCAGTGGCTGTGCTGGGCATTAAAACCCTGGGCTCGGGGCTGGAGTGATAGTACAGCGGGTAGGGCGTTTGCCTTGCACACGGCCGGCCCGAATTCAATACTCAGCATCTCATATGGTCCCCCAAGCATTGCCAGCAATAACTCCTGAGTGCAGAGCCAGAAGTAGCCCCCTGCGCATCGCTGGGTGTAACCCAAAAAGAAAGAAAAAAAAAAACCTGGGCTCTTGCAAGGGAAGCACATGCTCCAGTCCTTCTTGAGCTGTCCCTGGGCCTGGTTGTGAGTGAATAATGAGAGCATTGCGGGGCTGGAGCCATAGTACAGTTGGTAGGGAGTTTGCCTTGCATGCCGCCGAACTGGGTTTGATTCCCAGCATCTCATATGGTCCCCTGAGCATCATCAGGAATAATTCCTGAGTGTAAAGCCAGCAGTAACCCTGGTGCATCGCGGGGTGTAACCCAAAAAAAAAAAAAGAAAAGAAAAAAATTAAAATTAAAAAAAAAAACAGAGCATCCTTGGGCACTTTGGATGGTGGTGCTGACAGGAGCATTACCCACTCAGTATATGCGAAGTGAATGAAAGCACCGACAGGCCAATTTGGAGCCATTCAGCAGAGCTGCTTTCTCTTTCTTGCATGAATTCAATGGCCATTTTGTACCAGATTCCCTGGGTCCCTTTGATTTCTTGCAATTTCTTTCCAAAGCCAGGCAAAACCTTTCTCTGTCAACCCCAGGCTTTCTCCGTCTCCTCTAGAGTTCTGAGATTCCAAGAGTCAATCTTGTCCGATCTCCGCCAGCCCCCAAAGAATGCCCCCTCTCCTTCCAACAAGCACTCCCACTTCCCCAGACCACTGTCCCATGGCATACCGGTTTGCACAACGCTGAGTTGGATCTCCCCTATCAGCCCATCCACATCAGGTGGGTTCTTCACCTGGCAGGTGTATGTCCCATTATCATCAAACTGTAGCTTCCAGAGAATGATGGAGGCATCATACCGCTCTGGGTTTCCGTCCCAGACAACCCGGTCCTTGAAACGTCCAGCTGTGGGTCGATAGGGACCCACGTGGAAGTAGAAAACCTAGAAAGGAGACACAAATAAAGATCAGCAGTAGTAGGACCAGGGTGAGGAGAAGGCTGAGGGGAGATATCCTAGTGGAGGATGTAATGTCAGGACACTGTATGCACGAAGTATTGTATGCACAATAGTACTTATAATACTATCATTACCAGTACTGTAAATCACCGTGCCTAAAATAATTTATTTTTTAATTGTAATTTTTTTTCTAAAGGGAAGGAGTGTCAGAGGAATGGGTGGAAGGTTCTTTTATGGTAGGAGGATATGAGAATTTTAGTGTTGGGTTTGGTGTGTCTTAGACACATATAGTGGTATAAAACTATAACCCTGATATCCAATAGTACTGTTAGCCAATGATATATTTTTTAAAAAAACACTTTCAGTCTTATACCTTTCTGAAAAGATCAACATTTTTTTTCTATTTATTTATTTATACTCTGAAAACTTCCAAAGAGTATTTGAGGCAATTTATAAAACAAACCAGGTGTACTATAAACATCACATAAATAGTTTAAAATTAATTAAAAAAATGTAAAATGAGACAATTTTTTATTGGGATAGGGAGATAGTATAAAGGGTAGGGAGTTTGCCTTGCTTGTGCCTGACTGGGTTTGATCCCCAGCACCCCATATGATCCCTGAGCCCCTCCAGGAGGAATCCCTGAGGGCAGAGGCAGAAGTAAACCCTGAGCACTGCTGGGTGTGGTCCCCACCAAAAAAAAAACAAAAAAAAAACCCCAAAACATTCGATACCAGAGCAAGGAGGCTATGAAGGGGGGAAAGCCCCAGGGCTAATGCCCCGTCTATAGCTCTCTTACAAGAATCTCTTGTTTCTCCCTTCACTGGCCCTTCATTTCTGCCTCTCCTCCCCCCCCCCCCACCCCCAAACAGGCTTCCTGCTAGACCCTGTGCTTGTTGTTAAGAAAAAGAACACAGGAAGGACCAGGAGAGCCACGCCAGCTTGCTTCCCAAACCAAAGGTCCCCAGAAAATGGTGATAGTGGGCTTACAAACTGCTCAGGCCCCCCATCTTGAGGACGGAAATTCCAGGTCACAGTCAGAGCATCCCCCACCGGGGCAAAGCTGGAGAAAGTGCATTTTAACCGCAGATCTGTCCCGTTGACAGCCTCCAACACCCGGGAGGTATAAATCTCCACAGCCGCCACTGGCCACGGAGCTGCCACAGAGGAGAGGAAAAGAAAGGTTAGCAGGTGAGGCACCTCAGGACTCATACAGGAGGGCTGGGGGGGGGGGGGGGGGAGGGAGGATGCTGGAAGAACCGGAGTCCCACTCTTAACCCCCTCACCCAGTCTGCCTAATCAGACCTGAAAGCGCCCCTATACGCCCACAAAACATCTCAAAATACCACCTAGGACCCGGGTTGGGGCCCAGCACCAACGCACATTCCTGACATGCGTGGGACCCGAGTTTGATACCAAGAGCCAAAAGAAAAGTTACTTAAAAAAATTTTTTTTTAATTTTATTAGTGAAACACCATGAGGTACAGTTGTACACTTACAAATCTTGTGCTTGGGTTTCAGTTATACAATGATCGAGTACCCATCCCTCCACCAGTGGCCATTCTCCACCACCACGAATCCCAGTATCCCTCCCACTCCCCATCCCCCCCATCCCACCCTGCCTCTGTGGCAGGGCATTCCCTTTTAAATGTTTTTAAAATCCCACCCAGCCTTCTGGGCGCTTAGCTTCGTCACAGCAGACACTCAGACCCCTGGTTTCAAAACCAGTACCAAGTTGGGCTGGAGAGATAGTAGCGTGAGTAGGGGGCTGGCCTGGCTCAGGTGACAACAGGTTCCATTCCCAGCACCCAGGGAGCACCCCCAGTGATCCCTGAGCACAGAGTCACGAGTCAGCCCTAAGCACCACCAGGTGTGGCCCCAAAACTGGTAACAGGACCCGAGAGACAGTAGGAGGTTTAAGGGATTTGTCTCCCACCTACATGGCCAATCCAGGTTCAATCTGTATGTAGCACCACATATGGCCCCCGAACCATAGTACCGGGTGCCCCCAAACATTCCTCATTCCCCCGCTCCAAAAGCATAGTAACAATCTACAAACAGCAAGCCAAAATGAAAAGAGAAAAGTTTTCCAAACCAATCCTTAGATGAACCAAACGTGTTCAAACGAGCCTCGCCGCATATACGGTATCTAATGGCCCCAGAGCAGGCCGGTTTTCAGAAAAGATCTCTCTCCTTTATCGTGTGCAGAAACTGAATAGCTCGGGCTCGCTTGCCCCGCGTCCCATTTAAATACCACACAGTTTCTACCCCGATATTGACTCGGAGGAGAGGTGCGCGTTGGGGAGTTTCGGAAGCAGAGAGGGTCTCTCTCTCCTTAACCATCTTGGCTCCATACCACCCCCCTCCCTGTGCCAGGGTCCCCCCAGATCTCAGACACAGCCCCTCCTGCAGCAGGAGATACTCAGAGTAGCCAAGAATAACCGAGAACGATAAAAGAAAAGAAAGAAAAAAAGAGGGAAAAGGTTCGTAACCCGAGCCCGGACAGCAAGCGCGCGCGCGCGCGCGCGCGCCTGCCTGCAACACCTAAATCTGTTTGTCCGAAAGCCAGAGCCGGTCCCGAAGCCTCAGGAACCGGGCAGTGAGTGAAGGAAAGCCCAAAGCAGCGCCGATGGGGCCCCAGGCCCCTCGAAACCAGCCGTCCGGGGTCCCGGGGCAGGGACAGAGGGAGCGCCAGTTCTTACCTGCGAGCTGCAGGGCCAGGAGGAGCAGCGCCGCGCGCGCCGGGCTCGGGCCATACATGAGGGCAGCCCGGAGCCCCGGAGCCCAGGGACAGTGGAAGCTGCGACACCCCGCCGAGGCCACTGCGGGTAGAGGGGAGCACGGGCGTTTGCCCCGCGAGGACTCGGGCCCTCACCTTTGGGAATCCAAGCGCCCCAGCCCGTGACTCATCCCAGCGCACTCAGAACCCGTGGAAGGTGGGGCCTCCGCTCCCAGCTCCCCTCCTTCCTCCTGTCCCTCCCGCCCTCGCCCCGCCGGGCACGTCCGCCCAAAGTCCCAAACTGCAAACGCGCTCCCGAGCCACCCAGTGCGCTGGGGCCGCGGCTGCGACCTGGCCGGGAAGTGGGAGCGGCCAGAACGGCCCCCCGGCGCCCGTGGCGGTGCCCACACGCGCTTCCAACAGGCCCGGGAAGTGTATGTCGAAATTGCCCTGCGGGGATTCCACTGCCCCGGGCCGGACTGGATTCCAGTCCCCTTCCCCACGACTACCTGCAGTCCTGCAACTCACACCTCACCTGGAGCTCAAAGGATCCCCGCGCCTTGACTAGCCAGACCCTTCTAACACTGAAGGTGTAGACCCGCAGACCCACCTACACCAAAGAAACCTCAGCAGTGTTTAAAAGGCTAGAGCGTTGGAGAGACCCCAGCCCAGCTCCTTTGGCGGCTGAGGTCCTCACCCATCCCCCCCACTGCCCTGACTCTTTCCCATCAGGTTTGGGGGAAATCCTAAACACCCAGAGGAGGTAGGTCATTTGCTCTGAGTTACACGGCACCAGCTGGAGATTTTTCTTGACTTTTGAACCTAGTGTTCTTTCCAAAGTACCAGCTAGCACGACCCCCCCTGCAGAGTTTTTGTTTGTTTGATTGGTTGGGTTTTTTTTGCACCTTCAGTTTTATCTGGCATCTTTGGAGATACAGGGGGCTGAGAAGAGGTGCCCCTGGGTTGGCAAGTGGGGAACCAGAGTGGCAGGTATCTGTAGTAGCTTCTTCCCAGCAGAGGCAGGTGGACTTTACAGCAGAGATCCTGACGGAAGAAACACTTGCCCTTCTCCCTGGATTAGCAATCTAGAAACCATGTCGTGATTCACAGAACCTTCTCATTCAACCCTGGACAGCTTTGCCAGGAGGGGAGGCCGGGACATGCTGACTCAAAAGACAAAAGACCATAAAGAGGGAAGAGAAAAAGAAAATTCCACCACAAGGGCAGATTCCAGACCTGAAGACATAAAGAAGCAGAAGAGAAAAGCAACGCAAGCAGGAACAGAACGTCGGCGCCACGAGAAGGCAAACAACACAGACCAGTCAGTCCACGCCAGCCCCAGCAAACGCCCGCGGCCACGCCTGGAAGGGGTCGTGCTGGAACGAACGTTTCTGCAGAAAGTCTTGGGGTCCTTTACCTGCTTTTAGGTCAGAGCCACTTAAAATCTGCAATGCTGGGGAGCATTTAGCACAGGAATATGGGGGCCAGAGAGGTAAATCAGCTCTCTGAGCATAGAACTGGGTGAGCACCACTGGGTGTGCCCCAGAAACAAACGAGTCAGATACGGATGGGATAACACAGAATCCTTCTGGCCTTTGGGTCCACAGAGGGCGGCTCCAGGAACCTGGAAGGAAAAGAGTTAAGGAAACACGACTCTCTTTGTGGACTTTCCCAGGCCAATGGGCAGCCTCAGAGGAGGGGGCGGAGGAGCCAGGGGGGGGGTTGAAGTCCAGAGCAAATTGCAAAGTTTGGTGGAGGTCGAGTTACCCACTCGGGAGCTCAGGATACAGTCAAAAGCGGCAGGAGAGGAATCGGGGCAGGGGAGCGGAACAAAAGCCCGTTGTCAGAAGCTGGAGAATCAATGGCTGCCCCAGGTAGCTGCGCCCCGGGAGCTGGCGGTGGCCCGCGCACAGGGTCAGCTGCTACCCAGATCCCGTTCCTCAACAAAGTTCAAATTCCTGGCGTGGCGCCAGCAACGCCCAATTCCGTCCAGTTAGCAGGAGTGGCTCTGCACATTCTCCTCCCTGGGTGGGAGGGAAGCGGGCACAGACTAGAGAAACATGCGTGACCGAGGCCGCTGGCTCCCCAGCTGTGCGGGAGGCTGGTCCCGCCAGAGCCTGGGCAAAGCTGCAACTGTCCAGCTGCTACCTAGGCTGGGGCCGGGAGAGCGAAGGAAGAGTTGTGAGAGTTTCCTTGCCTGTTGGATTCCCTGCACTGCAAGAAGAGAAAAGGAGAGAAAAGAAAAGAAAAGAAAAGAAAAGAAAAGAAAAGAAAAGAAAAGAAAAGAAAAGAAAAGAAAAGAGTTGATAGCACAGCCAGGAGGGCGCTTGCCTTGCATGCAGCTGACCCAGGTTCAACTCCCAGCATCTCCCGTGCCCCCCAACCCACCCTTTAAGAGAGAGAGAGAGAGAGAGAGAGAGAGAGAGAGAGAGAGAGAGAGAAAGAGAGAGAGAAGGCAGAGGCTGGAAATAATAGTAAAGGGTTAAAGGCCCCTGCCTTGCCTGGGCCCACGCCACTGGGTCACTGTCACTGTCCTCCCGTTGTTCATCGATTTTCTCGAGCAGGCCCAGTAACGTCTCCAGTGTGAGACTTTGTTGTTACTGTGTTTGGCATATCGAATACGTCAAGGTTAGCTTGACAGGCTTTGCCGTGCGGGCGAGATACTTTCGGTAGCTTGCCAGGCTCTCCGAGAGGGACGGAGGAACCTAACCCCGGTCAGCTGTGTGCAAGGCGTGCCATAGATTTAAAAAAAAAAAAAAAAGCCTTTTCCAGGGTCTGGAAAAAACAGTACAGGGGTCAAAGGACCAGGCTTATCCTTTCTTTGCATATGCGAGGCTGGGGTTCAATTTTCAGGACCACATGGTCCCCCAAGCACCAAGCTGGGAGTAATCCCTGAGCACCACTGGGTATGGCCCTGAAACTCCCCAAATCAATCCATAAATATGTGAATAAACAAAAAAATAAAATAGTTGGTACACCAATCATTTTGTTTTGGGGTCATACTCGGTGGTGCTGAGGGCTTAATCCTGGCTCTGCACTCAGCTACCATTCCTGGTAGGGCTCAGGGGACCTTATAGGATACAGGGGATTGAACCCGGGTCAGCTGCGTGTAAGGCATGCGCCCGGCCCACTGCACTTTCTCTCCACCCCTGCACACCCATTGTTTTGAAAACATTTTGTCTATTACAGCAGGCAGGTAAGGAGCCAATGGTAACTAGTGTCTGGAAACTTCTAGAGAAATTACCCAGTCACCTGCCCTGAAGTAACCTGAAGGCAGAATGGCGCACCCTTTTGGAGATGCAGAAACTGAGGTGCTACCCAGACAAAGGCAGGACCCCCCAGGGAAAGAACCCTCCACCCCTCCCTGAAAAACACATGAGAGGACCAACAGAAATAAAAACCTTTTGGGGCTGGAGTGATAGCACAGCAGGTAGGGTGTTTGCCTTGCACGTGGCTGACCCGGGGTTTGATTCCCAGCATCCCATATGGTCCCCCGAGCACCGCCAGGAGTAATTCCTGAGTGCAAAGCCAGGAGTAACCACTGTGCATCGCTGGGTGTGACCCAAAAAGAAAAAAAAAAGAAAAGAAATAAAATAAAAACCTTTTCCCCATTACAAGCCCTAACCAAGTCCTCTGCATAGGAAGCCCCATGCTGGGACAATTTGGGAAAATCCCTATAAAACCAATTTTGCAAAGGGAAGTGGCATGCATTCCCCATTCTGGAGCTTGCCTGCATCTCAGCCTGAGTCATGTAATTCCTTTCTTTAACCTTATGGGAAGCTTCTCACAGATCAGGACTGATTGTCCTTTTCCTGCTAAGAGTATCCTCTCGCTCCCGCCTGAGTGGCCGCAGCTCCTAAAAACTCGGGTGGTGGGGACCAGTTCCCCCTCTGTGAAGATAAAATGGATGCAGGCACAGCTGCCGGCTGCCCAGTGGGGTTGGTGGGACCGAGCATCCACCAGTTGAGGTGTCTGAGGCAAACTTTACCAGTCCTACTTCCCCCAGGCATTTCCTGGGGAGACAGGTGGGGTGGAGCAGGAAGGTGGTGGAGACTGAGGGGGTGGAGCGGCCACCCCACTGTCTCCCTGCTCCCTCCTTCACCCAAGTCTCTTAAGACAGCTGTCACAACATCAGGATGCAGGTGGCTACATCATAAACTCAGAAGACTCAAAAGCTGTAAAAGACACCTGTTCCCCTGGATACATCTTCCCACCCTAAGCCAAAATGTTTTCTCACCATAGAACGAAAGTAGTGTTCTGTGAAGCCAGGAAAAGAAACAACGCAGTTTGGGGCCAGAGTGCTAGAACATCAGGTAAGGCGGTTGCCCTGCATACAGGTTTGATCCCCAGCATCCCATATGGTCCCCCAAGTACCACCAAGAGTGATTCCTGAGTGCAGAGTCAGGAAGAACCTCTGAGCATCACTGGGTGTGACCCCCCCCCCCCAAAAAAAAAACAAAAAATAAAATAAAAAGAAACTTTTTTTTAAAATGCAGTTCAGGGACTGGAGCGATAGCACAGCAGCCTTGCACGCGGCCGACCCGGGTTTGATTCCCAGCATCCATATGGTCCCCTGAGACCACCAGGGGCAATTCCTGAGTGCAGAGCCAGGAGTAACTCCTGTGCATTGCCAGGTGTGACCCAAAAAGCAAAAAAAAAAAAAAAAAAAAAAAAAAAAAAGTGCAGTTCAGAGGATCATTTAAAACAAGTGTTGTGTGTGTGTGTGTGTGTGTGTGTGTGTGTGTGCGCGCGCGCGCACTCATGCTAGGAGTGAGGGTTTAAGTCACACCTGGAAGGCTCTCTACTTAGATGTGACCATTGACAGTGCTCAGGGGTCCCTGTGTGGTCCTGGGGATTCGAAACAGGGTCAGCACAAAGTGGCATAAGTAAGGAAGGTACCTTCCCTTCCTATACTATTTCTTCAGCCCTCCAAGGAAGCATTTGGTTACTCTATGTCTAGGTTTTTTCCCTCCTAGGATATATTTCAAGTTGTTGTTGCAGGCCAGACTCCACAGACAGAACAGCATAAGACATTTCTGCCGGGGGAGAGAATGTACATGAAGAGGGCAGAGGGTGGGGGTGGGTGGCAAGGAAGAATTGCCCTGCTTGTCGCTGGTGAACGGGGACCTTTGAGCATGAATAGGGATTCTGGGCAGAGAGAGGGGGAACAAAAGCATTCTTGTCGGGGCCCAGGGCAGGGAACTTGGTGTCCACAGGGCCCTTCAAGCCT